TTTGATAACGGATTTAATCCGAAACTATTCACAACCAAAGGATTTGCACCTTTTGAAATAAGCAAATGAATCAAAACGTAATTTCCTATCGATGCAGCCCAATGTAATGGAGTATGACCCTCGTCATCTATGGCTTCGTTAATATTAAAGTCGTAGGGTGGATTATGAAGAAAATACGGAATGTTAGAATTATCTTCACTGAAAAATTTCAATAGCTGTGCCGAATAGGAATTGTACTCTTCTTGATCTTTAGGGCTGTCAATCTCACCGGTCAAGTGATTTCCCTGTTTCATCATGTACATATTAGATTTAACATCGCCGTTGAATTGTTCTTCGTTAGATGATAGAGATGTATCCGAATCTTTCTGATGCTCGTCCTGAGATAAGTTGGTTTCATTAGTAGATTGGGACAGTGGCAACTTAGTGTGATGAAAGCCTCCCACCATCTGTGCTTGAGGCGGCATACCAGGGGCTTGCGCATATGGAACATTTCCACGATAGAACTTCTGTTGTGCCTGTGTTTGAGGTTGTTGTTGTTGATGTTGGAACCTTTGGAATTGCATTTGATAATTCTGAAATTCATTTTGAATAGCTTGGTTGTGAGCAGTAAAAGTTGGCATGCCATTCCCCATATTCATAAAGTCGGCCTGTGTAAATGTAGGAGGCATCTGCTGGCCACTTTGAGGCATTTGATAATGCAATTGCTGTTGTGATGATGCACCTAGCTGTGAATTCTGTGACAAATGCGGTTGGGCTCGCGAGAGTGATTCAAATGAACTTTGTGGATTAAACTCTTGTGGTGGGCCCTGGTGACCGTCTGTCTTTACCTTCTTCGATGGAGTATCCTCCGGTTTCTTTGCCTTTTTGGTGTACTTTCTCTTGACAGGCGTCCCGTCCTTGTTGACCTGCTTCACTTTCTTGGGTATAACCATATTAGGGTCACTGGCATCAAGATACAACACTGGAGCCAAATCCGGCGTCACTCCATAGCTGGCAGCTAGCCTCTGCGCGTCTTCTAGTGGGATCCATGTCCCTTGGAACCTACCATAACCCCCTTGGATTTTTTCGTGCAATCCCTGTTGCACTCCCTTCTCCAAGATTTTTGTCCTCTTAGCCTTTGGAAAGTTACAGCACTTCAAAATTTGCGTAGCATTGACCCAGTCATCTTTGCATCTCCTCATGATGGGAGAATTGTTTATAGTACATTCATATACATCTGTCTGTTGAAATAATCTTGGTTAGTATGTTGGACGCGTTATCCGCCTATTCAGAGCGGTACTAATTATGAAAATTTTCTTTTTTTCATTGTTAATAAACACTTACACTTGAATATGTCGCAATGTACACTTTTGGTTCCTCAAGTGACATAGCTAATTATATAACTGATACCGATGCTTAAATAAAAACAATATAATTGACTAATTAGCAAGAATTCCTTCTAATTAAGTCCAGAGGATTAAATTTCAATTCAAATTTGCGCTAAATTTTAACGCGTTACGAAAGACACCTATATACAGGGTGCTGCTTAGGATTTAGGGAATTAGTACCAGTAGGATACAATAGTCATTAGCAGCCACTAGTGTTAGTCCTAGGAAGCTATTGCTAGTTAAATAAAGAGGAGGAGCATGAATGGGTAAGTATTTTAAATTGTCAAGGAGATGTAAGAAACATGGGTTCAATAATAAGAAGGTTTTGAATTCGTATTCGTGCTAGCCTCGAACCTAAATGTAATAATAACTGACGACTGTATCTAAAGATACGGAGTAAATAAGAGATGTGGAGGATATATCAATATACAAAGGTGTAGAAAAGAAATAAGAGTAGAAATGGGGAGGTAGGCCACATTAATTAATGTTGCGTGACAGTTCACACACTGTTATATGATGAGCACTACGGGGAGTAACATGTTGAATGAATAGAATTGGGTTGTATATTACAATAGAATGCGGTTGGTTTCCTTGCAGAGGGTAACTTAAGATAAGGTAGCACCAATGCAGAGAGATATGTACTGTGGTTCAAGAGAAGGAAATTCTTGAACCATGGATTGAACTGTATGTGACATTGCGATTGGGCATTGAGTTCCAAATAGGCACTCTAGCTACTTTGAGTTCATAGGTAGAATCGATGGTGGCTACGGGTTTGTGATGCAAATTTCTCCTTCAAGAGGAAATTTGTAGGGGTAGAAGCATAATTATAAGGTTGCGCAGGAGACACTAATACTTTCCATTGCCCTTTCACGTAAAAGTAATGAACACGAATCGTACATTAGATCCCTTAATGGCATATATTACCTTAACTGCGGTTTATATAAACGATAATTACATATTATGATATAGTTATCAATATTCAATTTTAGTTTGCGCGTAATTCTGTTAATTGATGCAAAAAAATGAAAAACTTACGAATCTAGAAATGAATAGAAAAATGAACCAGACAAGACTTAAACAATAAGACTATAAAATGCCTTCTTCCATCAACTCATGCTCGAAGTCTCTAATAGACATAACAACTATATGAACAATGGCATCAATGTCTTCTTTTGTGACAATAAATGCGGGTGCTAGTAGAATAATGTCCCCGAATCCGTTAGCACATCCCTGGGTCCCCATAATATTTAGACCATTATCAAAACACTTATCCTGTAAGCGATGAGCTATATCTAATGAAAAAGGGAAGTATTCCTTTGTTTGTGTATTCTTCACAAGCTCTATACTCCAGAACCCTCCAAGACCTCTGATGTCACCAACTATCGCAGAATCGACCAATTTTTCTGTTAATAATCCACCCATGTAATTACCCATTTTGAAAATATTCTCCGTTAATTTAAGCTTCTTGACCCTCTTTTGTATTTCCAAGGCGACAAAGCAATTGAAGGCATGGCCAGAGTAGGTGTGAGAACCAAGGATAGTTCCAGACCCGTTGATGAATACATCTCTAACTTTTGGACTTATCAAAACGCCAGCAATTGTAACATAACCTGAGCCTAATGTTTTTCCCACGCTCTGAATATCGGGTCCTTCGCTCGGGGCTAGATAATTCTCCCAACAGTTTAGTCCGCCATTAGGATTTGCTCGGCCCGTTCCACACATAACCTCATCTAACATAAATAAAATATCGTACTTTGTACAAATTTTCCTGATTCCCAGTAAGTACCCCGGAGTAGGAGGAGACGTACCCAATGATGTACCCGGTAATGTCTCTACTACGACAGCACCTATTGTGTTGGGGTTTTCTTTCAATATCATCATTTCTAGCCCTAATAACAATCGAGCAGAATACTGTTCCAATGTTTCATCGTCAGCCTTATTTCGATATGGATAGTAGGCGTCCATTTTCAAACACTGATCCTGCGGTAACAAAATTTCCTGGAACCGATCGGCTCTAGCATTGGAACTTATTGACAATGCACCTAGCGTGAATCCATGATACGAAGTCTTTCGAGAAATAAACTTGGTTTTGTTGAAATTACCCTTTTCCATATGGTATTGCCTTACAATTTTCATCGCATTTTCGTTTGATTCAGATCCTGAGCCCGTCCACAAAGCAGCAGCAAATGCTCCTGGGGGAGAATTGGAGATATAATACTTGGCCAATTCTTCAGAGTATTCATTTCCCAAAATTGCCGGATACGAATAAAATGTGTTGCGGGCTGCCCTGTTGATTATTTCAACCACCTCTGGATCGCCCCATCCCAATGCTCCAACTGCCGCCCCAGTCATACCATCAATGACCTCAGTAACCTTGCCAGTTTTAGGGTTTTCTACCGTGATTCTGATCCCCTTTCCGTTTATCACCTTTGGCACCTGTTCGGCGATCTTCGCCTGGAATATAAACGAATTTTGCATCAATTGAGAACATGGACCGTGCCACTCTCTGTCTGCCTCTTTTATTTCGGAAATTGTCATAGTGTATGTCTACCACTTCTATGTTACCTCTATCCTCTACAACATACCTGCTATTCGCTGCTTTATATATTAACTGCTAACTAGACCCACTCCGGATCAGCGACATTATGCTGCACCTATTTCCATATCGGGAATGACTGATAAACAAAATAGTTTCAGCAGCGTACAGAATCATCAGCATTGTCAGTCATACTGATAACGCCTACTCATCGTTCTCTCTTCGTATGAAACACTTATATCCAACATTATTCGCACCCATTGTTTCATGCGCACCTATATCTGTTATCGTACGTGATCCCATTTAACTGGAACACGGCCCAATTTTGGCCTTTGTTCTCCAATTCAGGTTTCAGCCCCCACCGTACCACGTCCATCCAACAAGTCCACATACCCACATCACATCTCTCATGAATATTCTGAAGTTTATGTTCTGAAACATTTTGTATGTGGGGCAAACGGCTCCAGTCATCGCTCGCACTCATCACTCTGCTACGTTTCATTTAACGATTGTAACAATCCAATCCCTTAGCCGAATTCATGTTCTATATATTCACACATATGTGAACACATGTGTTGTTATCGCCTCACCTACTTTATAATGGAGATTACATCCAAACTACCAGGGTGTCGCCTGCCATCGTCGCAATTACTTACTTCAGAAGACAATATTACATCTTTTGAGTAGCCACTACAACAGAATATAACAAAGCACAAATCTCTATTTATAAACCATAGCACAAGAAATACATCCACGAGGCATGATTTCCCCCTCAACGCCAATCTCGTCGCGAGGGAAGTAGATCAGTATCTTGTCGAACAATAGTCATTGTAGTATTAAAATGGTAAATAGTGGTTAAGCAATATGCAGGGAGCGAAGAAAAAACTCCTTTACGAAATGATAACAGATGACTTCTATAGTACAAGATACCATAGTAGCTTATAATTGTTTGTAAATAAGAGATTTTCTTGGGGTAAAGTTTGAGAGAGTACATTAATAGCGTGTTTTGCATTTTTCAATAGAAACAGCGATATTTTAGTGAAAGATAGAATATCTGCTGCAATCACTAGATAGGGCGCAAACAGAGATCTATTATTATGGTAAAACGATTAGGAATAAAACAACCAGAGAGAAAAAATGTTACGGGTACGATTTCTATGATGAATTCCCACGAGGAGGAGCTGTCGAAAAATGATCACTCGGTGGCAGATTCGGGATTGAAGACGACTCCGAAGGGAATCATTTTGTTTCCGCAGCCTCATGACAATCCCAACGACCCGTTGAACTGGCCTATATGGAAACGAGACTTATGTTTGTTGGTGGTGGGATTTCAGACATTTTTGGGGGGTGGACAGTCGCCACTTCTTGCGGCAGGGATGCATGATTTGGCGGTGGAATTTGACCGTCCGATTACAACCATATCGTATTTGGTCGGGGGGTTTATGTTGGCGTTAGGGACGGGGTCGATATTTGCTAGTCCTACGGCCATATTGTATGGTAAAAGATTGGTGTATCTATTGGGGATTTTCATTTTCTTGATGGGTTCCATTTGGGCGGGGGCAGCGCCCGATTTTGGTAACCTCATGGGAGGAAGAATTTTGACTGGGTTTGGGGCCTCACCAACGGAATCGTTGCCCAGTGCCACAATCGCTGAGATATACTTTGCCCATGAGAGAGCTTATAGAGTTGGTATTTATACCATGTTGATGTTGGGGGGCAAGAACATCGTACCATTGTTATCTGCCTTAGTATTTCAGAGTTTGGATAGGCATTGGCTTTTCTGGATTTTGAGTATGTTTCTTGGAATGAACTTAGTCTTGACGTACTTTTTTGTACCTGAAACGTTCTGGGATAGGTCGCCTATTCCGAATAAGCGGTCTTTAGAAGAAACCAAGGCAGCTCAAGCAGCGTCTGATTATCATCCACCAAACGAAAGACCGAATGCATTTGCAATGAGAAGACAAACAACCACGGATTTGTTTACCACTGCAAGCTTACCTTCAACTGTTCCAACAAATATTAATACTCCAGACGTTCCAATTGGCATACAGTCGAATGAAATTCCTTCAAACATTGAAGCTAATCAGGAAGAACCAACTTCATTCAAAAAGAAATTAGCATTGTTTTCGGGGAGGCATACCATAGATAGTTGGTGGATGGTGGCCTTAAGACCATTTTTCTTGTATCTGTACCCATCGATTTTGTTTGGATCCCTTATTTATTCATTGGCTGTCGTATGGTTGATTGTGATATCAGAAACTATTACAGGCATCTTTCAAAGTGAAGGTTATGAATATAATCAACAAACAATTGGTCTATTTTACATATCACCTTTCATCGGTGGAATTCTTGGCTCATTATCCGCCGGTCTAATTAGTGATAGACTAAGTAGATTTTTGATTACACGGAATGATGGGGTTTATGAACCAGAGTTTAGATTATTCATGTTAATACCATCAACCTTCTTTACGGCGCTCGGATTGATGGGGTTTGGTTGGTCATCCTACGAAAAGGACGTGTGGGCCGGCCCTGTTATTTTATTTGGTTGCATGAGTTTTGGAAGTTCAATGGCCAGTACTACTGCAATTACGTTTGTTGTCGATTCCTATAAAATGTTTGCTTCTGAAGCTTTAGTTTCATTAAACTTTTCAAAAAATTTATTAGGATTCATTTTTTCTTTATTTAATAACGGATTCTTTGATGCCAAAGGTGGACGTACAACTTTTATTGTTTACGGTGCAGTTCAAATATTCGTAAGCTTATTTGGAATACCACTATATATCTATGGAAAGAAAATTAGAAGCTGGACAGACGAGAAAGAAATCTTAAGGTATTTATATCATGCTGATAACATTCCCGCTAGCGTGAATGATCATGATTCATTGCATCGCTACTCGACACAAGACGGGAATAAAGATAATGAATCATCGCCGAATACTACCCACTAAAACTTCACATATTTTATATTCTCTATTATACTCAAATATTATCAAATTGTACATTAGCTATTTAGTAACTGTTATCTGTTATCAAACTGTAGCATCAAAAATTATGATGGCATATTAGACTAGCCAATCTAATTTTGTTACATCAAATGTTCCGGCTAGAATGCTTTTATTCATATCTACATAATACTTTAGTCTTTTAATGGTAGATGAACCATTCCATTCTTCATTCGAGTGACCCAGATATAATTGTGGCATTCCAAGTCGCTCAATAACACATCCACTAGCTATATTACCACAAATGCCACCAATAACCCAGTCTCCTTCGGATAAGCATAAACCTGTAACGAACCCCCCGCAAAACAGGTTACCACCACCAGTTACGTCTACAACTTTACTTTGGTTTCTATGATATGCAGGTAATGAAATTTCCACTTTGGAAGTCTTGATAAAGCATCCTAAAGGTCCACATCTTACAACAGAACCAGAATTTGGTTTTGTCAAATAAGGACTAAACTTAGAACTCAATGTTTTGATATCTTCCATAGTTTCGGGCACCTTAGCCAGATTTGCCAAATTTGACATTTCATTTAAGTTCGGTGTAAATACATCAATCTTCGATAACAATAAAGTTAGCTTGTTATAATTCGATGCAACACAGACATCAGGTAAAGGCTCATATATGAATGTTGGACTGACATCATTTGGGGTAGCGGATAAAATCGTATCTATGATACATTCACACCTTTCAATCGAACTGATGATGTGAATGGTACGTGATCTAATCAAATAAGGGTCATTGATGATATCTTGTGCTTCAATTCGTTTTTTATCAGTTTTGTATTTGAAATGTCTAATATCGTCTTCGTCATATATATTAAGACCTCTAGTGGTTAGTCTAGAGAGATCTTCTTTCCAAACGATCCCTGAATTCCAACTCAAGATTTCTTTTTCAACAATTTCTGGAAAGTCAGATCCCTTATCTATAATTCCACAAATTAATTTGGATTTTTCAGCACCAGCAATAATTCTCGAACCAATGATAGCATAAGTACCACCACCACCTATAATATTATGCACTGGCTCCTTTTTAGATGATGCAGGGTATTGATTCTCATCGATGATAAACATTCCCATCGACGTGAATATAGGATCATCTTTAGCCATTTTTTAAAAATTTTATAATAGACGTTAAATGTAAAATACTAATAGCATCGTATAATAAATGTATAGAATGACAATATCAAAGTTCTAAATCATTAGCTATAATGCTTGAAAAACTGAACTCGTGCCCCTTTGGCCAAGTGGTAAGGCGCTCCACTCGTAATGGAGCGATCGCCGGTTCGATTCCGGCAGGGGGCAACGTGTTTTATATTTTTTTGGACTTCTTATTTACAAGAGCAAAATGCTGCTTTATACCATAGGATATATTCAGGTTCTTTACTTACAGTTTTACTTAATAATCTTAGATTGACAAAGAATATATAAATAATTCGATATATTTCGCTGACAATTATACAAATACTAATTTGCTTTAGGTGGAGGTGGAGGAACGGTGCCTTCATTTGGTAAATTCTCATTACTGTGAGTATCCATCTCTTTTGATTTTGCAAGTTCTTCATTCATGTATTCGTTAAGTTCTCCTAAGTTCGAACCAACCGGAGCATGTTTCTTCTTTCTAGCTGCACCGGCTCTTGGAGGTGGTGCTGACGCCAGCGGTACAAAAACAGCACCAGGTGAAGTATTGATAGAAGAGGCTGGCGGAGATGGAATAGTTTGCTGTGTCGAATGTTGGTCTTGTGCCTGATCTTGAACACCATAGCCGATGTTGTGGTTAGATTCAAATAAAACATCATCGATAATGTCATTGCTATCGAATTTGCCAATTACTTCGGGTATTCTGTGAAGTAAACCGTATCCTACATCACATCCCAAAATACCTCTATTTTGTCCTGTACCCCAAGATCTTGATAAGTTTACCGTCACAGGTCTTAAAATATCGTAATCGTGATTGTAAACATATAAGGTTATTGGTACATTATCCTCTTGAGAAGCAGAATAGTGTAAATTGTAATAGCTCATAACTGTCCTAGACAATAAGGATTCACCTCCTTTAGCCAAAAGACCTTTTCCTTCGGCATCCTCAGGGTATGCTGAATCACATCCAATGATGTAGTCGGAATACGGAATCAACTGAGCCTGGAATGCTGGGGAACCGTGGTGGGTGTTCAATATTCTCCAAACATACGTTGCAGTGTTCAAATGTTGCGATTGCAATGTTAAACCTACCTGCGAAAAGCTGTCATTGAATAATGATAACTCCGATTCATCAGCATTGTCTTTGGATGATGGCTCAAATTTATCGAGCGGTAGTATGACTTGTCTAACAATGCCACCCTTAGCACTCCAAACATCGAGCACAAGCTCTTTACTTGCTTTATCGTTCTTAGCGATATTCACGATTTCTTTCTGTAATATGTCATAATTTATCATTCCAGCCTGTTCCTGGGTAGTGCTATCTCCATAATTAATTGATCCATCATCGTTTATACCGTACGAATACGTTGAAATCGATGGATACATCATAGGCAATTCGTGATAGTTAATACGGATAATGTAATCAAACCATGATTCTAGCCCCTTCTGATGAGCGGTTGAATGTGGAGCAACATTCAAAACACGTAAGGCATATCCTTTATTATTCAATTGTAAACCACTCTTGAAGTACGAATCTGACCCATTGGAGTCACCCGAGCTAGAACCCCCTTCAAACTTATCTACTAATTTCTTTGCGAACGAAAACATTGTTTTAAAACTGTACTTTCAACAAATATTACGAAGAAGCCGGTTGGAGTTAATTTTTTATTTTCGAAAATACAGTGAGCACTAAAATATAATATTAGTTTTGAAAATATACAGTAAGTAAATATACAATAAGAAAGAAAGATAAGTCCTATGAAAATTATGTGGCGTTGGAAATACCACCAGAAAATGCTAATCCCCAAGTTCTACTTTGACCATTGTCTAAGTATGTAGAGGACCAATTGTCAGAAGAGAAGAATTTATAAGAAGAAGAAGCATCATACAAGGCTTCGTTAAGACGCAAAATACCAGTCCAGCCGCTATCAACGTCGTCGATGAATGTAGAAATTTGGTCATCCCATTCTTCTTTGACGTAGGAAGGAGTTCTTATTAAAGATGAAGCTGGCGTGATAGGCAACATGTGGATACCGTGAACGTATTCTGGATGATCAGCTGGTGTACCGAAATAAGTGGTATAGGCCACTTTATTATCGAACAAAATACCTGAGACCTTGTTGGCAATAATTTCAGATGGCTCCACATCGTTGTCATTCTTGTAATAGAAATATTTGTTCATAGCTCTGCTCATAATGGCTAACATCAAGTCACCTCTTGATTCCATTGAATTGTCTCCGGAAACTTTACCCCACAACTTCATACCGTAGGCAAAGTTATAGTCTTCGGAAGAGGATTCTTCGTTGTTACCGTCACCACTAGTAAATAAACCACTGGCCCAAGAATGTCCGGCAAACCAATCAAACATTCTGGATACAGGGAAGTAGGAATCATCTTCAGTTGGGTTTGCAACATCCCTAATTAAAGAGTTGACCCATTCCTTGTTGTCCTCAGCCCAAGTACCACCTAATTTCTTATCAACATAACCAACGACAGCGGCGGCATGGACGAAGTAACCGTAATGGAAATGGTGGTCATTGTAATAAGCAGCACCAAATTCGACGCCCGAATCACCATCTTGGGAAGCAGAAGAAGTTACACCACCAAATTTGGTATCGTACATCAATGGGTAATATTGCTTGTTATTGATGAATGGTTCAAATGCATCCTTCATGGCTTCTAATGTGGAATTTGTAACATCTTCATCCTTAAGTATATCGCTTACAACCAATAAAATATAAGCGTACTTATCAAGCACTTTACCTGAATAGTACATGGAATTCATGGAAGCAACCGTTTCTTTTATATCGACAGCTAATTCTTCATTTGCCGATTTAGCCAATAAGGTAAGTTGTTCGCTGGTATAAGACAAATCGCTACCCATATTTTGAACCCAAGGTAAGAACAGAATATCGGTTTCTAAAGCTTCAGACATGACTAACTCATTAGTTAAGTATCCGTACATGTCACCTTTAGAAGTGGAGGTTAACTTGATACCAGTTGAGCACTCCTTAGTTGTACTAGTTAATGATTCAACATGATGTGGTAAAGCGAACACTATGGTTTTTCCAGAACTTGAGGAACCCTTTGTTGTGTAAGCAAACTTATATTCAGCTGATACTCCTCCAGAGACCGAACCTTCAACTGATGCATCGGTAGCGTACATACCAGCAGCTTCATCGTAATAACCTTCAGCGGAAGAGCTATCTGGAGCGACAGCAATTTGTATGATAAGACCATCTATGGCAGTTGAACCCTTGATTTTGTAAGGACTTTCAGCAGATAAGTTGAAATTTGTTGAGTCGCTTGGCACTGTTACATAGATCAACCACTCAACACCATTGAATAAAGTGGCACGATACTTGGACATGTTCTTATCTAAAGCAGACGATGTTTCTGCGGTTAATTCTTCAACTCCCATTAATGAGTTTAACATTGGAACCAAATCACCGTTATAAATTGCTGTAACTAAACCCATACCTTGTACAACAGGAATATCAATATAGTCAGATCCAACTGTCGAACTTTCAGATAATTGAACTAATGCAGACATACTTTTCATGTTTGAAACAGACATATGGTTTGAAGAGTTGGAGAATGATGTAGAGGAAAATATCAACTCAGCATTACCGATTGGATTAAAGTAGTATGATGCAACTCCTTTGTTATTAGTATCATCAGATCCGAAGACTCTATCTGAAGCATTCGTATGTTGAACTCCGAAACCGTAATAGTCTTGAGTTTTCCATAACATACCATATGGATACGACCAGATCATATCAGTTTGCTCTCCTAAGAATAAATTGGAATAAAATTTGTTGGTTTCATATGGAACACCATCATTGTCGACACCTTTAGGGATAGATAATGGCAATTCCTTTTTCGAGAAAACAGAAAGTGGACCCTCTGTGGATATAGCGTCAAATAAGTCACCTGAGTAGCCATTAACGGGCGCTTTTGATCCAAGAAGACCAGAAGCGGATGATGAAGCACTTGATGATGTAGAACTCGAACTCGAAAGATCAGATTGGCTTGAAGTCAAGGTACCAGATGAAACAGCACTAGAGATCACAGTGCTTGACCCATTTGATAAAGTTGATGTAAAAATAGATGAGTTGGATCCATTTGTAGCGGCCTGCGAAGAACTTGGAATAGCACTTGAGGCAATACTGGATGATCTAACCGTAGATGATGTATTATAGTAGGAGTAATATGGAGATTGTGAAAATTTTGTTGCAGACACGGATTGAGCTTGATTGGATTTTTCACTCAAGTTAATTGTAGATGTAATTGGCACTGAGTTTTTATTGTTTTTAGATTCATACGCTGATAAGCTGGTTTGCGTACTATTCGAATGCTTTGAGTTGTTAGACTTTGAATCAGTATCGCTAATTGTAATGTCTGTGAATTTGGAAGTATCGATAGTTTTAGTCAATGACTTTGAGACTGCAGATTTAGTGACTAATGGGTTTTTTTTCGTGGAGGTAATAGATTCGTAAGAAGTTTCATCGTATGTCGTAGTAGGTGTTACGGTAGCTTCGAATATGGTTCTAGTTGTAGTTTTAGCTACCTTACTGATTATTGCTTCGGCAGTAGAGTCGTCGGTTTCGGTTTGAACATCATATTCAGTGCTTCTTGTAGATCTTGCTTGTTCTTTACCAGAAGACAGTTTAGCATCTGACTTTTCAACCCCAGCGCCTGTGGTAGTATAAGTAACCACCGCATCAGTGGAGTAAGTATGTGGGACAACATTAGTGGAAACTGAAATAGAACAGAGGTTATTGGAACAAGTAGTGATAGTTGCAGTTTCAGTAGAATCAGTGCTGACAGTATAAGATATTTTAGAAGAAGTAACAATTACTCGTTGACTCTGCTGAGTTTGTTGATTATCAGAATTGGTAGTTCCTACTTGGGTAGGGTTACTTCCTTGGCTATTACTTTCCTGAACACCATTACCTTGTGGAAAATCATTATCTTGCTGAGAAGTATCTCCTTGTTGCTCATCATCATCACGGTTTCCGTAAACGAAGACAATAGGAATCCCAGTTGTTAAACTTTGAGGGTTGTTTTCCAAAGCAGTATTAATTCCCTGTTCAAAACACGATGGTGTGATATAGTTGGTTTTGGTGAACGTAACTGTCTCCTCTGAAACAATAAGCTGAATAAATGAAAGTAGTAAGACTAGCAAATACGCTAATGGAGTTCTTGTTGTAGAAGCCATTATACAAAATTATTTTTTGCTTTCAATAACAAATTTACTTTCAAACTAAAAGAAATGATTGACTATAGTTGGAATAACAACAAAAGAATGAATGTGTTAAAATGAATGTGTAGTTAGTTTGAAGTATCCTAGTTAAAAATAAGGTTTGTTCTAAAATCAAGAGGAAAGTTTACTTCCTTTAAATAAGCTTCATCCAACGGCCGGTACGAGACATTATGCATAAACATACCAGCATTTTAAAGTAAACGAGGCGTTTGATGAACGGGATATACTTTAAAGCGATGCACTTGCTTAGATCCAAATAATATTAATGATTTACTAGTTTTCATGCATAAGATGGCTGGCCATGCTGCGTCAGACCTGGCTGCGAAAAAAAAAATACAATAGCCAGCCATCTTGATGAGAGTGAGTTGACGCATTCATCGATACACCAATCGCAACTACAATCAACAAAGACCTTACAGTATGAACACTAGCATAAATAACAATGTCCAGCAACAGTAACATTACGGTAGATTATCGTTTTGATATATTTGTGCTGGGGACTTGCCGATCATAGTCGACTCCGAATATAAAATCTGGAGAAAAAATAAGTCGTCCAATTTTATGTTTATATGAGTCTTGCGTCATATTAGGTGTTTCTTATCCGATATCTACTTTCTTTGAACAGGTGATGTTGTTATATGTATTTAAATTAATATATGTTGCATTTGTAGGCTACAGAGTGTATTTACCAATTTCCGAGTATGAGAATATCTACTGAAGTCTTGATTATGTCCCATGCTAGGTAGAAGAAACATTGACCATGACGCCAAAGATTGTGGTAATTGGTGCTGGTGTGAGTGGACTTACCACAGCATTAGAATTGAAGAAGTCTAATTCGGAATATGATGTGACTATCGTAGCACAACATTTACCAGGAGACTATGATGTTAACTATGTTTCCCCATATGCTGGAGCCAATTGGTATTCGTTTGCTACTCCAGAAGATAAGATTCTTCAAGAATTCGATAAACCATCCTATAGAGTATTTATGGAATTAGCTCAAAATGAGCCTAGGTCGGGGATTTGGCATAAAACGAGTTATGCATATTTTACTGAGGATTACATGAAGGAGATCAATTACGATACTGGTAAAGGCATCCCTTGGTTTAAGGATTTTGTAGAAGAATTCAAGATCCTTGAAAAAAAGGAGTTACCGGAAGGGATTTTTTTTGGGTTTCTGTTTAAGGGAGTTGTTATATCGGTTCCAATATACTTAAATTTTTTGCTTTCTAAGGCACTTGAAAGTGGAATCGCAATTAAAAGGGTAAAAGCTATCGAGAACGTTGAGGACGCCCGGAACCTTCATTCTTCTGGAAATAAAGCGGACTTGGTTATTAATTGTTCGGGGTTATTGGCGTTTAAATTAAAGGGCTACAATGATCCTAACCGTTCGTATGGAATACGGGGCCAGACGTTGCATGTAAGGAATAACGCATCCAATCAGATTGAAGTACAGTCATTCGGCCCTGGTTTTGAGGACGAAATGCTCTACATTATGCCCCGTAAAGAAGGTGGATCAATTATTGGAGGCTGTTTTATCGAAAACTATAAGGATACAGAAGAAGACAAAGAATTGACCCAAAGACTAGTCGAAAGAGCCAAGAAGTATGCACCGGAGATGTTCGATCCTGAATTCAAGAATAATCCTACCGAAATAGATATAATCCGTGTGAATGTAGGATTAAGACCTTTTAGGGACGGAGGAGTTAGAGTTGAAAGTGATAGGGTTAACCGCTGGTTAATTCACAATTATGGTGCTGGTGGCGGTGGATACCAAGGTAGCCATGGCTTCAGTTCTACCGTGGTCTCGCTTGTCAAGCAAGCTTTAAACAGAAAAATGCCTAGCAAATTGTAACTTTCGATAATCAAACGTATTCATATGTCCAATTCATTATATAACTTTAATAAACCAATTTATCATTTATCTACGTCACATAACTACAGACTGTGGAAAAGAATTTAGACGAATATATTGTACATAATTAACGTCCATCATTTAAAGATACGGCCCCTTTAAATGGAATGAAATCAATTAAACAAATTTATTCTTTACCATATGGAATAGCTTTTTACCTCCTTTTTTAACAAATTCTTTTTGATGTTCTCTATTCGTAGCATTTTCAAGGAATTCTTTAGGAGATGTCTGTTTGCCAATGAATGGTGTAGGCGCTCCAGAATAGCTATGTGGTTTAACCTTTATATCAGAATATCCATGCTGAGGACTAAAATATCCGGTGTCAGATGGTTTATCGGGTAAATGCATATTAACACTCTATTGCATGCTCTATGTACCTCTTCTAGACGGTCAATAAGATATCATTCTATTAAGTACTATTGCTTCTAATAGACTGTTCTACTGAAGGGTAAGATGATTATGTAATAAACGAAATTTTTCAACTTCATAATTAAGTGAGAAATAAAATGAGCTATAGTGGAAGATAAAGTTCGTTAACGCTATAATAAACGAGGATGAGAGCTTCGAATGTGCTTAACTTCCAACAGACAGCTGTGGCAAACTTGAGGAGACCATGGCAAACCTTTAAGGATGGTCAGATTTGGTATGGTATGACCACCAGAGGGACCAAGAGACATCCTTTAACCACGAAACAGGGAAACAAGCATTATTATAAGGGTACCGGTTCTTCAGGGTATGGTAAATTAAACAAATCCGGGATATACATAGTTAACTGGGAAAAAGTCAGAACATACGTTGTTCCAGCAGATTTGCATACTACCGAGTTAAAGCCATTAGTTTCACCAAATGTTCCTCAGATATACCAGAAATTCACCGGCTATTCAGATGGCATGAAGAGCCCTGAATTGGCATGGAAGAATATAGTTGACTTTGTTGAACACGGTGAAAACTACAATGAACAAGATTTGGAAGAAAACCAGTACTTGGAAGAATTTGTGAACCACGACATCCACAAGGCCGAACAAGCAGAGAATGTTGAAGCCGCTCAATAGGCAACTGATATGAAGTCAAAGGAACACATATATTGCGTAGACTGCAAGGATGGAATGATGGAAACAAATCTTGTAATTATTGGAGCCTCTCGAAATCCTTAAAGCTGCGTAGATTACCTCTAGCATGAATGCTCAATACAACTGCATTATAATTGCCTATCTCATTTGTTGGTGAATATGATGCTAAACTAAATCTGTATATATTTAATGTATTTAATACTTTGTTAAGATTCTATGTAAAAAGATTCTATGATGGCCGAATTTAAACCCATTTTCAATACAAATGAATAGAAAACAAAAGCAGAGAATACCTCTCAGTAGTCTATGATCTACCACTGTAAACTAGATCCTCTAAATCTTCTGGGGTTGAAGGGAATATGCCATAATAATAACTAAAATCACGAGACTCGCTATATTGAGTGAGCATAATTCCTAAATCACGTCTCTTACTATATATTTAGTACCATCTTTAGTACCAATGTCTTCACCAATACCTCCATCGAGTTTGAACAACTCGCAAGTAGCTAATATAATTGATGAAAGCAACGAAACTCCAAGTAATACTCCACCAATGATATCAAACACTACTACACCCGTGCCAGAAATAGAGATGGAAGAGTCCAACGCGCCTCAAGATAATACTATAGCATCAAATCCCATAGATGCTGAGAAAGTTCAAGAAGTGAATGAAGATGATGACGGAGAAGAAGAAGAAGAAGAAGAAGAGGAAGAGGAAGAGGAAGAGAGCTTGTCTCTTCCATTATCTAAAATTAAAAAAATATTTAAGATGGATCCTGATTATTTGGCCGCATCACAGAGTGCTGTTTATGCCACCGGCTTGGCTACAGAATTATTTATCCAATACTTCACTGAACAATCTTTAGTGCTAGCTAAGATGGATAAAAGAAAGAAGCTTCAATATAAAGATTTCAGTAATGCAGTGGCGAGTCAAGATTCGTTAAATTTCTTGAGTGACACTGTGCCGAAGACACAACCAATCGGAGAATTAATAAATAACAAAAAAGTTAATGTGAATAGTCATGATAACAACGAAATACGTGAAATTGGAAATACTGAAATAGATGAAATAGAGGTAGACGAACCAGTCAACGACACGAAAAAAGTGAAGTCTTTAGCTAAAGGTCAGCAAACTTTAAATTTCTCTACTACCAATGCAGCGACTGAAAGTATAAATCCAATGCCTATCAAAAAATCAGTAATTAGCGATATCGTCACAACTGATAATGAAACAGAATTAACAAGTAAAGAGGCCACCGAAGAGGTTGAAGATCAGGATGTGATAATGATCAACTAATTAGAGATACATAACTTATTATAGATACATTAAACGCATATTATTGAATGCTATATGCACATATATACAAGGCGTTTGAAACTGAATTATAGAACTGTTTCATGTTCTATGACCCATAAAATATTTTGAACTTCTTTGACCATATATTGATCTTTCGATAGACCCATTGAATAGCAAAATTTAACCATATTATAGGCCGTTAAATCAGATATAGCTCGTTCATATGTGTTCATTCCAGTGATGATAAATTTCACATATAATTGTATCAATTTAGATGGTGCTATTGAACCTTCTAACGTAGATAACTGCTTTTGACGATTTGATTGCCGTCTCAGATTACTATTTTTGATATAACTTGAAATCTTAGAATTGTTCGAAAGATGTTCCCAAATTTCTACAAATTTTTTAGTCAAAAATCTTTCTCCTTTATTCTTGTCTTCTTCAACAATTTTGATAACAAATTCAAGGGCAAGAACAATAATATTGTCAGACCCGTAGTCATATGGATCGTTTTTTGAAAATGTTGAAAGCGAGGATGCTCCTGAAACTAAGGTTAGTAATACGGGCCAATGTTGCGATATAACCGGTAATAATAACAGATGATTTTCCGCCAATATTGGATAGATATTAATTAATGTTTTTATAATTTGAATTCTTAAGTTTGTTGATGGATGAGACAACAACCTAAAGCCGTAGTTGAATATTTTCTGAACAATAAAATATATATCCTTTGGTATGCGAGAATTCCATACCTCTTGATCATCACTTTGGCTTGTTTCATCATTTTCGTTAGCTTCATCCTCTTCATCATCTGAATCAACTAATTGATCTCCAAATGCAGTATCGGGCTTCCTTCTAAAATATTCTTTATTTGAATCATAATCATTCATAGGATCAATGAGTTTATTTGAATCATCTATTAAAGCTAATAATTGCGTACAGTTTGATAAGCCCCACGGTTTGTATAATGAAGTGTTAATACTTGGATCTGATTCTTCTTTTGGCAATATCTCTTGTTTTAAATACTCATCTTTAACCTGCTGTATTAATTCTTCAAAAACTATGAAAAAACCTTCTACCAACGCTGAATAACCATGATACGAATCGATGAGTATAAGCATTTTGGTTAGGATATCCAGTAACTGATTAGTTAGTAAAAGCTTAATTCCTGCAATTTTTAATACAATTAGTAAGATGCCAGGTAATGCTGGGGTTAAAGTACTAACAACAGATAGCTTTAGGCTTAAACAATCGATTAGATAATCCAGGTTATCCATCACTAGTAATTCTAGCGATCCATTATAATAGTTTTGGACAATTGATTCCAATGATGATGCAGCATGTATTTGTATCAACGAGTTCGATTGGTAAGTTAGTGCTTCTAGCAATGGATATAAATAATCAATAAGAAAATCAGTTTGAAAATCCGACAATGGCAAGTGATTAGCAAGCTGCCCTATAGAATCAATGGCCACTGCATAAGCAAATTCATAGATCTTATATAATTGAATTTTATTCTTACTTGTAACATTTTCTGGTGAATTTATTAGTGATGAAACTTCATCTATTAATTCTTGAGCTTTTCCCATTATTAGATACGACATTTCTTCTATGTTGCTCTCATTAGGTATTTGTAAATTGGTCATACTATCCCTCTGTTCGAATACTAAGAATTCATTTATATCAAATGAATCATTATTAGATAAACTTTGTATCTGTTTACTATCTCTAGAGTTATACGCACCCAACAAGTTATTGGCCATCCAAAGTGATATAGCTTTGTCTAGGTATTGAGTCGACATATCGTTACCAGGAATATCATTTCTTAATAACAAATTTTCGATAGTTACAAGTGATTTGCTTTCGTTTGACGTTCCTAGCAAAGCAATAAAACCGAGAAGACTTACAAATCTGTTTTCAATAAAAGGTGAGTAAATACCTTTAAAATAACTTGAAAACATCTCTGATAAATCAGCATATGGCTTAACCCTCGACCAAGTTTTGGACAATATTAACAAGTTATCCGTATATGCGTTTCTATTATGACTTTTATTAGTTAGGCGATTATTATCATCAACTTGGGTCAATTTGTGAGCATTAATGTGTGGTGGTAATTCAATATTGTCTAGTTTATTTTCTGATTCATTTGCATTATCAGAAAGGGTGCCATTAATTGCTAACGGAAAAAGTTCTTTACCTTTGAGCTGATTATTGAAAACAAAACAATTAACAAACTGCAGCTGCAAATTTTGCGTCAATTTTAATTTTAAATCTTGTACAGCATCCTCATTAGTGAAGAAGTTATTCGATAGTTTGTTTAAGATGCTGAACTGGAATTTAAGTGAAACAATGTAGGAATTGATCTTCTCGTCATCAGTCGAAAAGACAATTGACGATAATTTGTTATTAATGAAATCCGCTAGTTTCAATTTTACGTGATTGTAAAGTAATTGTTGATTCTTATCACTTGTATCAATTGCTGATATATTCGAAATTACCAATGAAGTATACTCATCTATTTTCATTTCTTCTTCGGTTGTTTTCTGAATAGAAGTCGTTTCCTCAGACGTTAGGATAGATACCAACATAGACAAAACATCCAATGCTATAGTACAGAAGTCTTTAAATAAAGAAATAAAACAGTTTTTGAGTATTTCATTCACAAATGAAATTAGTTCATTGGATACCTGAGTCTTTGTTCGCACCTTCTGTCTATTACTTTGAGACGTCAAAAAGGTTCTGAATAAGATGGTCAACGATATTTTCAATTGCTTTGCAGTAGCAAAGAGCCAACTCGTAGTTCGATGTTTATTACCGGTTGCTGGTATCTCTAGTTTAATGTGTAGCGTATCCATTTTTGCTATTGTGTGCTCCTCCTCATTTTGATCTTCCCAGAGTTCATTCAACTTTTCCAAATCTGGTTGAAAATCTGAAGAGTCGAAGCTGATTTTCAAGTCCCTATCGCTGAATACTTTTACTATCAATTGCCTTAATACTTTTAAAATACCACGAATAATAGAAAAATGCAACGACTTAGAATTTGTTGAGAAATTAACCAAATGTGATACAGACCCAGGAAATATATGTGATAATTGTTCTGATGATACCTTTGAATATAACACATCAATTGTCTCGAGGCAACCATTAACAAGAACTATTTCTTCCTGCGTCGTTGGGCTTTGCAAACTTGTAAGTATATCAAGCAAGATAGTTGTCGAAGATCCCAACATCGTCAAATTTTTGGGATTGCTTGAAAAATAATCAGCAGGCAAACAAGCTACCATACTATTCATGACATTAATAGCCGACTCTTTGAACGAAAACTCCTTTTTTCCAATCACAGTGACACCCTTGGCCCCAACATTATTATCTACAAGAAACAATATCAATGGATACAATTGATCTAGTAATTTAACGTCCACATTATGACTCCATGAATGCCTGATTAAAAATGCTATTATCTCGAGCAAAACTGAAATTACCTCGTCATTTAAGGTTGGCTGTTTCAACAAGTTAGACAACGGAAAGAATACATAATCTGCTATATTGGCGGATAATCGATAAGCACCAAACTGGGAGTTTTCACGATAATGTGCTTCAAGAGTCCTATTCACATTATTCAACGCTGAAATCAATTTCTGCGAATCTGATTTGAATATTGGATTTGGTAGTAATGCTAGCTGCGTTAGTTCAACACAGTATGGTTTGATCGCAGAAAATAGCAGCAGCGACAATGCCCGTTGCACATACTGTTCCTTATCCCCTATCTTATTTATCACTTCATCAACTGACATTGATTGCGAATCTCTCCAACGGTATGATCAACTCTAATATGTAACAAGCCCATATACGGTAGGATCTATTCTACTAAGCTTATCTAGTAACTAACATTTTGCCGTTTTTCTCTAAAGGCACGTGATAAATATATCATACCAATAAATACTTAACCCAAGCGTAAATTTAGTCATTATGGAAAGTGGTGAAAATTTTTCAAAACCGTACTGAAAGAAGATGTATTTTACTCTTCATATAGTTTTTATACTAATTTGAAAGTTTCGACAACCACATAAACAACATAAGGTATGTTTTACTGAATACCATCTATAAAGCTACCATGAAATTTCCAAAAATACTTCGACACTTGGATCAAGCTGTCTCGAATTATTTCCAATCATACAAGTATTAATATAAGAATCTAATTATCTTGAAGAATGTTACCAAAGCTTAGCAATTGTATGTTATACAGGGCCGGTTTTGAGGATTTTCTTTTTTCTTAACGGAGGATGGGTACATGTTCTACTTTCAACACTATTAGAATAATAACCCTCGAGATGTTAGATACCTTGTATTAAATTAACTACTTATTAGTTATGGCTCATGAATCCATTTTAATTATTGGACACTCATGTGGCTTTTTATTATTTGTTTGATTGTGGATTCAACGTATACTAACTAATATTTAGAAAAAATGACCAGAACTTCTGTCTTAGCTGATGCTTTAAACTCCATTAACAACGCCGAAAAGACCGGTAAACGTCAAGTTTTAATCAGACCTTCCTCCAAGGTCATCATCAAGTTCTTGACTGTTATGCAAAAACATGGTATGTTTTGACTGCTTCGATTGTAACAACACATTACAACCCCCTCCTTTATATCTCTAGCCCCGGATTGATAACTGGATGGATTGATCGGTGTTCAGTCCCTTTCTGTCTTTTAAGTATTCGGAAAAGCAAAGTCTGAAGAAACATTCCTGGTTTTGGTATTGCCTTATTTATAGGGTACCTATTATCTCAATCGTTTGTTTTTTCCCCGACATTTTATCTTTCTCTAATCTAATGTGTTGTGTGTTTTATCCTTGTGACAAAACAATTTACTAACAGAAACTAGGTTACATTGGTGAATTTGAATATATTGATGACCACAGATCCGGTAAGATTGTCGTTCAATTGAACGGTAGATTAAACAAGTGTGGTGTTATCTCTCCAAGATTCAACGTCAAGGTTGGTGACATGGAAAGATGGACTGACAACTTGTTACCAGCCAGACAATTCGGTTATGTCATTTTAACTACTTCTGCTGGTATTATGGACCACGAAGAAGCTAGAAGAAAGCACGTTGCTGGTAAGATCTTGGGTTTCGTTTATTAGGTTATATAGTCTGTACAATATAGTAATTAATTTCATTTTGATTTTTAGCTAAACATAATCGTAGTATTTTGTGTCAATAAATTTCTCATACATAATTTAGTGAACTCATAATGAAATATTATATGGACTTTAACCACATGAAAAAATGCCATTACCTGAGTCACTCAAGTTTTTAGGCTCTACTTTATCATGGACCTTAAAGGCAGGGTGTGTGGCTCACTTGTTACACGAATATGTGTACGAATTTACAGAAACCAGGGGAGAGTCAATGCTCCCAACACTACAATCACACCATGATTATGTTCATGCTTGGAAGAAGCATAGATTGGGAAGAGATTTAGAAATAGGTGATTGCATAGTGGCAATAAAGCCAAGTGATCCAGAACATCGTGTGTGTAAGAGAATAACAGGAATGCCGGGAGATATCATATTGGTTGACCCATCATCTTCTTCGGAATTGACCAATAGTACGGCAGAGTGCATTTCCCATGATGGATTTAACAAGTATATAAAAGTGCCCGAAGGTCATGTTTGGGCTACAGGGGATAATTTGTGTCACTCATTGGATTCAAGGTCATATTCAGCGTTACCAATGGCATTAATCAAGGGAAAAATAATAGCTGCTAATTCGATGGATAGAGGGCTTAAAGATGAAAATGGAAAGATGTGGTTTTGGAATTTCAGGTGGATAGGAAATTCGTTTGTTACGGAGGGGTAGATTTATGTAAATACTTTATTTGTGATTAATATAATGATAATATTGATGTAACTATAAGTGTAATTTTATTCTGGCTTGAGGTTTGAAACCGGCTAAATAACTATATTAACAAACGAACACACGTATCAAGCTCTACCAGCTCTATGGTATTTGGCTAAATCTCTGAAAACTCTTGATCCAAAATAAATACTTGGACCTCCAAGGACAAAAGCGTAGAACAAAGTAACAAAAATAGTAGCACCCAAGTAGTAGCTAATGAAGGTAAATTCAAAACCGAGTAACGATATTAAGAACCCTAAGTTATAAACCACTTTGCATCCTGAAACTTGATTAAATATTCCGAATAAATCGGAACCGAGCATAGTGCCCCAGGCGACAACTAACCCGAAGAATAATGTTGTAGCACCACCAATGAATACTAGTGGAATCAATGGATTTACCGTTTTTGGATCCTCTCTGAATTGGTGGTGAATTTCTGGTTTAATTCCATTTCTTTCAACTTCAGTATATGTCGATGATGCTTTCAATTCTTCAGTAGGAATAATCTCAACTAAAGACTTGAATAAATTTGCACTACTTCCAGAGTCACCCACGATTAAATTCAAGAACAACTTGTCTTCAATCTTCAATCTTTCTGCAATTTTTTTAACTGGAATTGATAAAGAGATTAACTTGGAGCTGGCATCTAATTTAGGGACGTATGAGGAATCTAACCCTTTGTTATTTCCTAAACTAACAACAATCTGATTGGGTGCCTTCGAAAAGTCATCTTTCAAATTCAAGCTGATGTCAATCTTATCCTTTGGTGAATTGATGGATAATTGTTTGACCTCTTGTGTATTCATTTCTCCGAACGCTACTGATTCTCCATTTGATTTAATTGAGCCTTTTGAAATAGAAAATGCCAATGAAATAGCAAGCAATTGTAAGAAACTGACTATCGAAGCGAAAGCTAACTTCATTTTGATTGTATAAGTCTATATGTTGAATCTAATTGAATACTTTCTTTCAAATACCTACAGATTTGTCAACCGTGTTCGATTAAACTGTGTTCATATGAATAATGACACAAAATCATAAATCCAACACCAGTATGAAGCATTTTGTATTATATAGATATTAGATAGCAAAATACAGACTAAACACCCAGAAACAAACGTAAATAGGTAGTTGAAATATTTGTGAAGTAAAATTCCACTTCACAAGTAATATAACGAGTGATTAGTGGTCAAAATAATGAATGCAAAAAAAAAGGACATAAGTCTCACATAAAATTTCCTACTCTGTATCCTCAGTGCTGGTATCCTTTATAACAATATCTTCACTCTTGTTAAGAACATCTTTCAATTCAGCTGCATTGGGGTCAGGCTCATTCACTTCCAGGATCACTTTATATCCAGACGAGTTATTTGTATCAACAACCACATGAGACATGGGCAAGTCAAATTGGGGAGGCTTTCCGTCTATATCTATATTTTTCTCTTCACCATCTGAATTGGTAAAGCTGTCAGCAAAGTTTTTGATTTTTTTCTTCAAATAGTAACTTACCGCCAGGACAATAATCTGAATCCACGTATCTGATTTGGAACACATCGAGATAAATAACATGAGAGATCCCACGAATATAGATGTAGTCAATATAACTGGTACAAGGATAAAGGCTAGAAATTAGTTGGTGACTTCTTTAAAAAATTGTCTTCATGAAAATACGTACAAACAACGACAAAGAAAATAAAGAAAACTATGGCAAAGAATGCAATAGTAATTGATGAAATTCCGAACATGAATGTTATCAGCAGGAATATTAGAAGTATCAACGGAACAAGTATCAAAACTGATATCTAAGGTTTAGTTAGGTGTGTTTTTATAGTATTTAATATGAAAAAAAAAAAAACATACGGTTGCAAGAATAGATCGACAGTTATTCGCTCTCCCTATGAGTAAAATTGACTTTTTTATCTGGCATTTACAGTAGATAAACTTGCAAACGATATTTCTGATCATGGTTAGTATGTCATTCTATAAGGAACAGTTGGGATTATATTACATACTTGATGAATTCTTTACCGATATCAGAGTTATCAGTGAAATGATCAATAAAACCTAATGTAGTATACGTAGCACTTGCGATTATAGCAGCTATTGTATCTCGAATATGAAAGGAGAATTTACCCATATCTTTGAAAGGAACATTAATATATGATTCTGATATTTCAGTGGGCTTGTATGTTGCTTTTGCTTCGTTTGAACTGACTTGTTCTTGCGGTGAAATATTACTGTTTTGTTTATCGCCCTCTGATAATGACGATTTTATGGTCTCATTTGGTTTCATATCCCTAGGCGATAATAGTTCTGATTTGGAATGTTCAGAAGAACAACTTTTAGAGGTTTGCATTGTTGTTATCGGTTGATTGTAAGAAACAAATATATTACAAGAATTTTGCAACAACGAAAATGCTCATTTTTGATTAAAATATATGAGATCTAAAATTCGAAATCTGATAATAACTAAGATTGAAGTGAGCCATCATGAGTGTTATTCTTCAATTCTGTAATTCCCAAATCTGATTCCATATTGTATTCAACATGAACCTGTTTGAGATACAAAGGGGGTATTTTCGGTATACTGGTAATTGATTCAAACAAAACGGCGCCCATACCACCAAGGAGATGACCCAAATTATGACAATGGATTAACCATATTCCCGGATTATTTGCAGTTATTCTAATTACAGAATGTCCTTTAGCAGGAGTGTAGGCAATGTCAAACATTGGGGGGTTGGCAAAATTCAAGTTGGTATAATTGTCTTTGGCAGCTTCTTCAACTGTCGCATACGGAAAGTTTTCAGTCTCACTATAACTAATTAAATGAAACAAATGCCCATGCATATGTATTGGGTGATCAATAGCCCTAAAATTATTGATTATAATATCGATAACGTCTCCTTCTTGAATATTATCACTCAAAGATCCGTTAAAGGACGCCATTTTATTTTCTTCCTCGGAGAAAACCATATGCAACAAAGGCTTCGAAAGCTCGAAGCCAGCAGGTAATTTGGTTCCATCTTTGAACATGCTGAATTCAACTACACCCGTTCTATTCAAATAGAGTTCGAAAGTATGATCTGCTGCTTTACTAGAATTAAGTTGATCCACTTTACTCAACGGACCAGTTTCATGCGGCCAAACCAGAACGTAATTATCTTCTATTAGTTTTCCATCTAAATCTTGAAATTTGATACCATTATTGATATTGTTTCGCTGCTGAAAGTTTTGAAGCTCAACAGACGAGTGAGTAGAATTATCACCGTATATCAAATATCCTAGTGCTTCAATATACTGGGGTGTTTTAATTGCTGCGAATCTCATTGCAAATGGCTCCTTGGAGTTCTGGTGTTCGCTTGACTTTGTTTCTAAAAGAATCGTATACCTTGATCCAACTGGAACCAATAGCTGATGAACAAGTTTTGGCCGTATAAACACCCCATCAACTGCAATTACATAAAACTCGTGGTCATCAATTGAAAATGCTTTCGTATACTGACCACCAGCATTTAAAATATTTACATATTGCCAAGAGGAATGGTTTGTAAAATAGACAAAATTGTCTCTCGAAGTTGATTCACAGCTTCTAGAGAAACCAGGGCTTTCGAGTCCAAAATTATCAAGTTTGAAGTCATGATATCCATTTGTCTTCTCGCTTCTAATGCAGCCCATGGAATCAAATTGCGGCACATTATCAATTTCAGATTTTGAGGCCAATCTGTGGAATGTTGAATACTCATGGCAGTATATTCTACCCTTACCATTTAACAATATGCTCAGGATACATAATGGGTCAATGCCGTAATGGAACATTCTCGCCATGATATCATCCATTGGAAGCTTGAAGGAATCGTCCGCAATTATATATGAAGGTGACTTTTCTAAAGATTCTACTAGAGCTAACTCCTCTTTGTTCTTAACAACCAAATCATAAGGCCTCTCTCTTTCTTTATTCGGCTTAATATAAATTGGTCCGTATAGCCCGTCTGTCAGATAGCCTCTGTAATGTGCATGATACCAATAGAACCCGTACTGATCTTTCAATTGGAAAAGATACGAATAACAGTCACCACTTAGAATTGGATATTGAGTTACCCCAGGAACACCGTCAGACCATGGCGTACCCTTTTGCAAAATTCCATGAAAATGTATTGTTATTGATACTGGTAAATAGTTTACAACCGTTATATTAACCCAATCTCCCTCATCGCCTTCGATGATTGGCCCTGGTGATTGGCCATTAATTAGGAAATTACTCTTATAAATTCCATCAGGATTACCATATGCATGGGTTAATTCCAATTTATAATTTCGTACCTTCTGTTCACCAGCTGTCATACCTAGGCTGCCATCTACAATAGATGCATAAATAAATGGCAAAACCATTAACGTAACTAAACCATAGCTAATTTTCATGCTTACCATTCTTTTCTCTATTAATTTTTTTGGTATGGAAATTAAAAATATAATTCTAGTGAAACTACATGATATACTAGGCTTAAGTATATAATAATAAATCATAAGCAACGTAAATTGCTTCTAATATCATCCGATATCTGCTCAGTATAGTTATTTTGCAGCATTTAGAGTAACTTCAAGAATAAACTGTAAAAATATTGAGGTTTACAGTTAAGATGTTTCAGTGAAGTTTCTTCAGAACTTTCTTGATTTGACCAACTAGTTTGAATCAAGAAAAGAAGGATTGACAAATAATCATGCAATTCTTATCAGCAAAGTCATTATTATATGCTAGGGTATTGTTGTTGGCTGTTCTTGCCTTTTTTTGCATAAAGGATCCTTCGGTCTTGTTGGAATCCGGTTTTGCTGTTCTCTTAGGTCAAGCAATGCAATTAAATATCGTTTTCGTTGACAGTTCCAATCCGTTATTAGGCATAACAGCCGTTGCATTTGCTACATTAGCAATTTCTGATTTTATTCCTTTATTGGCCGACAATATCGAATATTTTGAGACTATTGTACCAACCAGATTATTCCTTTATTTTGGATTAGCAGCATATTCATATGTAACTAATTCGCCATTTTTCAGTAGCAACGTTATCTTTGTATACTCGTTCTTTGAAATATGGTTTAATTTCTTAATCTACAACAATTTAAGAGATGAAAGATATTATAGAATTAAGAAGTTTATAGAAGAAAATGGCGACAAGTTGAACCTTGATGAAGCCGTTAAAGTTGCGGAAGTTGATTAATGTATTAATTAGGTCTATATCGATAAATTATGTATTTATTCATTAATAAAATTTAAAATTGTCCAATTCAAACACTCCTCAAGGTCACTTAAATCATTAAAGTTGATCAGCAAAACATTAGCACCTTGCTGATTATCACTTATTTTCTCTGGACTCTCAAACTTGATAATATTCAAATTAACAATCAATGTACAGAATATTTCAGTCGAGGTAATATCAATATAAATCTTTAAGACTTGACCATCTTTCAAGTTATTGACAGTAACCTCGAATGAAGTCAACGGTCTTTCAATTGATTTAATAAATGGGTTTACGATATTGTCTTGACTTTTTTTCAAATTGACGTACTTTTCGTAATCAATAGTAAGCTTTGCTTTCTCTTTGAATTCGTTCAGATGAGAATCTAAAATATTTAACATATTCTGTACATTTATCTCGTGCCTTATATGGCCTAGTAATGGCCTTAATATCAATGGATGTGAGTTGCTCTGTTTCCATTTTGTAATAGCCGTAGGAATTTTTTGCTTTAATTTTAAATTATATTTGTAAAAGCAACATAACATTAACTTTAAAAGCGTTAGTATAGACTGAGCTTTTTTATTATTGATTGATGATAACTGATTGATATTTTGATAGTAATTGCTTAATTCATCTTCATTATTTTCATCATAAATTATAGATTCTATCTCTATGATCTCATTATTTATTTCAATGATGATCTTATTAGCTATAATCAGCACATTGTAATTAATTAAGTACTTGGCTTCTCTTGTTAATTGATAAAATAGATCTTCCTCAAATAAGAAAAATCTGGCTTTCTCTATATCATTAATTATTCCATACTTGCTAGTATTTATGAAATTATTCTCAAATATAGACTGACCTGTAAGCATATAATCATCATCAATTTTGCTAAGAATCTTAACTCTTATGTACTTATAAACTTTATTCGTAATTTTATTTGTACTAGAAACTGGATTAAATGATATTTCACCGGTATGATTGTCTTTTCTTAAAATTGCAAGTCCCCTATCATGATAACTAGAACCTGAGTCTCCATAACCATACCTGACGCCAATTGCTCTTGATCCATTTGCAGGGTCTCTCGTTTTGTACAAAATTTCATGATTCCCAAGAACCAAATTAATCATATCCCAATATCTTTTCTCTTTTAGAACTTGTTCATTTAATCGTAAACTTGCGTTTTTGAAAGAATTGGTAATCTTATTCAACGATTCCAACTTCCAACCTTGACCAATTATGGCAGAATTTTTATATTTCGACGTATCTGTATTATTTGACAATCTGTCTGAATTTAAAGATCCAATGGGAACACTCTTGGATAGATGTGGTGACATTGTAGATTTACCTATGTTTGGTTTAACTGTGGAAAGTAATAACGAGACAAAATCTAATGATAATGATGTTTCATTCAAAGCAGAATTAATATATTTTGATAATTCAAACTTTTGCTTCTGAAAGTTTTCAAACGTATTTTTAGTGTCAATTAGATCATCTGTGCTATCAGAATGAAGTAAAGTCTCTTTGTTTTCAATATCCTTGTCTTCAATTTCTTCTTCATTTGTTTTTATATCTTCGGTCAGTGCATTTTCTGAGCTGGCAATCTCTTGTTCTAAGGAATCCTCTGTAAGATTTAAGAATGACAGTCTTTCTATTAGGATTCGAGGTATCAATTCGGCCATTGATAATTTATCCCTAGTAAGATATGGTTAATTGTTGGTCTTGAAAATTATTAACGAATTCATAATACTTACTCATCTTGAATGAATGGATCTTTATATCCATCTCCATATAAGTCTGGATCTATTTCTAAATGAACCCTATCTCCCATTGGAATTCTTAAGTGACTTAAAAATTGTACTATTATAGTATAGTATCATGAACTTGCATTAAGCATTCCACTTAAATGTCGCGATCGATTAAATTGCATTGAGATTCACAGAGTACGACAAAAATTTCTAATGCTGTATTATTATATATTATATAGAAAGACTACATAACCTAATCCATAAAATCATCTAAGTCACCTTCTTCAATAGCCTTTAATAAATCTATTTCTTCTTCTTTTGATTCTAAACTATTTTTATTTGAATCTAATTTGTTGTTATCAGAAGGATATTTCATAGACTTAACACTATCATTGTGCAACGATAAACAAAACTTGATTCTTTGATCAAATTCACCTTGAGGCAATTTAGTTGAATAGATATCCAATAATTCCTTACTCTTCATGTAGCCATGTTCATGGTTAATACTAGCTTCTATAACACCATCTCTGATAGCTTTTGAGACTATATATTCAGTCAGCTCTTCCGAATCCAAGTGCAATTTAATACAGATATCCTTCAATGAGATTCTTGAATACGATAAAGAAATGATTCTGATACCGGTTTTAATGACGTTTTGGCCCAATCTTGAAACTAAGGTAAAATTGTCATCCTTAACGAAATAGCTTTCATACTTCTTCAAGACTTCACCGAATAATTTCAAGTCACCCAACCTAACAGCTTTTGTAACCATAAAATAAGGCTCAAAGCTGCCCGCATTGTTTTTGAACACCTTCAATTCTGGAATATCACCCATTAATAATTCAATGATGATGCTTAATTTGGTTGCAGATTGAATAAAGCCGTTAGCCAATTGGGTTTGCGGAGTTTTTCTGATAGCTGCTAGAACATATTCATGAGCTAAGGAATAATCTAACTGAATAGCATTGATTTTAGCCAAGTAGTAATAATATCTCGCGTATAACGCATTACCAGCATTTTCAGGAAATTCAGTCTTTTCAATCAAGTTAGTTGCTTGGTTAATATCATGGGATAAAAGATAATTTCTCAATAACAATGTTATGATGGAAGCTGTGGTTTCGCTATCGTGTCTTAAAGTAGCAGTTCTTAAGCTCAATAACAATGAGGGACGTATGGAATAGTAATCTTTAGTCAATTCTTTAGTTCTACTGATGTAGAACCATATTTTAGCTTGAATGAAATCCAAAGAACGACGATTGAATGTTTGCATCAAGCTAATTACCTTATCGTTGAAAGCATCCAATTTCTTTAATTGATCCTGATCCAAAAGATAAATTTGAATCAACAAGTGAATGTACAAATCAACTTCTGGTAATACACCTTCATTTGAGTTAATCGATTCGTCGACATCCATTTTATCTTCATTGGTCTGAGGCGTTCCAATTATGTCCACAAGATACAGTTTGTTTGGATGATCGTTTGCGTATGTTTTATTGATGATGATTCTCAAACATTCTGGATTCTGTAATATATTACGTCTTAAGCGTCCTAAATCACGGAAAACCTTTGAAATGTATCTGTTATCAAAATTATCTGCCGCCTTCTGTAAGAATGTAAATGATTCTTCGATTTCCTTCACCAAAACTTCGGTCTCATTGGCACTTTCTGGTTCTTTAAATTCGGCTGACACCTTGTTCTTATATATTTCAGACATTATATAAGCTGATGGTATATATAAACAAAATTGGCAAATGAATTGACTATTCCTGGTAAATCCTTAATCAATAGTATACGTTGCCACCATATAGTAGAGAAATCGTGAAAAATGCGATATAACGTAGACTACCGAATAGGGAAGTAAGTAAAAACGAGTTATAATTGAGATTATCCAGGATCTACAATATGAACGGATTAGTGTTCGGGACGTTCTTGCAACTTTATATGAGATAGTCTTCAGTAAGACATGTTCAGTATTTATTACTTCAAAATATTTAAGCGATGCTTTCGATTTCAATAGCTAGAGAAGAGGCTCTTCCAACCGCCAACGCAAGTGCTAGAAAATCAAGTTACTTTAACCCCGGATAGAGAAGGCTAGATCTTCACTAACGTAATATGGCTACGTTTCAATTCTTAAATATTTGAAAGACAAGTGCAAATGGAGAACCAAAGAAACTTTATTAGGAAAGATAATTTCCTAAACTTCAGAGAATTGTTTGTTCAATATGCTTGGAGTAGAACGCTCGATGGCCAAAAAGATTTATCACATTAGACTATATTGGACCCAAATAAAGAAATCATATATAACTAGTTAGTTTAATAGATTATAAAAGACACAGAAAAAGCAAATTAGACTAGTGTAGCAGTTAAAAAAAAAGACTTATATGAAATAGTAATAAATTAGCAGCACGAGTTGGCTTGGTTTGAAGTTAAGGATTGACCTCTTAAATTGACGTTTGATTTACCATTGTTAGCATTATTAGCGTTTCCTGATGATGTATTGTTTGTCATTTGAGCCTTGATTTGTCTGGCCATGGTGTAGAAAGCTTGTTCAACATTGGTAGAAGATAATGCTGACGTTTCCAAAAATGGGATATCCAATGCGTCAGCAAACTCCTTAGCAGCCGTGTATTCAACAACCTTCTTGTCGGATAAATCAGCCTTATTACCAACCAATAATTTCATAACACCTCCTGTAGCATAACGGTCAATTTCCTGTAACCATTGTTTGACGTTATTAAACGATTCTTGGTCCGTGACATCGTAAACGATAATAATACCGTGTGCCCCACGGTAGTATGACGACGTGATGGTTCTGAAACGTTCTTGTCCAGCAGTATCCCAGATTTGTAACTTGATGGTCTTACCATCTAATTCGATAGTTCTAATCTTAAAGTCAACACCAATGGTTGAAATGTAGTCTGGAGTATAAGTGTCATCGGCGAATCTTAATAACAAACAAGACTTACCAACTCCTGAGTCTCCAATCAATAATAACTTGAATAAATAATCGTACTCGTTATTCATTATATATAGGCCTTCTCTAAAATGTTAATTAAAGGGGAATGTTGTTTTCAACTAAAATGCAAATTTTATAAGTAAACTATGACTGTATCAACTAAAAATAGTTCAAATATGAGTATAATTAATAAGATTTCTTCTTATTAATGTTTATAACTAGTTTTGTAATGATACCCGATATAAGTAATGTTTTATTATTGATTCTTCTTTATTGTGAATGAGTTCGAATTTCGTGTCTTTTGAGAAATAAATTGCCATTAACTCTTGACAATATTACACGACCACCATTTTTTAGACTAAGCTACTATTACTACACTACACATAGCATATATATCTATTCTATCTTGTGGGCAAGTTCATGTTCCGCCTCTTTGGTAGTCTTTTTGCCATTTGCTTTTTTCTTTGCAATCAAGAGCATTCTGTAAAACCAGTACACGTTCAATATATCAAGCGTAAAATTCAACGACAAAGTACCAATAGGTAAGACCTTGTAGAGTTGATCCCACACAGCGAACATATCACGGGCAACCATGATAACCGCGTAGAAGCCCCATAAAATTCTGACGGTGAAGAAGGTCACCAACAACAAAATCCCGTTCACGATAACAGTGGTGTCACTGACGAAGCCTGCAGGCATCTTGGATGCAAACCAGTTGATATTGACGAACGGAGTACTCAATTCGAAAAGCAAGAACGCCGGAACCCATGGCAAGCAAAATGGGAACAACGTGCTCCCAAACACAAAGAGGGCAGACACAGCATGGACGAGAAACCCGGCACCAAACAAGTTCATGTACTTAAAACACACCACCAAGTCCCACAAAAAGTAGCCCACCGAAATCGAGCTGACAAAACCTCCGTACGGGTAGTATGCGAATACGGCACTCGCATGATCGAGTTCCCTGTTCTTCCACGTAGGATGGTTCCACATCGGAATCAACGCGAGTACAGAAACTACGCATTGTACCATCGAAACAACATGAATATCGAAGTTTATTTTGGTCTTGTAGTTCAATTGCGTGTATGACTTACCGAATAACCTGCTGCAAACCATCGGTGACAATTTTTGTACCAAGATGTACATTAAAAACGACCCCACGATCTCATGCCAGTGTGCAACCAAAGGGGTGGTAGAAGTCTCAGGGAAAGGTCTAAATTTTAAAAACGGATCTTCATTGAAGACGGGTAAGAAATCTGTTAACGACATGCTTGAAAACTCTGAGATACAGTCGAAGCGTGAATAATCCGACACAAGTACTTTCTGATCATCGTCATTCACCTTGAATAGAATTGTTGGTATTTAGTACCCTGCTTATATAATCACGCCAGTGAAATTTTGGAAAATTTCGTTCTATTGACAGGACGTATATAGCATCTACAAGTTTACAATAACCCACAGTAACATAGATAATCAATTATATCACCATGTCGTACCCATTAGTTTGTTTAGGTAATCCATTATTGGATTTACAAGTTGACGTTGAACCAGAATACTTAAGTAAGTATGGTTTAAAGGAAAACGATGCTATTTTAGCTGAAGAAAATCACTTCCCAATCTACGAGGAAGTTTTGAAGAAGTCTGGATTAAAGACCGTTGCCGGTGGTGCTGCCCAGAACACTGCTAGAGGTGCCCAATACATCTTACCACCAAAGTCTGTTGTTTACTTTGGATCTGTTGGTAAGGATGTTTACGCTGACAAGTTGAACGAGGCCAACGAACAATACGGTTTGAGAACCGAGTACCAAATTCAAGACGAAATTGCTACCGGTAAGTGTGCAGCTTTGATCAATGGTCCACACAGATCATTGGTTACAGACTTGGCTGCTGCTAACCACTTCAAGGTTGACCACTTGGAAAAGCCAGAAAACTGGGCTATTGTTGAAAACGCTAAATACTACTACATTGGTGGTTTCCACTTGACTGTCTCGCCACAAGCTATTGAAAAATTAGGTAAGCATGCTGCTGAAAACAACAAGGTCTTTGCCTTGAACTTCTCTGCTCCATTCATCCCACAATTTTTCAAAGATCCATTGGCCTCATCGCTCCCATACGTCGATTTCGTCATTGCTAACGAATCGGAAGCTGCTGCTTATGCTGAAGCCCAAGGTTTATCTGTCGATTCAAAGGATGTTGTTGCCATTGCTAAGGAACTTGCTAAGTTACCAAAGGCTAACAACAAAAGACAAAGAACTGTTGTTTTCACCCAAGGTACCGACCCAACGGTCACCGTTACTTACAACGAATCCACCAAAGACTTTGACGTCAAGGAATACACCGTTAGAAAGTTGGAAGAAAACAAAATTACCGATACCAATGGTGCTGGTGACGCGTTTGCTGCTGGCTTCATTGCTGCTCTTGTTGAAGGTAAAGATATTGCACAAGCTGTTGATGAAGGTCAATGGGCTGCCTCTTTATCTATCCAAGAAGTTGGTCCATCTTTCCCATTCCCTAAGCAAACTTACACAGCCTAGATTGATACTGGTGATAGTCTGTGACTCGGTATCTTAATATATTCTTTTTTGTCCACTATATTTATCTTCTATTACTTCATTTCAACATGGGTTTTTCTATACAACTTTTTTTTACAAAAGAATTTTTTTCTTTGAAGCTTACAATACTTACGGGGTACGGGTCTATAACTGACTTAATTATTTAGATTTTTATATATTATGAATGCAAACGAATTCAACATTGTTGCTAAAAACATGTTTATATGTAAATCCGAAGGTTAGCGAGCCCTCACTGAATATATTTAATATTGAAAAAAATCGATGAGTTGAGTTTTAGCACCTAAACCTACGCTTGTTACATTCACTTAATTAGCTATAAACTACATCAAAGGTGATGCCAGTTCTGAAGGATCATTATTACAGATTAGCATCTGAAGTTCCTCAGGAAAGAATCGAAGCTGCTACAGCATTGCTTCAGGAATTAACACAAGTGAACGAAAAAGATGAATGGGACTATGCTTTGAATAGATTGATTAAAGGGTTAACAAGTTCCAGACAGAGTGCTAGATTAGGATTTTCTATGGCTCTAATTGAAGTTTTACGTGAATTGGTCGAGAAAGAAGAACATGAATTAACTGTTTCTAACTTCTTACAACAAGTATTAAAGTTGAGCCAAGTTAAATCATCAATGAAAGGTAAAGAAGAAAGATCTGTTTTATTTGGTAGATTGTTTGGTTTGCAAGTGTTATTAAATTCCCAATTATTATTTAATGATAAGGTCTCATCTCCAGAACTGTTATGTGAATTTGTTGATCAATTGGTTGAATTATCTAGCATTAAATCATGGTTACGAGAGACTTCGATCTTTACTTTGTGCCAGTTTATCAGCCTCTTGAGAAACAATTCAGGTGAAGATGTAGTTCTTGTGCATATTTTACAAAAAATCAACGATGTTGGTTTGAATTTAACTACCGAAGGTATTGCTGTCTATTTGTCAATTCCTCAACAAAATCGTGAGATATACTCCAATAAGATAATTGATACGAAACCAAACTGGAAAAATGGAGATCCTTTCTCCAAGGGAAATTTACCTACTTTAGCTAAGGCCTTAAAGGATGTGGAGGTTGTTGAGCCTGAAGGTGACGGAAGTGACACGCCAAAGACGAAAAATGGTAATTCGAAACAAAAAGGTAGTTGGAGTCCTAGGATACACTTTGTTTGGGATATAATAAACCAGCACTATAATAATCATGGGTTTGAAGATTCTGTTGATACTGAAAATGAAAGTTCTGACTCGAAGAAGCGTAAGAAGACATCGTCTAAATCTTCTAAAAAGCAAAAAATTACAAATGATAATGAGGTACCATTGAAGGAATTCTGGAAAGTTGTGGTTGACGAAACTTTGTTTGCTGATAAGTCATCACACGAACGAAAATACTGGGGGTTTGAAATATTTATTAAGTTTTTAACTTCTATAAAATCAACTGATATTTCTTCGTTATTCACCCCAAACTTTATGAGATGTTTAATTAACCAGTCTTCCCAACAGAATCGTATATTGAATAAAATTTCTACGAAAGTGTTAAGTATAATTATTGATAGTTCAAGTAAAGACTTTACGAAAGCTCCAATTATTCTTGACTGTCTCGTTGACGAATCTAAAGGGGGTTGTTGGAATTTTGATTTAGTTACTAAATCAAAATGTACTGATAAGTTAATTGCGGTTTTAAATGGTAAGGAAGATATCAACAGGATTGAGGTTGATTTAGTATTGAACCAGTTCAAAGACGTTTTAATATCTAAATTTAATAGTGCCTTAGCTTCTCAGGAGGAAGAAGAAACTGAAGATGAGCATGAAGTTATGAAGAAGTCTAATGATAATATTCAGAAATGGGCTTTGGACAAACTATTATTACTTTTCAGATCCAATAAAGCTTTACTTTCAAATGAGAAAACTAACTCTAAATGGTTAACAAAAATTTTAAAGTTACTAATTCAGCATTCATTTTTCAAAAAGATAGATAGCCATGCTGTTTCTGGTAATATCAGAAAGATATGTCAAGACAGGTTGAGTTCTGTATTATCCGATATAATCAATATCCAAATGAATGACCGTTCGTGGCCGTTGTCGTCATGTCTTTCTTCTATTAATAAATTAGAAATCTCAGATGATTATGAAAATCTCTTGCAATTCGATGAAACTTTATTGAATGTTAAAGAAGAAGCTCTCGCTGTCTTAGCAGAGATTGATGGATCACTTAAGAACTCACGCAAGAACGATAATCAAAAGAGAGATCAATTAGATTGTTTCAAATTGTTGTTTTCAATGATATTAATACAGTTTTATATGGGTGACGAAGAAGCTGTCACTGTCCTTGAAGAATTGAAAATGTGCTATAATAACTTCTTTAAGCGTGAAGAAAATGAAGATGCTGACTCTGCTGTGTTTTTAACTGAAATAATTTTATCATTTACATCGCGTAAAGCGACTTTACTGAAGAAACTTTCGTCCATTGCATGGGAATCTTTTTTGTGCTCCAAGGATGAAACTGATAAAGTAAAGTTGAATGAAGAATGTTTGCAGTTATTATTTGATGTCTTAGAGGCTCGTGAGAACAAAGAAGGACAGCAGAAACTATTTGAAAATGAAGATGAATTCGAAGCTGTTGATGATGAAGATGACGATTCACATGATTCAGCTGATATCGTCGAAGAAAGCGATAAAAATGATGAAGACTCAGATGGCAGTGATAGTGAAAGTGATAGTGAAAGTGGGAGCGATGAAGAGTCTAGTGGAGCCAATAAATCAAATGACGTTATTTCAGAGGTTGATAAGCAAACGAACTTGAAGTTAGCACAAGCCTTGGGTATTCCAACTGAATCGTCCGGTGAAGTCAAATTTGAAGATTTGAGCTCGCTGGAAGATAACGATGAAGATTCCTCATATCAGTCAGATTCAATGGATGATGAAGAAATGATGGCAATGGATGACCAATTGTCAAAGATCTTTAAGGAAAGACATGACGCAATGTCAAGCGTTGTTACTGGTAATAAGAGAAAAGCTGAAGTAATTGAAGCTAAGGAACAAATGATTTTCTTCAAAAACCGTATCTTGGATCTCTTGGAATTGTTCAACAAAAACCAACCTTCGTCCTACCTAAATTTGGCCATGATAAAACCATTAATCATATTAATTAACTTGACGATGGACAAGAATTTAGGTGTCAAAGCCCACAAGTTATTAAAAACAAAATTGAGTAAGACCAAGTTAACTAATCATGAGTTGGAAATAAATTTCCCAACCAAAACAGAGCAGTCTAACTATAAGGAATCTTTGATGAGTCTCATCGAATGGTTACAAAAGGAAGCTGGCTCGAATAAGTCGTCCAACCAAGCACACTCGATGGCTTGTGGTCAATCTTGTATCATTGTAGCTAAGAGTTTAATTGCCGTGGACGAACTGTACTTGGACAGAATTATTGATTTGTATGCTCAATGTTTAAAGAAATGGGCAGCAAAATCTAACAGTAAAATCCAGGCTTCCATGTTTTTTGATTTTATCAACTGGTTGAATTCCAAGAGAGGTAACTAAGACGTAACAATTAGATAAATATGCATACACTAGTCTATATAATTTGCAATCGATATAATGTCCAGTCTCATATTTACTTATCATTTACCCAGTTTATGTGCGATAGCGCGTAAATTTTAGCATCAGTAATATTTCACCAATTAAATCCCGATCCACGACCGAACGAAAACTTATACCTTAGTTTAATCAAGAATATAATTCAATTATTCAATTATAATTAAATAATCAAACATGTCTGCCTACAAACAAGCCGGTATCTCATTAAACAGAGCATTAGCTCTCTCTGCCAAGGCGGTCAGAAGTGCTTTAAAGCCAGAATTTAAGGTTGCTGCTGAAAGAAGAGGTCTTACCGAAGTCAAGGCCATTAAGATTGAAAACGGTCAACAAGGTGAACCTAAGTCTTTAGATAAATAAATCATGGTAAATTGAGTTTATGAATTATGTTTTATTTCGCAGGTTCTAGTTTTGCCATTTAGGGCAACAGAAATTGTGTTTAATATTTCCTTGTTTATGGAGGAGGTATCAACCAGTATAGAAGTTTCAATAAAAATATTGCAGTCTTAAGTACCAATTGTGGATATCTGTAGTTACAGTAGGCATTTTCTATTTATTTCTATAACCTTGCTAACGAACTATGAGAGAACATACGCTCCAAAAACATGTGTGGGTATTAGTGTTACTATTTACAAGCGACTATTCCAAGGCCGTGTGATGCTCTAAACTATGAAACAATGTTGTCGGACGAGATCTTTGATTCTGAGATGGCAGCATTCGTATCTTCGTTTATTTCTTTGGATATTTGATCTGCAAGTTGAGCACGCATCTCAACTGGTAAATCATCAATCATGGATCTGATTATTTCAAGTTCATTTGCCTTATTCTCTTCAGCTATTCTTTCCGTTTCTTCGGCTTCGGTCTGCTTTGGAGTTTCTTCGGATCCTTCGAGGCCTGAGTTATCTAACAACTTAGATAATTCAGAGTTTGGATCACTGTACAATTCGACAAATCTGCCTTGTTCAACCACCTTTCCATGTTTGCCCAAAACAATGATATTCTCAGATTTTGAAATAGTAGATAATCTATGGGCAATTGATATGATAGTCATTTTACCCTGAGATGTTAATTCTTTTAAAGTTTCATTAATAAGACTTTCCAGTCTAGAATCCAAAGCCGATGTCGCTTCATCTAAAATCAAAATTGATGGTTTCTTAATCAATGCTCTAGCAATAGCCACCCGCTGCTTTTGACCCCCTGATAAGGATGCACCACGAGAACCAATTATAGTTTCATATCCATCTGGAAGAGACATAATGAAGTCATGGCAATTAGCCTGTCTGGCAGCAAATTTAACATCTTCCATTGTCATCTGACTTATTTGAGACGGCGTTAATCCGTATACAATATTCTCTAAGATAGTTCCTGATAACAATACTGGTTCTTGTTGGACAATTCCAATAATCGACCTTCTCAAGTCACGAACTTGAAAGTTATTAATATTTCTGCCTCCGATAAGGATCTCACCACTATTAATATTATATGACCTTAATAACAATGATGCCACGGTAGACTTCCCACATCCTGAAGGTGCAACAATACATGTGGTCGATGATGCTGGTATATTGAATGAACATTCATTAAAAATCTTATCATATGGTCTACTGGCGTAGCTGAAAACAACATCTTTAAACTCAATACTATTTGATAACCCTGGAGGTAATTTATTTCCTTTTATAGGAGGAACATCATTATCGTAGTCGATTAATTCGAACAATTTTATACCGGCACCTGAACCTTTCATCAATTCCATATAAGTTGTGGTCAAACTGTACAAAGCCAGATTGAATAATTCCAGGTACATTGTGAATGCAACCACATCACCGGTTGTCATTTGTCCATTTATTATCAAGTAGACACCGATTGCAACACATGACAAATAACCAGTATGGTACAAACTATAAATTGAAACCAGGTAGTTTGACTGTGCAAGTGCTTCTTTTTTTGCTACGTTAATAACGTTTCTGAGTTGATCAGAATATTTCGTCAATTCTTTTTGTTCACCAGTAAACGCTTGAACCAATTTAACCGAATTAAGAGTTTCTTCACTCACCTTCGTAAGACCTGCTGTTGCGTTCTGCAATCTCGTAGATAAAGCACGAATCTTTTCACCATACCACACTGATCCAAATGTTATTGGAGGAGAAATTAATAACATAATACCAAACAACATAGGATTAATAGAAAACATCATGTAAGAACTAATTATACCAAACAAGACATTCTTCAACCCATCAGGTAAATTATTTGTAATAGATCTTGAAACAACATATGCATCACTTGATAATCTAGATATCAAATCACCTACTTTATGTTTTTCATGATCGTAGAATTTGGCATCATGTCTCAATAAATGTTTCATCACTCTCAATCTTAATCTTGCAACTAATCTCTCACCCAATACTTTCAAAACCCAAATTCTAGCCCAAAAGCAAACAGCACTTAAGCACATAAATGGTACCATAAAACTGAAAACTGTGGAATACTTGTATCCCCAAATCAATAGAGTGCCGTCACTATCTTTCATATTATTATTAAAAGCATCAATAGCCGAACCAACTAATTTGACTGCTGTTGTTGGATATAAAACTGCAAACAAAATGAACCCTAACGCATACAAAAAAAGTTTCAAATCAGGCCTTCCCAATTTTAATATACGAAATATGGTTTTTATATTTTCACGAAATGGTTTCTTATCTTTCTTTTGTTGCTCCTTCTCTTCTTCTCTCAACTCGCGTTTCTTTATCTTGGTAAACTCCAAATGGTTCTTCAAAGAGTTAGAGTTTTGTAGGGACTTTACTAATTCTTGTTTACTTGGATCTGTTGTATTCCTAATGACCAGTGAGCCTGAAAAGTTTCTCAGTTGACCAGAAATAATATCAGTTTTCTCTGGAACTACATTATATGCATTAGATATGTATGGAGAGGTTCTTCTGTATATCACACTCGCATTTAATGTAGATAGCCTGGTCGGTATTTTTGTATGTAGAGTCCTAAAAATCCCAATATTCGAACTATACAGAAACAAAAACGATGGTTTCACTCGATGTATAGGTAGCAACATGTGAGATTAATAATTAACTGTATATCTATATTCTTTATCAAATTAGACTTAGCTATGATAAATATACCTTCAACATCTACAAAGTATAAAATTTCAAAATACGTCCGAAATATTATAAATTCACGTGATCTAAGTACAATTATACACTTCTATCAGCAAAACTTTGAATCATACCTACTTCAGACTCTTCATATTCTCTAACCTCAACTTGACCAGAAGCATCTGCAAATGTATTGGCTTGAATCAATTGTTTACGTGGTAATTTCTTACGTAAAATGACAGGTCTAAATCTACTGTATTCGTCAGTGACATCGGTCATATCATTGTAGTACGCAACACCCTTGGTTACATCACCTGTACTTTTATAGACATGCAATTTTAATAAGAAATCACCTAACACATCTACTGCTGTGTTATTCAACTTGGATTCGTCGAAGGTGATCTTCAAGTCATCCATATTTTCCTCACTGAATTCAAGTTTACAGACACCACTCTTGTGCAAAGACTTGAAAATACCAAAGCGAGCTTGCATGTGGGGTTGGCCCCATTTACGAGATGTTGGATCCCAGAATTCTAATCCTAATAAACCGGCACGGCACATTAATGCAGTAGCAATCAAAATAATTTCTTTCTGATCTTTTTTGTCAATAACTCCGAAGATCGGCAATACCTCTAACGGTTTTTTAAGAATGAGGTATAATGCAACCAACTCTGCTCTACATTCCTCAAACGACCCTGCAACTGCGCTGAAAAGTGAACCCCAGGTATCAGTTGGCTTATAATACGAATGGATATTAGGATTTGATTTATCAAAATTGAATTCACCTGGCGATACTTCTTGCAACAACTTACCCGTACCATGGCCTAAAAGCTCGTGTAAACCAACCTGTATTTCGAAGGCATCATCCCTCCATTTACGGAATTTAGCTTGCATGTCATTCTCGAGGAAAGTAATAAGCTCTTCCTTCTTAGGCTTTTTAGGATTTGCTGATAAAACATTTCCTAAAGAAACATTCTTGAAACCAACATTTAATCTAACATCATCGTAGTTTGGAATATTAATACCAGCTGGAACACCTGATCCAGCAAATGTTAAAACTTCTAAAGATGTAAAATCTGGAGGGGTAAATGTATCCTTTTCATAAATCTTGTCCCAAGGCAAATAAGGAATTAATTTGGTTGCATTTTCTACCAAGGTGGAAAATTTGGCAGTACGATCCTGATTAACCATGGCTACTAAACCTTCCCATTCACCTCTAACGCCTGATGGGTCTCTATAGGTTTCAATGAACCCTATATTTGATTCCACCACAGGCCTTAAATCCTTGACCCATTCAATCTGAGACGACTTATGCGCTATCATATTACCAGTTTGAAATGACTCAACATAATGATTGATCATTTTACGTTGGGTCTCATTTGCAGCTCTTTTTGCAGCTTTTTTCATGTTCTCTACAATCTGTTCAAATTCAACATGATGATCACCAAAAGCAATAGTCAATGAACCTCCATTATCTAAGGAAATCTTCTCCTTTGGATAGTTTGTTGTTTTGTTCTCAGTTTCAGAACTGGCAACAAGAACAACGAACTCCTTGTTCGAAGTTTTCTTAACCCTTGTATTTTCTGGCATAATGCCCTTGTTTGCAAGAGCAGCATTAACAATTTCCGCCTCATCCTTGGTAATATCGGGCGAATCAGGATAATAGTTCGATAATTGACCCTTTTCTGGCCATCCTAACAAGTTGGTAGTCGTATCATATATAGCAACACGAATTTTCATATACGTCGAAGTAATTGAATCGTTATTAATTCCCTCAGAAATCAATTTATCAAACTCCTCGATTGACAACTTCGGAACAAATTTCTTGTCTCCGAATGACTTGTAGTTACCTAAGTTTGACAAAAATTGCGAGGCATATTCCAAGTAATGTGGCACTGCTCGTGATTCCTTGGTCAGTCCCTTGCTTAATATAGCTTCATACTCCTCGTTAGTAGCCGGTTCGCCTAAATGTCTATGAATTGATAAAATTAAATCATAAATTGCTTCACTTTCAGGAGAGACTGATCTTAAAATGGCTCGAGTACCAAAGTGGGAGGCCCTTGAAAGGTAATGAGCATATAATTTAGCGTCATTTGTTGGTAATTGTTCAAAGTGTTTTTTGGCAGATAACGCAATTATAGGTGCATTTGAGTCTGAAAGGAACGTATTAACTTCCGCCATTTTCAATTGCTTAAATATTAAATATTGATAAGAAGAGAGATTCCTTACACTTAAATAGTCCAATTCTGAGTGAATGTGTAATCGCGATCGCACCCCAAAAAAAAAATCCTGCCTTTCACAAGTATGGCACCAAAAACGATTGGTTTATCTTATTATTAAAGCGGTAAAAGTTACAACAATGGGCAAGCAAAAGGCCACACATGTGAAAGAAAGACCGAAGAAAGAAGAGCAGAATATTGATGATGATTCTTTGAAGAAGGAAGAACAGGCGATTGATGATGAAGAGTATGATGAAGACGAAGATGAGGACTATGACCCAGAGGCGAAAGTTGAAGAAGAAAAAGAAGCTAGTGATGAAGAAAGTGACCATGAACCCCAGCCAGATTATTCTTCGATAGAAAATGCCACGTTCCAGGACAGACTCGTTAAAACAAGAAGTCAACGACACCAAGAGAAGTACGGATCCATTGCGGGAGTCAATCATATAAGGCCAGGATTGATAAAAAGTGATGATATTAGCCCAAATATAGATGTGGATGCCATATTTAGCGATTTACAACGAAAGAGCAAGAGCGGGACACCAGACGACTGGAAGGCATCGATTGAGGAGGATCAAGCTCAGAACGAGAGCATTAAAAATAATAACGCAATTCCAAGCCAGGCCACCAATATCGGTTCAAGCGACAAACCTCAAGAAGATAACACTCTAAATCCACAGAAAGTTAAGATTGAATCGTCGTACACATTTGCAGGAAAAGTTATCACGGAGTCCAAACTAGTGGATGCGGATTCTGCGGAGGCAAAAGCGTATTTTAACTCCACGAAGGGTATAACAGGTAATGATTCAAAGGCATCGGGGGCCACTCGTTCATTTGTGCCTATCGTTCGAACCATACCAGGATCTACCGAGCCAACAGAGCTTCGTATTAAGCTTAAAAGGCCATCATTGATCGACAAATTCTTATCGACATATGGTAACAAGAAACAGAAGCTATCTACTTTAGAAAAGTCTCGTTTAGATTGGGCTAGTTTCGTTGATAAGAAGAAGTTAAAAGACGACTTATCTACGCATAATAAAGGTGGTTACTTGGATAAGCAAGAGTTCTTAGGAAGACTTCAAGACAAGAGAGATGAACATTACCAAAAAGCAAAGGAAGAAGAACGTAAAAGACAATGGCAGTTGCAGCAACAACAGTCCTAGTAATGACCTAAATCCTTTCTATAGGTCAACGATTTATTGTATAATATTGTATAGTATTGATCTATGTTACATAGTAAATAAAAAAAGTATCACAAAATGGCATGTGGAAAATCTTCACTCATTTTGTTAGTCAATTCAGAATGGATATTTATTAATTAGTATCAATGCATACGTCAAGTTCATTAATTAATCCAAGGTAAATATTTTGTTAACATGTCGGAAAGTAATATATTGAAGCGTAAGAATGAGGACTTGGAATCCTCGTCGGATGACCAATTAAACAAAAGAGTGGCATTAGACAGCGAGCAATTGGCGTTGAATGATAAACAACAAGAAGTGGCACATACAGCACCGGTTATCAGTAATGGTATAACAGGAGAGTCTACCACACCAACTGAAGAAAATCAAGAAACAGAAGAGTTACCTAAAGCTCCAAATGATGAAGCAGAAGCTTTTACCGAGGATGCCTCTGCAACAACAGACGCATCGTCAAAGCCGGTATCAAATCATAGAGAGAAAGAAGGAGATCCAACATATGTTATGTTCAGAATGTATTGTCCTGTCAAAGAAGCAAGTACTGTTGTGGGCAAAAAAGGAGAAAAGATCAATCATATTAGAGATAAGGCAAATGTGAGAATTAATGTTAGTGAAAACTTAAAGAATGTACCAGAAAGAATAGTCCTGGTCAGAGGTCCTGCTGAAAACGTAGCACGAGCATTTGGGTTAATAACAAGAACAATATTGGAAGAACCAGAAGATGAGCCTGCGTCGATGCTTAGCAGACAATATAATTTGAAATTATTGATTCCACATCCAATGGTTGGGTATATTATTGGCAAGCAAGGTGTTAAATTCAGAGAAATAGAAGAAAATTCCGCCGCCAAGTTAAAGGCTGCTGAGCAACCATTGCCATACTCCACGGATAGAATATTATCAATAACTGGCGTGGGTGATGCAATCCACATTGCAATCTATTATATTTCGCAAGTAGTCATAGAACACAAGGATTGCTTGAAGAAAAATAAAGTAGTGTTCTACAATCCTGCTAATTACCATCACACTAATATCAACAATAATATGAATAATAATATGGTAAACATGTCCATGATGCCGTCGAATTCCAACATGATGGCAATGGGTGGTGCTAATCCTTTAGCTATGCAAGGGATGGCTTCAATGAAAGATAATCCAAATCCATATACTCAACAGCCTAAGCAACCATACAACTTTCAAATGATGTTTCAACCATCAATTCATCCACAACATCAGTATGTTACCACACCTGCTCCCACCTCCAGTATGACTCTTCCACCTCAGAATCAATTCACAGACGAACATGGTAATAATATGATAGGTGATGTTATAACTAGCCCCCCTGTCCAAGTCGGTTCTACTACTGATAAATTTAACGAAGATGTTTTTGTTGCGAACGCTAATATTGGCTCGGTTATTGGAAAAGGAGGTAATAATATAAAGCAAATTCGTGAAAATAGTGGATGTACATATGTGAAAATCGAGCCTGACCAACGTCAATCTCTTATGCTTGGTGGTGGTAAAGGTTTAACTAATATCAGAAAATTAACTTTGACAGGCTCGTTGCAATCTATTCAAATGGCTATTTATTTGATTAACCAAAGAATTGGAGCTGACAAAGAGAGAAACGCTAATTGAAGTAAATATATGATACTTGTATTTAATATGTATATGTATATCTAGACTTGAGATTCAATCTTTAAGTCTGCTCTTTAATATATTTAACTTTTGATCGTTTTCCTTGATATGTAAAGCAAATGGTATTACTATCTGTGAGTACTCCTATAGTAAGCCCTATGACAATTCATCTTCCTATATTATTCCAATGTCATACGTTTAAAAATGTTTAACTCCCAAGCTTGTCAATATCATGGTAAACCCACTCAAAAGACCTTCCCCTAAGACCAAACCACTACTAAATATAATCATCCCAATCTTATTATCAGAATCATTTTGAGATTGAGGCTTATGATTAATCCACCAGTAAGCTAGTACGCCACCAATAAATCTTGCAATTGTAAAATTCGGCGTATTGTAAATTCCAATACCGACAGCTACTCCATTTGGTAGATAAACTAAATATTTGTAAAGCTTTGAGGTTCGAGGCGTAAGGTTCTTAGCCAAAGAAATAGCCGCAAAAAGAAGGCCGAAAAATATAGAAAATTCAAATGCTTTTGGAGGTAGACCGTCTCCAGTGACTAGTCTTGAGCAATCTATCCAAATTATAGCAGTAGGAACTCTGAATAAATCACTCGGTATTTGGTAAACCTTGTTATAGACTTTATACATCACACTGCTTAAAAATACAGAATAAACGGTTCCAATTAATTGAGCAACAAACTGAGCTTTTGGTGAAGCACCTATTAAATGACCAGTTTTCAAATCTTGCATTAAATCTCCTGCTTGTTGAGCACCTGCTTCAGCAATCCCTCCTGCAACCAAATTAATCAAAATTTTGGATGGATGGTCTGAAGGAATAATCAACGCAAAAAGTAATTGTGAAAGCTTGCCAATGCCACTGACTGGATTCAAATCGGTTTCACCAAGAGCTCTGACACCCATAACTGAAAGAAAAAGTGCCAAGATAATCGCAATTATTGTAGCGTAGTATGGGATAACAGATCCAAACACTAATCTAACAGCAATAATACAAATAATAGAAGATATTATTATACCGAATAAAGTTGCCTTTGAACTAACGAGGTGTTGCAGATCCACATCGACCTCACCAGGCGTGGTAAGAATTGACGCCCGCGATTCAGACATATAATCATCGCTCCCTGTTTCATAAGAATCCAGTTCTGATTGTTCATCCAATAATGATTGTTGCATTTCAACATTTCGTTCGTAATGAAGATTTCTTCTTCTATTAAATTCTCCAGCCCTCCTAATTCCGCTTGATATCGATTTACAAGCAACTACCATGAATGAAACTACTGAATCGCTTATCATAACACTTAAACTGATCCACAATATCCACCCTTGACCTCCACTGACCCAATTATCAATTTCACCTGGCGCCCATCCCTCATGTTTAGCAAGAGGCGCTAATATCGCCCATCCTAATATAGCACCAAATAGCATATAGGAAACGGTTGGTAATCCCATTATAATACCCTGACCAATGTATGCTGGGGACGGCTGGAAATTCCATTTATAGTTCTTTGAAAGATATGAACCAAATATTGGCAAGTTTCTCAATATAGGAACAAAATATGATAGCAATGTATATAATGCAGATACCGTAAAAGTGTATAATAGAGATTTAACATTTGACCTATATGATTCTGCATCAATCAATTTCTTTAATTCTTCGGAAGTTGTAACACCATTTAAGTCCGGGAAAGTATCATGCAGATCCCTTGAAGAGCTTACAATAGCTTGCGATGTGTTATCTTGTTTAGCACTACCCGAAACTTCGTTCTCCATAAGAATCTTATCTTCGTTGTACACTTCTGTCCCATGTAACACGGATATCAAAGTTGCAGTAGCACTACCAGATGGAAATGGTAATTTCTCGTGTATGATGACTTGTTTTCTTAACGGAACCGCAAAAAACACACCGAATAAGGCTAAGCCCATGGACCATATCATTAGTTGTGTTAAAGATAATTGCAATTTGATTCCTAATCCCGATTCCTCCTCTGTTAAGAACTTCTCAATCGCAGGTATAATTCCTATTAGCCCATATGCTAATGGTCCGGTCCCCACTGCAACTGCAACACTCTGCACGAAAACATTCTCTGTATCTGTAAATGTCTTCGAGTATGGAGACATCTTAAAAATAGCAAACCCCAATAATGCAGAAGGTAACGACATCATGGAAACCCAACCTGTTTGTAAGCCGAATTGAAAATTAGAAACCAACACTATAGATCCAATAAATAACCCAACGACTGTCGCCCTATATGTTATCTGCGGTAAATCAACCTTCTTTGACCACGGGACTATTTTATTAAATTCATCTTGACTAGTGTTATCAAAATTTTCACTAGTTTCCTCTAACATAGTGGTCAGTTTTATATTTAGTACCACTTAGCAAAATGGACTTATCTTTTCATACGTTTTCTTCTATATTAATATGATATAGGAAAGGAATTAAATAATATATTGTATCAATGTCCGGAGAAAATATATTACTAATTACCAATCTCGATAACATTTCGATGCTCGTACGACTCGCATTTTGTATTGATATCTACTTATCTCCACAGCTATATATCTTTACAAACACTTAGTTATTCAAATTATCAGCTGTTCAAATTATTGTATAAAGTAAGTATATGAATGAATACATAATGAATTAAAAATTAACAAATCGTAATGCATGAAGGTACATGATGAAGGACTAATCTTCACCAAATAAAATATAGTTTAAAATATCACTTAGCGTTATAACAGACACTAACTTACCTTCATCATCGACCACAAATAATCTGTGTAACCTTGACTTTCTAATGGTATCCATTATGGTACTTAATCTATCATTCAATGTACACGTATGGACACCTTCAAAATCCTCAGGTCTTCTCAATAACGCATCGCCCACACTTAAAACCAAATCATTATATATACCACCTTTAACCAATCCCAACACATCGACTGCTTCATATACATTAATCAATTTACCTTGTTCATCTACTATTGGAACAGAAGACACCGATTTTTGGGTTAATAAATGAATGACATCTATAACAGGTGTATCCATAGTACACGTCGCTATGTCCTTGAGGGTTCCTAAACCTTGTAATTTCTTGATTGGCTTAAGTAACATTTTAGTTTCCTTACAATTTAATGCTACGAACTTCAAGATTCTGTACTGAGTTAAAACAGAAACAACAATTTCTCTATGGGTCTTTTCATCTTCGTCAATTAATGGAATCCTTCTCGCCTTGGAGTCTATCATTTTAACACATGCTTCGTACAACGACTTAAATGGGTGAATTGACGCCGTTTCGATTTGATCCACCCCAATAGCTTTTTCGATATCTCTTAATCCATTCAATGTCAATTGATCCACAAGATCGAACTTCTCAGGAAATTGGAAATAGTATTGGATAACATTGATGAAGTCGGACGAGGTCAACAATCCAGCAAATCTTGACGTCTTGTTGTTCCACAAAGGAGCTGAAACAATATTGTTTTGTAGCAAGATATTTAATGACTTTTTAACCAACAATGACGTATCTAAGACTATTAATCTATAACTAACTGGTAACACATCGTAAGATGTTTTACTTTGCAAAAATAACCTAATCGCCTTGATACCAATTTTTTGATCGTGTTCAACTTGCTCAGGGGTTAAACTCTCGATATAGTCGTTAGGGGTAGCAGAAGATGGTGGAGTTAAATTTTCAGCTTCAGCCATGGTCAAGTCTATTCTATATCCCAGGCTTATTATTATTTGATGTTGATAGAGCTAGGAAAGCAGTTGTTATTACCATTCTCCCTGAATAATCGTCGGGAGTTGATGTGTCGTAAAATAAGTCAATGTCGCGATTTTCAAATTTTATACACGACATTTTGGATATTCTATTCTACTACATCAATATACTTAATTTTAATAATATATTAATCTATTAATATGAACGTATATCTATAAAGAGCTTAAGCCCATTTTCCTAATAATGCCATTAAACCAGCACCAAGACACATGACCACAAATGCGGCCATAATGTTTCTGAAGCCCTTAGGACCTTTGAATTGATTAGAGTATAAGAATTCGTGTGCCATCAATTCAACGATACCACTGTAGAACAAAATACCGGCAGCAATAGAATCACACACACCGTTAGTAATCAATGCTTTTCTAGATCCTGGTGGATATGAATTTCTTACACCAAGGCCAATAGCAATGGCAATTGGGGTGGTTAAGGTGTAAGCGAGAGCCAAGACCCATGGGGTCCATCTCTTTCTCTTTGGCCATTCGATTGTTGCAATTCTTGAACCTAAACCTAAACCTTCGAACATTTGGTGGAAGACCAACACAATGTATAATGAGACAAACTCATCACCTGCAACAGCCAATGATAACCCAACAAATGCAGAATGGAAAAGAATACCAAATTCTAATACGAAAACGGATACTAACTGGCCATAATATTGTTCCTTGTTTACATCTTCAACTGGAGTTCCAAGTACTTCTGGGTCTTGGTGTTCAGCCGCGTGTTGAAAGTGTTGAGGGTATGGATTAACCTGTGGAGTAGGTTTAGTTTCCAGTCTGTCATCATCGTCTGATTCATCTTTCTTAAGATAAATGTCTGACGAGCCGAAATGTGAATGCGAGTGGCCGTCTGCAGACTCTTTCTCAATCTTCATATCAACGTAATGAAACGAAATCAACTCAATAAAGAACATTGCAAACAAAGACATCAACGCAATACCAAAGGCCCATGGGTATTCCACAAAAGTTCCACCGAGACATTCTTCTCCTAAAGCATCACTGGCAGGCTCCAACAAGTGGATGAAGGCCGTGGCCACAATGACACCTGATCCAAAGTACTTGGCGATAAAAAAACACCATGATGGCATACGGATAAATGAATACTTTGACGATAAGATCGGAAAAAATGCGCCAAATGCTGAACCCACAAGAATAACAAAAATGGCCGAGATTCTAGCTCCCATTTTTTCTCCGTCATATTCATTATCTATAGGACATGTTTCTCTCTTCACTAAAAGATCATCAATAAATCTCTGCATCTTGATTCTATTATTATTTCCACAAATGTGTATGTATTTATTGGGAACAATGAAGTAATTTTTATGATTTTATGTCAAAATCTGGTTAATTATTCGGTTATAATTCTCCTTTTATAATGCAATCCTTCAGTATATTGATTAATGTCAAAAAAATAGCTTCTGAAAATCTTTTTATGCAATAACCACCAAGGAATCTCGAATTATGTACGTTTGGTGCAGTCCCCGCTGGATAACTTTACTAAAAATTGGTTTAAAATTCCTTAATATAATACTTTCTAAATATTTCTTCTAAAAATCCTCTTCTTTCTTTTAATCTGAAAGAAAAAAAAACCATCAAGGTAGTTTTTCGTTGAAGCTCTGGGAGTCGGATATCAGATATTCCATGGATAATGCGCGCTATTTTCCGGAATGCTTTTTGCCTCATATCACGTTTTATTTCTATACAATTCACATATATAACGAGATATCACCGGTAGTCGGATTTTAATGTCTCACGATGTATGAAATGTTGCAATACAATGCATAAACCCGAACTAAATCAAATCGTGAAGTATCACCCTAAATCCGGACCATGTATGTCATACTACGACTTAGGATGGTTCGTATCTACATTAACTACGAATAATGTGCATTGACATGTTTCATAAAGATACATCATCATAGGTCAATTAATCGATTTGTGTCGCAAATTAATATACCTTAGGGGTATTCACATAAAATAAAAAATAAAAACCAATTACAGAAATTAACGTGCATCTTCTTAATTTACCGTAAGATTTACTCTACAATACGTCAGGCTGACATTGGGTGAAGGTTGCGAAATCGAGTGACAAGACCACTTAAAAAGCTTGAACACCGAGCTTGTTGCATGTCGTGCACACCGGTGGTTCTATGAAACTGGTGGGGGAGGTATCTACGAAATTATATTTCCAGGTAGTTTTATTGTTTTAATAGCCGATATGGTCTACTGAGTCGTCTATTACATTGTAGCATAATCACAAAATAATAGTCTATAATTGGCTAGCATACATGCGCGACTATGCAGAATGGTGGGCCGTTGCATAGAGGGACAGAAATACACGAACGGAAAAATTGATTAGAATTTGCACCATTTCCAACCAACACCAGAATAACGGGCAACAATCCAGAATACCACAGCTCCGATGGAAATACCGCCTTCATAGATAATAAAGTTCCTGTACTCCACTACTGTTCCAGAGCCTATCACTAGCGAGGAGAAAAGCATCCCTAGGATGGTAAGGAATGATAAACAGAAATAGCACATACCATAGCATTGACCAAATTTTTCTGCAGAGGTAATTTGCCCAATGGTAGGGCCGATAAGGCTTATATTTGCAGAAGTGACCACACCAAATAAAATACTGAAAGCATATAGTAAGTTCATACTTCCTTTCGCTGGTAGCCAGAGACCAAAAATGGTGGCAGTGGTTAATATGGAACTAGCAACCATTACATTGAACCTACCGTAGTAATCAGCGATGATTCCCAGAACGAGTCTGGCTGGAATACCGCAAACATTGACAAGTGTTATCAATAAGTAAGCTGACGAGTCAGAAACGTCAAACGCAAGAGCATAAGATGTCAAGTATGTAAGAGTGGAAAGAGACACGATTTCGGAAAAAAACACTGCCATAGTTAACAAAATAAATCTAATATCCTTGAACATTGAGAAATCAAACATACCATTAAATATTTGGGAAGTTCTATAAGCAATTGTACGAATATCGTTCTTATGCGCTTCTTGATCTTCATCTGTTGAATTGGCTGTCGAAATATTTTGTGAATTCGATTCTGTCTTTCGTTCCTTCACAAAAATAATAGAAACGCACATACATGCCATACAAAAGAAGGACAATATCCGAATTGCCCATTTAAATCCAACTTCATCGTATAAGTTTTGTAACATGACTGCAATGCACGATGCACCGACCAACCCCCCTATAGTAGCTATCAGGCATGCCATTGCTCTCCGTCTCAAAAACCAATGCGTTACAACGGCTATCAAGGCAGGCATTGCTAAAGAAGTCCCTATGGCAGTGGTAATACCAAACGACAATATAAACTGGGCAACAGTTGTTGATTCTGCGGTGCAGAATAATCCTCCACACATCACAACAGTACCAGCAATTAGCAATTTTCGAGCACCTAATTTATCAAATAATGATCCAAATATTACATTTCCAAAATACATGACCCCCAAATGCATACTGAACACCCATGATGCTGTAGATTCACTAACATGTTCCAATTGATGGCTTGTGACATAACTCTGAATGGCACCAAGCGAATTTGCAATACCAAAATCAGCAATTAGTCCCATAAACGACCCAAATAATACTAAATATGCTGCTAGTCCCCCATCCGGAAAATCATCTGGATTAGCCTCTGAAGCATACATGAGTGCCGTAGACTCCTTAGTACTAAAATCAGAATTCTTCAGCTTATGCTTTGGTCTGTGTGTTATTTGACTAACTTCCTCGCCCATATTATATGCCGTGCTCCTTGTATCTGTTCTTATCTCTCCATTTTCTATAATATTGTTTTCTGGCAATTTACCATCCTTTGATAAAGATTTGAGTGAAATTTCCTCCCCATTGGTGCTAGCTGTCGATTCATTTAATTTAACTCTTGTCTCCATTTAAACTCCCGTACGGCCAGCAGCTCGATTGTTATCGTTATTTCAATTTGTAATCTACTGTTCTTTTCCAAAAAAATATTTGAGTACGCATCGATTGCAAATATTGATGATGGAATTAGAACCCGATAATAGAAAGGTCGTGTGATTGCATAAAAACACCTGAAGGATAAACTTTCCATTTGGTTAGTATATACTATAAGGGTCTATATTGATTCCTTTGAGATGTATGTGTCAAACTGGTAGAAACGTCTTTGAAAGTTTGATCTTTCTTAATGAAACCGCCCTATCCTTATCATACTTTGTAAAACATTCACTAATTTTTAAGGATATCTTAATACTTACTTCAATTCTATACTCATAAATCTATTCATTGTTCATTGTCCCCCTGATGTTCACTCTGATCCATCTTGTACCACCTATATAAAGAGCTGTTTAAAGTGTTTGCTTTATTTGAATCACCCTTATATTGATACTGATAGTAACACAAACTTCTGTGTATATTTTCACGTGACGGATGTATCTTATGTTGATTTTCGAACTGATCACGTACTCTAAGATTAAGAACTACCATAAGTTATAGTTAAACAATGTCATCTCCTGGTGCTGAGCAAGAAACAGCTGTTTTAAGCGGCGACGAACAAGAATTATCTAAGGAAGAAAGATTGGAAGCCGCTCGTAAAAAATTCGAGGAATTGAAGAAGAAGAAAAAGAAGTCCAAGAAGAAATCCAAGAAGGGAAAGGAAGATAAGGACGAAGAGACGGCAGAAAATGATGAAACCGATGGCAAGGATACAACAAATGATACCCAAACTGATGGTGAAGCAGCGAAGGTAGATGCTGACGAACCAGAAGAAGGGGACAAGGAACAAGAAGGGAAAGTGGTAAGTGATGAAACTGAGAAAAACAAGGAGAAAGCTGATGATATTGAAGAAAAGAGCCTGAATACTCCAGGGGATGCAAAGGATGAACTGAAAGTTACAAAGGATGCGAAAGATGAACTTAAAGTTACAGAGGAGACGAAGGATGAACCTAAGGCTGTGGATGATGCTAAAAATGAAGTGAAAGTAGATAAAGTAAACGATAACAATGCCAATGTAGACAAGATAGCTGATGAGAAAGCAGAAAGTAGCAAAAATGAGAAAAATGCAGATGAAGTGAAAGATAAGGTCGAGGCTGAAGCTCTTACTAATGAAAGGCAAAAAGAGAATGATGATGAAAAAGTAAAGATAACGAAAGAAGCTGAAAAGGAAAAAGTTAAGGATGAGAAAATAGATTCAGCAGCTAGTGTTGTTGGAGAAGACGAAATTGCCTCTTTGAACGCTACTATCGAACTACAAAAATCGACCATTAAAAAATTGAGAGATGAAAATACTGATTTGAAGTTGTCTCGAATGGACTTACAAGATAGAATTGTTGAATTAGAGGGCCAATTGAAAAATGCTCCTCTGCCCACGTCCAAGGCTGAAGTCCCACAAAGTTCCCCACAGAAACTGGCAATCAAACCAGCAAAGCCAGTTTTCACCCAAAACGATTATGCTTCAGTATCTCAGCAAAACTTTGCTAGTTTCTCGCACACGGACGATTTCAGAGAGAAATTAATGGTGTGGAAAGGCTGGCAAGTGGATATGAGACTTTGGAATGCAACGAATAACACTCAAAAAATATCTCTTTAAGTTTACATTTTATAGTTATATCAACATCGAATATATCTATTCTATTTATACAATTAAATATTACTATGTACACACTACAGTTTTAATTCCATTTAATCATTTAATACGACATAAAACCATTCCCTTTAAATCCTTCTTGGCAGCCTCTTGCACTTCTAAAACCTCGTCTGCCGGTGTCCTCACAAAGATACATTCTGCTGGCTGTAATGGCTTAATAAATCTGACTGGCAATCCAGACGCAAGAGCTTTAATTTCAGTCGGAGTTAAATTGACTTTACGGCCTGGCTTCAGTACCAATGAAAAATCTCTAATTACCGACTGATTGTTGAGATATTTTAACCCCAACCACAAACGACGACTGGATATATTATCTGGTGTAACTTCGACTGGTTTTAAATCAGGACCTGTGGTTGAACCTTTTTGAATCGAAGAAATAAAACCTTCTCTATATAATCCTAATGCAACTTGTAAATGTAAACGGCTAAATGGCACCGACGTGGTAGCAACATGAACGTTGGTAACGTTCTTAATATGACTGCAGAAGTTAGCTAAATGAACCAACGACATTACTGTTAATTGCTAATCTGTTTTACTGTATGCTAGTTCTTGTCGATTTGATATAATTTTTAACCTGAAAAATTTATGGTTGAGTCACGTGAAAATATTGGTCAGTGGTCCTGGAAAATAGCTGAAAAATCCCGGAGTGAAGAACTGTCACTTCCTTTTCTGCAATTGATAACAGGCACAAAGATGTTCAGATCAAGCCAGTTGCTTAGGAATGGAATTCGTGGTATGCGGAATGTTCGCATGCCAATTACTCAATTAAAAACATCGCCATTCATGCCTATGAGAGCACAACTTTATTCAACAAAAGCAAATAATGAACCACCAAAATTACGTTTCCTCTTTTACATGTTTATTTTTGCTTCAGGTGTGTTATACGTTACAGGTAGTCAAATAGATAAGAGAAAGCCCAAAAATAGTTTTACAGAGAAGGAATTTGAGGAATATGAAAGCAGTAGTGGGTTGAAAAGACGTAGTAAGTTGATTTCCACGCAGGATGCAGAGAAATATAAGTTTTTCGTTGTTCCATATGTTCACCAGAACGAGTTTATTACTAAGATCGCTCAAAAGCTTGGAGATAAAGAAGTCAGAGTTATCGATCCTGAAGAACTCATTAAACGTGAAAGAGAAGACGAGTCAAGACATTACTCTTACTTATTGCAAGACTTAGCCAAAGATGATAAGCCATTGCCAAAAGGTTTAGTTACCGCTTTGATTAAGGATGATATCAAGTTTTATTTAAATACAAGGAATGGAACTTTTGATACTAACTTTCTCATTAAGAACTATCCTCAAACTACGGACGAAGCTATTAAATTTGAGAACGACATATCCGATATTCTGAAGTGTATAGTACTTCATTATGATATGTTAAACGAATTAAAAAAGAATAAAGGTGAGGACAATGCAAGACTAATTAACAACGTCGTTGGTTACTACGAAACTGTGAACAAAGCCAAGGTTATCACCGCTAAACATGATGAGTTAGATGATAAATTACAAGAAATCTCATTAGAATTTATCTAATAATACAGCTGTGTTTTTAGTTTAATTTGTATATAACTTCATTTTTATGGTCCAAAGATTTCCTCGGGGATCTTGAATTGTAGGTTTACATTTCTAGCAAACATTTTATCACTGTCCAGGAAGTCATTCGATCTTCCTGCCGCATCTCCCACAAAGAAACTATTACTTGTATCTATTGTATAATCCTGATCTTCAAAATACTTCACAAGCTCATTCCACATACCTATATTTGGTTTCCTCATTATTGCATGATCTTCGTCAGAACTAACTGCAATTTTCTGATTTTTCGACGATGGCTTCTTTGGTGACGCATAGACAAGCAAGCCTGGAACTTCTTTCTCCGTACTTAGTTCTTTGAAGATATTATTAACGCGGCCAATAAATGCTAAATATGATTTACTTGTCTTTGTAGCTACCACTCCTCCTTGATTTGTAAAAATCACAATTATATATTTATCAGCTACTAATTTTTTCAATTTGTCCATCACATTTAGTTTATTCGAGTCGTTTGAAGTCCACCACCTCCAATCATTAGCTCCCCTAGCAAACTTCAGGCCCGTTTTGGTATCCACCAACGTCCCATCTAAATCAAATGCGGCAATTTTTATTAGTTTCTGGTCCCCTCTACTAATAGAATAGCTATCCACGTCTAATTGCTGAGGTATATTAGTTATTAAATGCGTTCCATGTATTTTCCACCTAAGATTAAAGTCCTTTGATAGTATGCTTTGATTTACTTGATTTAAATTTCCCGAAACATCCGTCTCTTTCAATCTTGCAATTTTAGTTTTACTTATTTTAGAAGCAGAATTTTGGCCTACTTTAAGCATTGAAAAGATATCTTCATTGGCCATATTCTCTATCAGATCAATCGCTGAATTATGCATGCTAGATTTATATCGCGATAATTCTTCTACATAAATTCGTCCTACGTCAAATTTCCTTTAGAATAAGGTAAAGTCTGGCAGACTTTCAGTTCAAATACATTTCTAACTTAATATATATATATATATATGTATGTATTAAATTCCTAAATAAGACTACGTTTTTACATTCCTGACCATAAGAAGTCCTTTTCAATCTTAAAAGGCGAAGTTGAAGTAATATTATCACTACTGTTACCAACATGAACCTTGTAATCACCCTTTTCAACTGACCATTCATCTTGATACTCGTCAAAGAAAGAAATTGAGTCCTTCAAGGACAATTTCAATGAAACGGTGGATTCTGCACCGGCCTTCAAATGTACCTTTTCGAATCCTTTTAATTCTTTCACAGGTCTGATTACATCACTTTCATCTTTCGATATATAGACTTGAACGACCTCTGAACCTTCAATTTTACCTGAGTTTTTAACGTTCACAGATACTGTTAAATTATCATCTTTTTCATCAACGGAGATCTCTAAATCAGAAATATCAAACTTGGTGTATGACAAACCAAAACCAAACGGGAAGGCCACTTCTCTTTCAAGTTTCTCGTAGTATTTGTAACCAATAAAAATGTCTTCACCATATAAAACTCTACCCTTCTCTGTTTTGAAGTTAAGATAAGTTGGGTTATCAACATTCTTGAAAGGGAACGAGAGAGATAACTTACCACTTGGGTTAACATCACCGAACAAGACATCAGCTATACCATTACCTAATTCATTACCTCCATACCATGCTTGAACTAATGCGTTTGCTTTCTTGATCCATGGGAACTCAACTGGAGTACCAGATTGATTGACAACAACAGTATTTGGATTGGCATCCAATACTGCATCAACTAATTCGTTGATGTGGCCAATTAAGTTCATATCTGGACGATCAAATCCTTCGGATTCCCATTCTTGATTTAAACCAATATTCAATACCACTTTGTCTACTTTTTTAGCAAGTTCTGCAGCCTTCGCGATTTCATCTACTGGATTAATTACTTTAGCAAGTCCCAAGTTGATACCACCACCACCACCAAAACTGACAGAATCGGAAGAAGGTACGCTAAATGTAGGAGCGGAGCCAAATTCAATTTTAATGGAGTACGTTTTACCTTTCTCTAGAGAAATGGAATTCCTAACCTCGTTAGACCCACTATTGAAGAAGGAGTTACCTCTTTGTTGGACCGTCTTGTTGTCAACGACCAATTTACCATCAACAAACAATTGGGCTGTACCAAGTACAGCAAGACCAAATTCATAATCAGCTGTTTCTTCCGGCGTAAACTGACCATCGAAGTCAATATAGAATAAGTCATCCTTTATTCTTTTATTGTAGTAGTCCACTAAGAAAATATGTGACAAATCTAAATCCTTTTCATCTATTAATGTTCTTTCGGAAGTAGAATTTGGTTCAAGGTAATATTTCAAATTGTAACCAGCTTTTCCAGTTTTTGGATTGACCAATTGAGGTCCTAATGCTGGTAATAACCTATGTCCATAAGCACCAATAGTGTATTCTGGATCTTTATTTAATTTTTTTGAAATAGAATCAAACGGGGTAGTCGTATAATAAGCTCTTAATGCTGCAGATCCTCCACCACAGTAAGCGGCATACTTTGCGTTAGGTCCAATGACAGCTATTTTATCATCCTTACTCAAAGGTAAGACATCATTATCATTTTTAAGTAAAACAACAGAATCATGGGCAAGTTTTCTTAAAAGTGCAGCAGTCTCTGATGTATTACCATTCGAAGTCTCCGGAGCATTTTCTGGAACACCTGATTTAAGTGCGTACTTAATTAACTTAAGAACATTTGTGACTCTTTCATCGATCTTCTTAATGTGTAATTCTTTCGTAGTCACCATAGCAGCTACTTCGGATTGATTTCTAAAGATTGAAGGACCAGGCATTTCAATATCTAACCCATTTTCAATGGCTTCCTTACTGGTATAAGTTCCGTACCAATCAGACATGGTAGTACCATCCCAATCCCACTCTTTACGTAAAATATCTTGAATCAATCTTTCTGATTGTGAAACATGTTCTCCGTTCACCTTATTATAACTGGTCATTAATGCCACTGGGTTCGAGTGCTTGATGGCAAGTCTGAATGGCTCTAAATAAATTTCTCTCAAAGCCCTTTCAGTAAGAATAGAATCACTAGAATTACGTTGATCTTCCAAGTCATTACAAACAAAATGCTTGATTGTAGCAGCGATTCCCTTATCTTGAATACCATTTATGATCGACGCTGCACTTTGCCCTGTTAAATGTGCATCTTCACTAAATGACTCAAAACCTCTACCACCTAGAGGACCTCTTTGGATATTAATTGTTGGACCTAATACAACTTGTGCACCCTTATGTTTGGCTTCGTCTCCCATTAAACGGCCAGCTTCAAATAATAGCTCCTTGTCAAAAGTAGAAGCTAATGCCGTTCCACATGGAAAACAAGCAGATGGAACACTGTCAAAAAATTTTGTTCCTCTCAAACCATTAGGTCCATCACTGAACCTGAGGCTTGGAATATTCAATCTTTCAACAGCAAATGTGTGCCAGAAATCGATACCGGCAAGTAAACCGATTTTTTCTTGAAGTGTTAACTGAGCTAAGGTGCTCTCGATATTAAATTCGGACATTATTAATGATTGTACAATGTGATAATACCTAGTTGTCTTTCTACAATTTATTTGTATATTTTCAGGATGGGCCTCCTTTTATATCCACAAATAACTGAGTAATTGTGGTCCGGATCGAATCCCATAAACAGAAATGACACCGACGGAAAAATCAATGCGGGTGTATTTCCTATTTAAAACGTGGAGACAAACTTTGTCAAGCATTTTAATCCATTTTTTTCATACTTATGTTTTAACTAGGGAAGTTATCCGTCTTTAAAAAGTTGGACCGAAGACTTTGTATACTAAGGTTTGTCACTGTAGAAATATTAGGGGGTTCTTCTTTAACTGAGGGTGGTTGACTTTACGAATTTTTCCGTGAAAATAGTTCCAAATTTGTCTCATGGTTCTTTGTAATTCTACTAAAAGTTTCCACGTTCCGTTATATGGACTATATTATAATTCATTTTATAGACGTTGTAGTGAATTACACTATTGATTCTAAGTGAAATTGTTTGTTTACGTTATTTATATGTACTTAGATCATAATAAATACCTGTACATAACCATCAAGCTGCCCCGTAGAGATCTATAATTTTGTCATTACTTGCAAAGTCGTATTTTTTAGACATGTAATTATTAAGCTGTTGATATGTAGCAAATTAGCCAATAAATAAATACCGGCTAATAATTTAGTTTAAATGTCTTTCATTCTCACTTTTTTGCAAGCAAATTAGATATTTCTGTGAAATCTTGAATTATTATATAAACTGTGAAATTTTGCAATCAAAATGCAATAAATAATTAGGAAGGAATATTTCTTGTAACTCAAATATATATACTCTAGCTCAAAATACATTAGTCGCTTTAAAACATTTCATGCTCTCTACACTGTTTCCGGTAAAAGACAAAATCATCCCAATAAATAGAGAGAAAAACCGTACTACTATACATAAATTATCTATCTTTTTTTAAATATCTTCCATTAATATTAAATTAAGATATCTACCTTTCTGTTTATTTATTTTATACGAGCAAAGCCTACGGCGAAACATTGCCATATTCGAGTTGCATTTCGTTCAGTATTAATTTATCTTTCAAAAAAAAAAATTAATTCGCGATATGAGTTTAAAACCATTCTTTTACCTTTACTACTACTTTTACCATGGAAGAAGATAAGGTCAAAGATAACAATAAAATAAGTATCGATCAATATGGAAGAAAAACCTGGAATGTTGATGCGTATGCTAAAGAAGCGAAAAACAAGTCATCTAAAAAGGCCATCTCATCTGCTCCAAATCTTAGTAGTTCAACCATAAATACAGATAAGCCCTTATCATACCTAACCCATAGAGATAAGTTACTTAAAGAACTGTTATCAGCTGTTAATCAGCATACTATTATAAATCCATTGAATACGAGCTCTTATGGAAAAAATAAGAAATTTGGCTTCTTCTGTCTGGTTTGTGACTTGTCTTTTCGGGATAATTTGGCATTAATAGACCATATAAATTCGCCTCTGCATGTTCAAAGGTCACAATCATTAGTAACGAAGCATGATGGAGAAGACACTGAAATATTAGACGGAAATGTAAGGCGAGCTACGGTTGACGAAGTTAGACTTACCCTAGAGTCTTTGATAGCAAAGCTGACACAAGACAAAAACTCCGGTAACAATAAGACGAATATAAAGGAAAGGATATTCAGGCGACAGGAGTTTGAAAAGAATCAGCAGGCTAAAAGAAGGGAGAGGAGACTCAAGACAAAACAGAACAAGATAGCACGAAAAGATAAAACCGACGAAGGTAATAATGACATATCATCCATGATGGGCTTTGGAGGTTTTGGATCCACGAAGAAATAACTGATAAATCTGTGGTTTGATAGCATGATACTAATTCAAAAAATTATGGCATTACTATTAGTTGCGAAACCTTATTGAATTCAAAAGTCAAGCGTAATTATACATTATGGAGTGATAAAGAAAAGAAAGTATGCCATCACATTACTAGAAGTGAGCTTTCGACTACGTAACTTATATAGCATGCACTAATAAATTGTAATATACAATAGATTCAGTAGGACATATTTATGGTAATTCTATTAACCTGTAAACCAAGATTTTGAAAATTTCGCGCTTTTTGCATGTTACACCGAACCATAAATTTTCATCAACTAACCAATAGAAATTAATTGAAAACACTTTATACATTAAAACCAAGATTTAGCTGGCAATATCAGTGGTATTTTAAATTGAAAGATACTATTCCATAATGAGATTAACTTGGAAATTTCCGTTAAACGGTTTATTTAAACATAAGTTTGGTAAATTCAATTATCCCTTAGAACAAGATATTCGTAATAAGTTAGACTCATTATCATCGATTACCAAGATTTATACAAACCCTGATGGTACCCCAAGAGTTCCAACTGATCAAGAATTCAAAACTATTGCCGAGTTGCAAAACTTATACTACAAACGTAACCATTCAGAATGGAACTTTATACTTCCAGGTATTCCAAAGGAACAATTAGATTTGTTCAAAGATAATTCTCAAGACTTAAAGAACTTCCAGTTTGTTACCAAAGATTCAGGTAAAATCATTGATAAGATCCCATATAAAGATGAGAATACTGGTGAATTAAAGTGGAGAATTGTCAGAGAAACTGAAAAGGCTGAGGGATGGGAATTTCCATATTTCTACTTGGTTCTCCCAATATTCGCCTACGTTGCCTACTCTAAATACACTGCGCAAATGGCTAGAAGAGCAAATGATGGTCCAGAATGGGCTGAAAAGGAATTAAGGTTGAGAGCTATGGAAGATTACTTCCACGGTGATACCGAAAAGGCTAAGGAATTCTTGAGTAATGAAGGAAAGTCTACAAGAGAAATCAGAGATAGAGATGATTTGGTTGTTGCCAGAATCTTAGGTGGAGATTATGATAAATTAGCCCAATTAAAGAAGAAATTACCAAAGGACTTACTTCCAAAAGATGAGCCACACCCAAACCTTAAATTTTAAACATCTTTAAATTCCTAGGTATTTAAATCATTCCCATATAATTAGGGATTAAATTTCTTGCCATTACAGTGAATTTGGTTGGTAAATTTAATTCGAATTCATAAAACTATAGAAACCTTTCTAGAGTTTAAAATTTCAAGTACGTTAATTTATTCATTATTTTTGTTATTTCCTTGATAATCTAGTTTCTATTATCTTTTTTGAACGTATATATTTTTTTATCTCCGAACAGCTTTTCCACGTTTAGGTATATACATATTTTAAATGCATTAAACTACTCACATAATTTATTATTATGTACTAAATATATCCTAAATACATATTTTTTAATTGTCCTTAAGTTCACCACATTCTTCGATGACAATAGAAGATTGTGGAGCACCACTACCAGAACCTTGAGCTTCAATCTTCTTGACAATATCCATACCTTCAATAACTTCACCAAAAACAACGTGAGCACCATCCAACCATGGACAAGGAACAGTTGTGATGAAGAATTGAGAACCATTGGTATTTGGTCCAGCATTAGCCATACTCAATAAACCAGACTTTTCATGCTTCTTTTGGAAGTTTTCGTCTGGGAATTTTTGACCGTAAATTGATCTACCACCGTAACCTTTACCAGTTTCAAAATCACCACCTTGTAACATAAAGTTTGGAATCACTCTATGGAAGATAGAATTGGCGTAACCAAACCCTTTTTCCCCGGTACATAAAGCTCTGAAGTTTTCAGTAGTCTTTGGGACGACTTCATCATATAATTCAAACTTGATTGGAGATTGCTTAACACCTCCAATTGAAGGAGTTATGAAAACCTTAGTACCCCAATTTCTTGCGGACGAAGAGAATAATCTGGTTTGTCTAGTAAAGTTAACAGGTTTGAACATATTTGATTTAATAATTACTACTTTCTAATCAACTACATGGATTGACCCTTGAAAAATTTCCCTTTTATATTTGGTGTTCAAATTATATACAGGCTTCGTAGAAATCTTTAGAATATAGTATTTACCTGGCTCATACTAGGAAACTAAAAGTAAGATGTTTAGACGAAATAAATATAAAACATACATAAAAATAACTAATATTCCTATCTAGAAACTTAATAAATCAACTTCGGCATTGCTGTTACTATTATTATTACCATTGCTACTGTTAGCGTTTGCACCATTTTCGTTTGCAGTTGAAGTGTTATTGGAGCTGAAATCACCAAAGAAATCATCATTGTTAGTAGTAGCAGCATATGTGTTTTGTTCTTTTTTAGGGCTGCTGATAGAAGGACTTGAAGTCTTAGTCTTTGATTTTGCAGAAGAAAATAAAGATGAGAAGGCATCATTATTGGATGATTTGGCGGGACCAGAAGTAGTTGCAGAACTCGACGATGTGTTTATATTATTATATCTTGGAGCTCCATTATTAAACTGTTGTTGTTGCATAATGTTTGGTTGCTGTTGTGGTTGTTGGAAAAAGCTTTGCTGCTGTGGTTGTTGTTGGTATAAGTTTGATAAGCTATTGGAAATACTCTGTTTTTGTGGTTGCGATGGGGCAGCTTGGAAGTCATCAAAGTCATCATCGTCGTCTTGAACAGGAGCTGAATTTGCATTCGCCGAAGAGCTAGGTTCATCAAATGTAACCAAATCTTGTAATAAATCTTGCTGTGGTTCTTGTGGTTGAGGTTTAGACTTGGAAGACGAAGTTGCAGTTGCGTGAACCTTTGAGGAGCCAGTAGTTGGTTTTGAAGAGCTGTTTGAAGTTTCAACGTCATATTCTTCGAAATTCTCATTGGAATTGCTATTGTATTCCTCTGCCGGATCTTCATATCTTTCACCATAAACACCACCGTCACCATAAACCTTATTAGTATAATCATCGTCGTAACCTGCGTTAGATCCGGGTGTGATTGAAGCTGCACCGCCAAATGCACCTGACGAAACACCCCCAAATTTCTTTGCGTTATTTCTGGCCTTTTTACGTTCAGATCTGATTAATGCATCGTCATTTAATAATGAAATTAATGTCTTAGATCTGTTCCTAACATTAAGCCCCTGGTCTCTTCCCTTAGAATCGATATAATGGAATGATTTCAACATTTGAATCAATGATAAGTTCGACCTCACATCATCAATAATTCTTTCCGATCCATTTTTAATCAAATATTCTAATAATTGCAATGATTTGTATATTTGCCTCCATTCATTGGCAGCTTTTTCCGTGAATCGACGAAATATGAAGCTCACGATCTCTTCCCTTTCTCTATAATTATAAGTTCCTGCCGCAATTTGTTGCATCAACGTCGACGAGGCACCCCATGGTTCATTGTTTGTAGCTTCACGAACCTTCGATTCCATTTCAGTCAAATTCATAGCAACTGTTAAAAGAGAATGTTAATAATCTATTTGAGAACATGAGTTAAGCTATCGCTAAACAAATGAATACATACCATTTTGGGCCTTACGAACGTAAGCTTTGACTTCATATAATGAAATGTTTTTAGTGGCGTCTTTTAAAAGATCCATCTTGATTACTTATTCGATATATTTTCCCAAAATTCAAGAGGTTTCTAATTAACAAACAACTTCTGAATCGCTCATACAGTTGAACATTGAAATTTTGAGGGACAAAGGGGCATTGCTTATATGCACGCAAATTTTCTTAGCCATACGTTAATATAGCTAAATTGACTACTAATTGTTCAGTTCGTTCGCTTGTTAATGTAGAGTATAAGAGTCAGGTTGGCAGCTTCTATTTGGGGTACTTAGGGGAGTTAAAAAAAAAATAAAAAAAAATTGTATGTAGCAAGCAATTTCTGAATCAGGACCGAAATTATAGAATGTAACAATCAACTCAGATCTGCCTGTTGCCGATAGTTTTATAAACATTATACATGAATATATATATGTTTCAGTTTGCTAGATATACTCGATTTTCATTTCATTTCACCTTCTAGTTTACCGGAAAATGGTTCAATGGTAAATGTAAACTACAATGAATTAATCTAAATATATATATTCATAATGTTATATAATTTTTAAGCATCAAACATCGTTTCAAATGCATTTTAATTATTTAGTGGGATAAAATTCAATTAGTTGTTATATAAATTAATTGGTTTTATCTAAATCAATGAATTTACCACCGCTAGCGAATCTTGGGTGTCTTGGATCGTTAATGAATTCATCAGAGTTCATTGATGCAACACTAGCCTTGTAGATTAAAAAGTAAGTAATACCGGCTATTTCACGTTAGTAATATATTCTTCAATATAGCTAATTGTTTAAGTGTGAGGAGATCATTTTCCAATGTTATAAAATTTTACCATGTTTTCCATACTGTCCGATTGAATTTCCACAATACTACATTTTAATATAACACTTCAGTCAATCAATTTCCTCAAATAAAATCTCTACATTGACTCTCTATTATCTAGGATTATCTTCTTCTGGTGACTTTTCTTCAATTATAATTGTAGGGAAATTCGTCCCAAATGGTTCTAGACATTTCATTTATACGTCAAAAATGAAAAGTGTAATTCAATCAAAATAAATCGTAATATACCAATACGTAGCTCATGATGTTAGAGATTGGAAACCACGTTGGCCTATATCATGGGAACTTTGGAAATACGTCGGGCACCAGTGAAAATTCTTAATCAATCTCTTCCTTAAACATAAAAATAGTACATACCACCAGCGGCAAATGGCCAGTAATGCTTGATGACAGGGGTTGGGAATCTTGGAGGCATTATATCTGATATGTTAATATTATATATATATAATTAGTTTACAAAACTTCTAGTTCGACTTCAGTAGTATTTCAATTTTGTTCGGGACTCGGTTTGTCTGTTTTGTCCAATGAAAATTAATGTAAGGTATTATTGGTATGTACACGAATTATATTACAGAGATCACTTATACTACTATATATGTCTCTTTAGGCTCTTTATATAAGGTTCTATTGTCATCTGAAGTGAAATGTTGTAGATTGCAGCAGTAGTATTAAGCTGGAGTAATTTCATAAATTCTTATTTCAGGCGTGGTGTATTTAAACCAACAATTAGTGTCAATCAATGCAGGTTGATCACATTTTTCTATAACCCTGAAGTTTCCTTCAAACCATTTCTGTAACTCGTATTGCCAGTCGTTCAATGTTTCTTCGTTTCTCACAGTTGCAGCGATAAGAGCCAATTTCGTACCGTTATTAAAAAAATCGTTGATTGTCGAGCACAATAATGGAAGAATTGATGAATCGTACGTGACATCAGCAGCAACGACGTAGTCTGTGGAAGGGGGAGTCTGAATAAACTCTGGGTCTTTCGGGTTTGTTGTTCCCCAAAGTAATTGTTGTGTCTTAATTGTAGAGTCGACGATTAAGCCATTAAGTTGGAAAGTTTTACTCAAGTTTTCAATTAGTGAAGCGTCACCATCTGTGAATATGATTTCACTTAAAGGGCTAATCTCCTTATGATAGTACTTAGCTAATGCTAATCCCACTAATCCTGTACCGGTGCCCAATTCACAGATACTTTTGTTACTAAAATCTATTGGGTTAGAATTCAAGTAATTTGCTAAGTATAGGGCCGCTTCCCATGTCCTTAGTCCTGTAGTTCCCTTACCTGATATCAACTTTGGAGTCTCCTTAATCACTACTGATCCATTATTCAGTACATTTTCTGCCTTGAATCCACCTACTGGGTACAGAATCGTATCAATCTCCGTTGCTCCCATTTCAACAGCATTTAAAATAGTTTCATTGCAATACAATTCGTAAATATCTTCTATTACTTCGTTATTTGTTGATTCTATAGTGTGAATATATTTTTTCAAGAAGGATTTGATATAATATGGGTTGACATCAATTAATGCTAACAAATGGGGTAACAATTTGTATTGGATTTCATCACCTAAAATACCCGAAACATCATTCGGTGAGTTCATGAAATCAAATACTGGTATTCGCTGGTTCAAACATGACACTAGCTTTGAGTATGTTATTGTTCTTGACATTTGTATGTGAAGAAAAAGTTCTTCCATGAATCTTCAGAACTGCTGCGAATTTTATGCTGCGAAGCTCATCAGAAACCGTTCTATATGCTCCACATGTCCACTTGACCTTTTAAATTGTTTCGTGACCTACAGGCTGAATTAGCGATGTTCATATTCATATGTACGATATATATCCACCCCCCACTAGTTAAGTAGTGTTTTATTTTTTGTTCTTTTTTCTTTTTTATGTTTTCGGAAATGTAAGTTCTATGAATTACAACTAGAATTACCTAGTTTGAAACGATATTACCAAAAACTCTTACTCTTTTAACACCCCCATCTGGAATCATTGTAAATAAAACATGCGAATAAACTTTATCTCCAGATACCTTGAATTCGAGCTCCTTGTCAGGGCCAGTCTTTGAATCACCGACCAATAAATCCCATTTATCACTGTCAAAACGAGGTACGTCTTTATCATTAGCAACTTTAATGGCCTTTACATTGATCTTTTGGGGGAAGTTACCTCTGAAGTGAAGCGTATCAACAAGAACACTGCTAATCTTCGTTGAGGCACCCAACCTAATGACTACCCAATCTACGTGGCCCGGTTCCCTCGACCTCTTTGTTTCCCAACCGTCACCCATGTCTTTGCCTCTTCCTGGCAATAACAAATTATCAGCAGTACCAAAGTGTTGGTCCGATCTATCAATGGCCACACCTCCATTGAGAACTGATGCCATATCCAAAACGGTCGAGGAATCACTAGGAAGGATTGGAACAACCGACCCATACAATCTGAATCTTGCAATCCCTCCGTCTGGATACATTCTTAACCTAACATGAGTATAATTAGTTTCTGTGATAGAATCCCTAACAAAAAAGTGTTTTTGTGAAGGTCCACATTCAATTTTGGGGATCACCGTTTCCCACTTGGAATCTGGAAGCGACTCAATGCCTTCATCGTCGCCCAACGCAACAGCTTCGACAGATATATGTGGAGCATGGTTACCATTGAAGAACGCAGTGTCGATTTCGCATCCTATCAATTTGGCAGATGCCACTCCCATCTTGATAATAACATAATCCGCTTCTTCGACGTTGTGTCTACGTGTCTCCCACCCATCGTACCACTTCCCGGCCGGAACAAACTTGTTAGCATCGAAAATTGGTGCCTTTGGTTTAATCAAGTTTTCTGCCTCCGCAAACCATTCGTCAGAAAATTTCAACACCTTTCCACCTAACTTTTCCCCAATCACATCCGTATATTGGGTAACAATCTTCTCTTGAAACTCTTTTTGCGATAAGACCTTAACCATGGTAAATAGCTACTTTTAGTGGCTCAGAATTGTACAACAATAGTGTAGATTAGTATAGTAAACAAGAATAAATGTCAATATATGCAATTGCTTGGATTTTTGCTATATTGAATATGCTGTGACTGATTCGTTATCGTATCTGTAAAGATATTCAACTTTTTTTTATATAATATATGTATATATGTATATAAGCAGGATAAGAAATAAACTAAATTTTTCACTTTTATCAGCAACTACCCTTAATATAAGCAATTGACTCCAGTTGATAATATATGTGGGTTGAACACACCTTGCATTTGCATAATCCCACCTAATTCGATTGGGATCATCTTAGCGATATTGACTCCTCTCGAACTGCATCAAAGACTCGGAGTAGAGCGAAGTAGTGTTATGTCTTATCTATCGTGGTTGAATGCCGTAACAGGAAATAAATCCGCAAAAGTCGGTCTTGAATATAGACTTCCCAATCAAGAAGTAAGTGAACAATTAGATTTCATAAAAGTTCGTTTACAATTGTTACGTAATCTGGGTACTAATTCTCAAAAAAAAAACAACAAAAAGAAAACAAAGTCTATAAGCGGTTCCAATAAACACTATTACAAAAAGTGACGATTGAGCTTTTGCAGTTCTCCGAGAAACAAGATTGACACCCCTTACCAACTAAATTACGCTCTTTAAACCATTATTTAATTTAAGTTAGAACAGAAGACAAGCAAATTCCAGTTGATCCGACTGTAAACATAGACAATAATCGAGGAATTATGGATGATTCTAAAGAGAACGATAACTCTGTTATAGTAAATGTTCAGCCCAGCACACCCAACCGGCCATTGAGTGGCAAGAATTCCATGAACTCACTTAATGGGTCGAACAAAAGCAAAGGAAATATTGGATCTCCTAGTAAGGCCGAAGTAGTCAGTCCTATCAGACAACAGAAGTTGGTAACGTTAACACAGAATTACAGCAAGCTAGAACGGGGATATGCCGACTTGTTATTGAAATATAATAACTTGTTGAGTGAATATGAACAAATTGAACAGGAATTGCAAAGCAAGGTGCAGACGAATCGGGAGCAGTCTGCCACAATAAATAAGTATGAGACCTTATTAATACATATTGAAAATGATCACAACAAGAACAAGGAGTTATACGAACAGGAGATCTTTTATTATAAAGAACTGATTGACGATTTGCAGTTGAAGATCAACAAGATGACTAACGAATTGAATAGCAAAAGGCTTGAGGACGAGCAATTTGACAAAATCGATGATGAACTATTGGATAAATATAATGCGTTACTGAAGCAATTTAAAATTTTGCAGAGCAATTACGAATTGGAGCAAAACTCTAAATTAGTTCTCATTGATCAGATCGAATATTTGACTAAACAAAATGACCTATTAAACCCAGATGCTGAGAATGATATGCACAAGAACGATAGCAACTCTAACGCATCAAATCATTGCCACGAATTTGACGATAGCGTAATTCATATAGATACTTACGCACACACTATGAATAATATAAGTGATGAATCAGATGTTAATAATTCTGATTTGGAGCTCGACGAAGATCAAGATTCACAGATACTAAGTTATTTGGCAGATGATATGAATGGTCAATTTACATCATCGTCTCCAATTAAACGGGATGAATCGTTAAAAATTGCAAACAATTTTGTATTCCCTAATAACAGTTCCCAGGAAGATAGAATTCCGAATTTAGAATCTGACTTGAACTTTAAGTTTCCCGCTTCTCCCGATCCAGAATCGAAAGAATTGAAACGCCAATCATTGCCCGCTACTTTGAAGCATAATTCTCATCTTGATTTAAATGATGATTTCATATTGTCGCCATTAAAATTGACTGCGAATAATACGTCATATTTTAATATGGATAACTCAATAAATAACACAACTAAGAGAAGGTATTCGAATTCAAAGCCAAACCATTCTCGTTATAATTCGCATGACATTTTACCTATTAAGGTGGAATTTGAACCACTTGAGCTGACTTTAAGGAGCACCTCAGGACCTGAAAAATATTATAATAGTAATACAAACTCAACATTATCTCAAAATAATAATAAATTTGAAAGCATTGAAGAATTACCTGAATCAATCGCACACACTGATGGTAAATCGGTTAGAAATTCAACGTTCAATAAATTAAATGGCTATAACAACATTCCTTCGAATAGAAGCTCATTAAATACTACAGGGTCGTCCAAATCAAGTTTACTCATTGATCACAATATTATGACTAACGATATGACCAAACAAGAGATTATGAAATTGAAGTTCGAATTACATTCCTTAAAATTGCATAATGAAAAATTACTATCTTACATTGGTTTCGAATTGCAGAAACAAAAGAAGAACATTAAAAAATTATCACATAAGCAATCTACCACAAGCTTGAGGAACTTCAATCGTAAGATAGAATATTCAGATGCAAAATTGATTGAAAAATCGAGAGACTTACTAATCCACAAGAAAAGAGTCCTCAGATCTGTATCTGTCAACCCAATATTATCCAGGAAATATAACTACGATAACAACGTTGTTGGTATACTAACCAAAAGCTTGTTACCATTTAAGATAATACCCGAGCATGATGAAGATCGCTTTAAATTTACTAGTGATTTTATTAATAGTATTGATAAAGATGACGAAGATGATTATGGCTTTATGAAGCATAATGACAAATTTAATAAGAGAGTATTGTCTAATAGCTTCGAAGCTGATGAAATAGATGATGATGAAATATTTACACCTAGAGAAAACCATGGGGTTAAGAAATATAAATCTCAAATATTTAGGAATAATGATTATGATTCATCGTTTAATACGTCATATTATGATTATGATGATGATAATGACGATCAGCATGGAAATCCCACAGAAGAGGATGATAACTGGGAGGATATTTCAGGTGATTCGACAATATCAGAAGAGGTTGTTAATACTCCTATTTTTAACCAATTGAAATATCTCATTACTGGTAGTTATAGTACACCAAAGAAATCGCATGCAAGAAATGATTCCGTTGACGATGGTTTGAAATACAAATTTTTATCAATCGCTATTGGTATATTGATCATTGGCTTGAGATGTACAAACCAAAATCATAACCTTTAGATTACGAATTAGACGATATATAGACTACTTACAAAATAGAGCTCATTCAAGCATTTTATACATTCCATTGTTAAACGTAGATACAAAATCTCGGTCTCATATCTAAAATCGAGTCGGCCGCCGAATTAGCTGCGAATGGAAAAGTGGAACCACTTCTCACTGTACTTGTTTGGTTCCCAAAATAATAACACTTTAAAATTATATTATCCGGCTTCTATTCCTGCTATTCTTTTAATACAAGGGGATTTTATAGAATTAAATGATCCTTAAATAGTCTATCAAAATGGAGTTAAACGTCGATTCTGGTGCAACAAATGCCAGTATTAATAGTAAAGCGAATTCGGAATGTAATAGGAGAGGTGACCATAGATTAGCAAAACGAATAGTTACAGCCAGGAAGCACTTTCAGAAACCATATGGGGAGAATGAAACTGAAGCTTGTAATCAAGATAATGAAATCATAATGGAAGATGGCATAAAGAAATGTAAGAATTGTGCAAACTGTGATAATAAAAAAGATTCTGAAATAAAACCAAAAATTACGGTGGAAATATCCATGTTCCACGATGTATCAGAAAGTATTGACGATTTCAAGATATGCTAATTTTCTGAGAGCAATTATTGACGGTTATCCTAATAATGAAAATATAGGTGAATTGAAGCTGATGACAACGATATATAACTTCTTGTACAGTAATTCTTCGTATATTTATGCCTTATGACATGAAATTAGATTAAATACTCTTTATGGATATAAACCCATATACTTTTGAAATATTTTACTTATTACTCAAACGATATTGAACCAAGGATAAGAGATAATACATTAAATTTAAATAAGGAATTTCCGTCTTCATATCTTTATTTGTGTTCAGCTTATGAATCTTAATTACATTGCCCAAGATAACTTCAAGTTCAATGTTTCTGCCATTTCGGGAATCCACTAACATCGAAGGCTGATAGTTATTTTTAGCGTCAGTATCCTCCGTGGCTGTAATAATATAACCAATGTCATCATCTGTCACAGTTTCACCTTGGTGATTGGGGTAATTCTTTTTTAGGTCATAGTTTGCAACATATTGAATTTCCTTCATTAATGGACGGACTAGATTATCAATGATGCCCATGCTTTCCTTAAGATCAAATATTTTACCGATATCCAGATCCGTAAGGCAACAGACCGTGTTAAATGAAGAGTTGTAAAGTAATTTCTTCCATCTAGTCAACCTAACATTTGTGTCAAGCCCAACACTATTATAGTCGTTAGTATATAATCCCAAGAACTCTTGGAGCGAATCAGGGTTATCATTCTCATAAATCAAACCAAAATTATTATCATCATGGCCATATTGCGTAACAGTTCCCTTACTATTGACAGAACTGATATACGACACGCCACTTATGAAAATTGCCTTATCTTTCAACCCTTTCCAGAAACTTTCGGGATCAATTCCGTTTTGTATAAGGACAATGGAAGTCCCTTTATTATCTTTTAATAATTCTGGAAGTTGTTGAACCTGATCCCATACGTTATCTTTCTCTCTTGGGATAACCTTGGTTGCAACTACAATATAATCAAATGGTCCAAAGTTAACGGCTTCTTCCAATTCTTTAACAATATGCTTAGGTCTAAACCCTTTAATTGCATTATCAGCTTCTTTAGGATCGTCGTTGTCTCTTCTTCCCCCATAATCAATAGAAGAAATGGAATACCCAGACTTCATGACCCTGTCGTAATCAGATCTTATAATTGCAGTTATCTCAACATCAGAATTGAAGTTTTGTAAAACATAACTTGTTACCACACCAACCCCTCCTAATCCAATTGAAAGTACCTTAATCATAACTCGATATCTATTAGTTCATAAATGCCATTATTTAGTACTTTATCTCCACATTTATAGTTTTTGACTCCAAATATCTTTTCGCGCTGAGATGCCTGTTGTGGATGAGATAAGATTGTCAAAGGCTCTAGTCAATATGAACATAGTAAAATACATTATACAATTTATACATTTTATACATTATCAAAAATAATAAAGCCTGTAATATTATGAATAAATAAAGTGATCAGCCATTCATACAGTACAGAGAGTTTCTCTTGCATGTATTAATTTAACCCATTTTTATCGTTATCCCATCTCTTATTTTCAATAGCTGTCTCGGTAGGCACACTACTTGAATTGCTCGATAAGACCCTTTTTCTTTGTAATCTCCCCATTGAGTCGTTTATTGTATCGGATGTTCTCTGAGGATTGGGGTTATCATCGGTTAGTTGGTCCTGAGATGTAACAGCTGCTGCTCGTAAGAAGAAATCATCAATTCCGGAGATCTGCTGATGCTGATGTTGTTGATGTTGTTGTTTTTGTGCCTGTTGATGTGCTTGGACGTGCTGTTGGACAGCGGCCTGTTGCATCATTTGTTGTTGCATAGATTTCAAATTTATAATTCTCTCATTGAAGAACGAATTCTTGAACTCCTGGAAAATCTTAACCGTTTGAGGATATTCATACTGGCGGTCGTGAAAAAATCTGTCGGCAAACATGTAGATGAAGCGTTCAATATCCGATGCATTTATGTTCAGTCCTGACTCTGGTTCCTGTGGAGCCGATGGATTAGGTACCGCATTTGGAATAGTATTTGACCTACTGATATTTCTGGTATTCGACCTCGTAAGCCTCTGCTGCTGCTGTGCCTGCGCTTGTGCTGCTTGAACCTGGGTTGCTTGTGATTGCGCTTCATGAACTTGGGCCTGTACCTGTTGCTGCTGCTGCTGTTGCTGTTGTTGCTGTTGTTGCTGTTGTTGCTGTTGTTGCTGTTGTTGCTGTTGTTGTTGCTGTTGCTGTTGTTGCTGTTGTTGTTCATAGTGCTGTTTTTGTTTCTCATAATGTGCTCTTAACTGTTGTTGATAATCAAAGGATGCTTGGTTATTTGTGGCTTGCTCTTTTCTTGCCGTATTCGCGTTCATTTGGTACGATCCTTGTCTCTGAGGGACTTGTTGTTGGTATAATGCATAATTCGAAAAATTGATATTTGAGTCTCCATCACTGAAGTTTATTCCTTGTTGGCGGAATTGGGTATTAGGGTTGTTGTTATTTGTACTGGTATTAGACGGCTGTGGATTCATTAAATCATATGTACCATTAGAATTGGTGGCATTAGTAGAAAACTCATCCGTAGGGTTATCTTCAGGATCTGACGTATCATTGTTGGAACTTGTTGAGTTCTTATTAAAGTTCAAGTCGTAAACATCTTCATTAATCGAGCCTCTTTCTTCAGAGTGGCCGTTTTCTCCACGACCAACCGTGCTGTTAGATCCGGTATTATTCGCTTCGCTCACTAGACTTATGTTCCCGCTCATCTTCTTCTTGTTCAAACCATGTCTCTTTTTGAACTGACTCAACCATCCATGACTGAATCCCACTAACCGCTTTGGGTCCTCCACCCCGAACTGGTGGGCATATATTGACCAGTACTCTCGTAAAATCGGCTCGTTAATCGGTTCGTGTCTTTCTAGCTTCTGCTGTACGAGCAAGTCCATGGCATGGTTAATCTTTTCATATTTGAATTTGACCTTTCTTCTGCTATTCTTTGAAAACGGCGTTCCTGCTTGGTTTAGCCTATCTCTTAATTCATCCTCATTCTTAAGCCACTCACTGAACGACGACGTCGAAATTGAAATTTCATTTTTATATCTATCAACCGTTTCCAGTTGAGGTCTGTTCGAGCGATGGTAAAAATCCAAAATCTGGATTTTTTGCTCTAATGTAGCTCTTGGAAGCTTAGCTGGAGGCATCCTAGATGATTGATACTTATGCTAAACTATTTCCACCGCCTGGCTACAAATTATTTTCTTTAGTTTTGATATGATATCTTGTACTCTATTTGGGGAGGTTTTTATGGTCTCTTTCCCATAAACAATAATTTTTAAATTCCTGATTCCGCAAGTGTCGAAAATTTCATAGAATAATATGAGACACGACCAAACTACTCCTACCATCGAACATATTAGTATATAAATGTACATTATATAGATATATATAGTAATATTGTGAAGCTAGAACTGTTCTGAATTATGCTGTATCATAAATTAACATAAATCGTTTAATGAGAACCAGCACCCTTGCTAACTCTGTCTAAAACAGATTCGTAAGCAACTTCAGAAAAGTCAGTACCTTGGACATCGGAAGAAATACCGTTCAATGCTCTTCTTAAAGCGTCCTTGGAAGAGGCGTAAATCATCTTGGATTTAATTGGGGCGGTATCAGGGGACCATGTGAAGAACACAATTTTGGATCTCTTACCTTCACCACCACCGATTTCGTATTCAAAATCGTAAATCGCATATTTACATTCGTTTTCTGGTAACTTCTCTAAGAATGCATCGTAATCCGAGCTAGTTGAGGTTTCTTCAACAACAATTTCGGTTTTCTGGTCGTTTAAAGCGAAAATAATAAACTTGTACTTCTTACCCAACTTCAAATCATTGAAGGCAGTTAATGATTCATCTGCAACGGCAACACTAGAATTTATGGTTAGTAGAGTTCATTTTTAATCCTTTGTACTGAAGCCTTTTAAAACATACCCTGATCTAGACTATAAATGCGTTAGTATCATCTGCGTAGAGTAAGAGTAAGGCGAATCGTAATCAATGTAGAATTAATCATTTAATCAATCAATCAATGACGTTAAATTCTCCTCAAATGCAATTCATTGTGTGCTATACATACCATTTTATATTATATGGTCTTCGTATAATTGTAAAGAAATAGCCCACTTGTCCTTTGAAAACAGTGTCCATTTGAGTCGGTCGATTCAGGTGATTCTGAACCCCTGAAGGTTGAATATGTTACCCGCATTTTCAATAGTTAACAATAAATAGCAAATATACACCTAAAACAAGCTAATATACGGCATAAGCTCTTATAGACCTAGACGATCCTTATAGTATACTTCATAGAGATAGACTACAGTCTAAAGTAATTTTATATCATATAATTGACTAAATCTCGACTAAATAAATAGTTCTCACTCAAGCTTCTTTAGCAAGTCATTGGCATTAGTTGTAGAGGTAAACCCACCACCGTCTTCGCTCTCCAAATACTTGATAACACCATTATCAATGATCGCTGCATATCTGCTTGTCCTGACACCAAAACCATCGTCGGTCATATCTGCAATAAACTCTTTGCCCAAATTTTTCGACAAAGCAGCATTTGGATCAGTTGCGAAAATTACGTAGTTTTCTTCGTCCTTGTATCCCAATGCCTTGCCCCATGCACTGTTGACAAATGGATCATTATCGGTAAGAACAATGATTTTATCAACTCCCTTGGACTTGAAATTCTTGATGTTATTCAAATACGTTGGCAAATGATCTTCGGTACATGGTGGAGTGAATGCTCCTATTGCCGAAGTTATGACAATTCTTTTTCCGGGAAGCTCCTTTTCTAAGTTGAAGCTTGTTGGATTGGAACAAGCAATAATTTCACCCTTCTCTTTGGAGTATGGAATATATTGTAATGAGACACTGACTGGAAATTTATCGTTAACTACATTGTTAGTATTGTGGAACAGAATTCTTTTTCTTGATAAAATAACATACCCTTATAAGTCATTTTGGATTATAATTAATAGATAATTGTTATAAATATGATTTTATAGATGCCTTAACTTAGTGATAATTAATCTTGATTTAAATAGTCTTTTTGTTGCACCTTTTTTTCTAGCAATGTGAGATCCAACATCTTTTGGTGCAATTTACATATAGATGCATAAATTTCTTAAAATGATTAAATTGCTGTAATAAAAGGTAATTAATAATATGCATTGCTATTTACTCTATGTACTCATTATAAGCCTTTCCCAATTCTTACATTAACTTGCTTTTTTTCCTTAGCGATAAAAGTTTAAAGATTCGAAATTGACAAGCCTCTATTGCTGCATTCTTTCGATGATTTTTAGAGGATTTCCAACTGATGCTTACACATTAGAAAAAAATGCTGAAATAATTACTAATAATATTAAGTAGCTTCTCAACTTAGGTTAGCTAGGTTTGAGCTCTTTTATTTGCTTCAATTATATATAAGAGATGTGGATGATTTGTATAAATTGAAATATGAGCCTATATAGTGTGCTCTGGCCTGAAAAGGCCATTAGACGATACGATGGCCGAGTGGTTAAGGCGAAGGATGCAGGTTCCTTTGGGCTCTGCCCGCGCAGGTTCGAACCCTGCTCGTGTCGCCATTTTTTTTTTCAAGAAATCTCTCTCGCATGCTGACGACCGGTCCCAAAAACTATTGCAAATGAATTCTTCATATACAAACACGACAAATATATCATGAAATGTCATCATGATAACTGATCTCCGTGTTTCCTTGGAACCAAAATTAAGTTGATAGAATGTAAATAGGACCTGACTAACGAGACAATGACACCACTCTCATTTTGCATTTGCTCTTAAAGCCAAAGAATCTATGTAAATAAGGAAAGAAAGAGAAATCCAATTGAATCAACAAAGTGTGTATTATCTCGGTATCAACGCAGTTTATTAGTACCATTTCTTGAGTGCCGTATGTCAATCCATTAGTAGATTGCAACAAGAAGACTTACATGCAGGCTAACCAGAATTCGAAGAAGCGTTACCAAATTTTCTCACATATATGGCTAGTTTATACATTTGATGGCAATATTATTTTATTCATAGGGTTATTTATTTAACGTAACTTAAACTCTGCCAAAGGAACTGGCTTGATACGTCGTTAGAATATTTGAAATAAAAATGACTCTGGACTTATATGAAATCTTAGAAGTTGATGTAAGTGCAACGAACGCAGAAATTAAGAAAGCGTATAGGAAGTTAGCATTAAAGTACCATCCAGATAAGGCTACTGAGGACGACAGGGAGCAATCGGAAATAAGATTTAAAGAAATATCTCATGCTTATGAAGTATTGATAGACGAAACTAGACGTCAAGAATACGATACGTATGGAACTACTGATGGTAGGAGAACTGGAGGTGAAGGATTTGATTATAATGGTAACCCATTCGAAGACTTTTACGGTGGAGCACAACAGGATTTTTCTGCAAATGATTTCTACAATTTCTTCAATAATATGGGAGGAGCAGGTGGTCCACCCGGCGGTCCAGGAAGAAGTAGATCGAAACCTCGCACAAAAGATGCAGAATTAGAAGTTGATGTAACACTTGAAGATTTATTTAAGGGAAAGGTAATTAGAACCACTTCAACGAGAGATATAGTTTGTACCCATTGTAAAGGAAGTGGGGCTAAAAAGAATGCAGCTATGAAGAAGTGTGGAGTTTGTGAAGGAGAGGGCTCAGTTCGTAAGATCCGTAGGGTTGGTCCTGGATTAGTCACTCAAGATTATATTGAATGTGAAACTTGTCACGGAGTGGGTAAAATTTATCGCTCTAAGGATAAATGTAAAAAATGTCTCGGTAAAAGAGTTATAGACGAAACCAAGATATTGGAATTTGAAATATTGAAAGGTTCTAAGAGTGGTGAATCAATAGTCTTGACGAAAGAATCAGACGAATACCCTGGAAAGGAAACCGGTGATGTTGTGATGACATTTCACTGTAAAGAGCATGCTGTTTTCACTAGGAAGGGTGATGATTTATTTGCGAAGTATAAAATTCCATTAGTTGACTCATTATGTGGATTTTCCAAGGTCCTAGTTAAACATTTGGATGGCAGGGGTATACTAGTTTCTACACCTAAAGGTAAGGTTATAAGACCAGGGGACTATATAAAAATTAAAAATGAAGGTATGCCTGTGAAACATGATCCAAAGAAGAACAGCTGGTTCAGCTCCTCTGCTGGTAAAAGAGGTGATTTATATATCGAAATCGATATCGAATTCCCTCCGGATAATTGGTATTTAGAGAAGAATGATATACTAAAGGCTAAAAATTTATTGCCTAACGAGTTACAAAACAAAAGGGATACAGAGAAGCAAACGATCGATGAAAGCTCATTACCTGAGGCAAATATTGAATTGATAACTGATTTTACAATTTCTCGTGAAAATGCATTACCTGATTATGCTGAAGATAGACCTGAAGAGGATACTCATGAAGAATACTATGATGATTTTGGTGGTGCCCAACCAGAATGCTCTCAACAATAGATAGATATGTATATAAATTCGGAGCAAATCTCTGTAAATAAGATTCATGTGTATTAATAATATAATGCAAATTAAAGAATATCTGTAGAAACTAGACCATAGAATTGAAGGGATTGTAATTATATATAAGACGCTATTTAAAAATCCAACAAATCATTTAATTCATCCACGTTTAATCCAATATTTTTAGTATCCGTTATTTCTTCATCTTTATCATCAGCCTCAATGTCCTGATGATTGTATTCGAACGAAAAATTCGTTGGGTCATCAAGGTCTATTTCTTGGAAATTCAAATCCATCTCGTTCTGATATATCTCAGGATATTCATATTCATTCTCTTCCGTTAATGTAATTCCATTTGGCCTAGAGAAAATTTCTAGATCGGTTTCTGTCAATGGATCCATGTCATCAGGCCTATAGCTTAAGGATGGTCCTTTAGCTGGAGCGTACTCTATGCTGTCTTCGTCTTCAATCAAATCGTGATGTATCTGGAATGATTTTTTGGCTTCAGCCTGTTGATTCTGTTCATTAATTTTGCTGGTTTTCTTGAGGTCCCGTTTAATTGGATCTACATTATTTCGATTTAAATCTCGATGTGATATATTTGATGCATCAAGCAGTTTAGTTTTTGGTGTAAATGTGGACGGAAGCGAAGGTGATCCTAAAGGGGTAGTTGGAGTATCCGTTATATGCTTTGTCAAGGAGTCTGTATCTTGAGGTTGGACTAACTCTTTTGACCTTTGCGCATTATCCGGGTTGAAAATGCTATCATTAATATCTGCTAGCTTTTTATTCTGTGGCGGTTTATACGAGCTCTCTCCAGTGGATGGATTACTACGATGAACGAATCCCAAAGACGAATTGGCTTTTGATAGCGATGGCGCTTTTGGGAGCAATATTTTCTTCCTTTGGTGTTTGTTATCTCCAGAATTTAAACTCGATTGCGATCTCAGCAATGATGGGATAGCTTTATTTTGATCTTTACCCCCCAATGGAACCCTTTGCATAGGAACTCTCTGTCCCGTTGTCTGGTTCATTTGCTTAGCATTTGAACGAATATTGAAAGCATTTTCTGAATTGCTAGGTATATTCTTTGATTTTGTGGTCAAGGCATTTGGCTTCGAATTATTGATTTGTGTTTGTTTCAAGGCATTTTCTTTATCAGAAAACCTTATGTTATGATACAGCATCGTGATTATATACCGCTTAGCAATTATGCGTTAAATTTTGTATAAAAAGGTTTGAAAGGAATATCTATCTTCATTTGTTTATATTTTCTCTATTATCATTTAATGGTAAACAAACACCTTTTTGTGTAACATTATAAAAATTTCATATGGACTCCATAGTAAGACTAATAATTTTTATTATGTCTAACTATACTACGGAAACTGATCAGAGAAACGAACGTAGACGATGATGAAGCAATGTAGACTCATCGAGATATTAAAACTATATGAGTGTAAGATCCATTTAAGCTTGATATAGATATGTCGTCATTGATGATAATTGAGACTCAAATTGATTGAACTGGTTCAAGAAACCAACTATTAGATTCATATTAAGTAAATATAGCCACCGACTTTAGTTTTGAGCTTCAACTTCTGTTTCCTCCAATGTAAAAAGGTTATCTCAATTGTCTTAGAGAGTAGAGGCAAAAAAATGATATTGCCTCAGATCCTTCATATAAGTATCAAAATATGATTTTGAAGCCTATAAAATCTATTAAGCGTTTAGAAGACATCATAGATAAGACATTAAAGCACAAACAAGTTCAATATGGCGTTCCAATCGACGTTCATATCAGTAGCAAATAATACTATTGATCAAAACTCAAGTTGGATATACTTAGTGGATTGGATTTTGGCGCTTATCTTAGGACTTGCATTTGTCTTTTATTTTGGAAGATTGGTTGGATTTGTGAGTTCGCTAGCACTCAAATGGATAATATGGAAGAAATATAAGGTAAGGATTAATGTCGAATCCTTGAGAATCTCGCTTTTAGGAGGGCGTATACTTGCGAAGAATTTAACTATTATAACGGTCGACCAAACAATCTCCGTACTACAACTTAATTTGACTTGGAGATACTGGATCTCCAAATTAACTAGGCTTTCTGAATACTATTTTAATGAAAATAATATTGGGCTGATACAGACCACACGAGAAGAAAATGAAAAGCTTCCGTCTAGGTTTACATTATTAGTGGAAGGCTTGGAAATTTTTATGTATAATAGGACGCCTGCTTACGACAACATGATGGACATACTAAGAAAACAAGAGAAAGCGAGCAAAAAGGACGAGAAAAAACACCCACAAAGTAATACCAAAGACTCAGACGAAGAATATCTGCGCCAAAATATACGGTCAAGCAATTCCAACAGTTCATCGTCTAAAGAAAACATGTCTAATGGAGACAGTAAGATATCATCTGCATCAGTGCCTGTAAATCTGGGAGAAAAGAGCTACCGGAGCACAGCATCGAATAAGGGATCCTCATTGTATTTCCTTTTGAAATTCTTACCTTTGCATATTCGAATTAAGAAGGGTACTGTTGTATTAGGTAATGTTACTACGCCGTCTATATTAATGGCATCCTATAAAATGGGAAATACCATTGTTGATGTTTCTCAAGCACCATGCATTCTTGACAATTATAGATTTTTCTACAATTTTAATTTTGAACGATTTCAGATTTCTATGAAGCCTAATATTGCATACGACAGATTCAAGTACTCCAGCCCTAATGCGTATCCAAATTACTCTCCAGTGAATAATAGGCATAAAAAATCAAACTCAAATAATCGAAAGAAATATGAGCAGTGGTATCATTTTAATCAGGCAGTCAACTCGATAAGTCATTTAATAAAGAGACCATTTAGAAGAGATAGAAAGAAAGATGAGGATGATGCAGACTTCGAACAGTGGAAAGGTCTAAGACGATATCTCGGTGATCTGGCTGAGGGACAAGACTTTTTAGGTAACATTAATACAGATGAAGAATACGCCAAATACAGCTTGATATTAGATTCATCTTATACAAGAATATCATACTATTACGATTGTCCAGGTATAACCCCATTGAAGTCTAATTCAACGACAGAGATAAAAGATCCAGAATTTGGTATAGATATGGAGTTATCAATGGCGACAATACATTATGGTCCTTGGGCTGATAGACAAAGAGTTCCATTACAATCTATGTTTTTTCCGACATTATCTCGCGATTCAAAGCCAACTGAAGAGCATAAATTTCCAGGTAAATTAAGAGGTTATAATGGATTCACTTTTTTATTAACAATTAAAGATCAGGTTATCTTTAGAGTTCCAACCAGGGAACCCAGTAAGCACACCGAAACATTGCGTAACCAAAATACAAATAATGCACATAATCCAACAGGTAAAGTTACCAGACCGTTTGGTTGGCTTGAACTAAACATGAAAGAGGGTTCCAAAATTTATTTTTTCAATTCGTACGTAGCTAGCAACGACAAGGGATGGAACAATGAATTGAAGGCATATTTCAACTCATTCGAGGTGAGATCTTCAGTAAACCATGATATTTTGTTCATGGCTGACACACATAGCCTAGATTGCAAAGTTGGGTTTCCGTTGAAATGGAATGGGAAATGTGACTGGGCGTTCGATAATATTAGTGATAATGGCAAATTGTTTTTTCTTAGAGAGCATACTATGTTAATATCAGACATTTTCACTGATTTTGCATCTGGCCCACCACTTCCTTATGAATCATTTAGGCCATTTCATTATCACGTAAATTGGAAGCTTAATACTTACAAATTGTACTTGAATGTTAATGATAATAATATCATTAATAATCCGTTAGATTTTAGTAGCAACAAATATCTTTCTTTTCAAGGTGATGATTTGAATTGTGAAGTTTCAATTCCACTTTATGGACAATTTTCAAAGTCGACAACGATACATTATAAGATAAGTACTTCATTTACAAAATTTATACTCGATACTCCTCAATGGCATACAGCAAATGCTTTCATGAAATCAAACATAATAGGGAAAAGCAATGATTTTACAATTAATGGATCTTATACTTATTTTAACGAAGTTGAAATTAACACATCGAACCATGTTGTTATTAAAGTTCTTGGTGATTTTGTGACTTTGAAATTCTATGGATTTGTTGTAAGGTATTTATTTGTTATAAGGGAAAACTATCTAGGAGAAAATATGCATTTCAAAACGTTTGAAGAATATACAGATGAAATGGCAGCTTCAACGCAGGCCATATCACAGGACGAAGAAGTATCATCACAAGATTTATCAGATGAATCCGATACCGTTGCATCTCAGAAGGCACAACTTAACTATTGGAAAATGATAAAGTCAGTCAATGATGTAGATATATTATTCATGTTCCAGGTTAGGCATGGTTTGTTATTATTACCGTATAATTTGCATGATTGTTCCTCTCATGTCGGTTTAAGATTTGATTCGTTTGACATTGATATTCGATTCACCAACTATTATTCTGATTTACAGGCAGACTTTTCGCCGATATCTATAACGTATGTTGATGGACTAGGTAATGACGATACTATCTTTAATATTCCAAAGTATACGGAATTATTTTTGGGTAGCAATCAAGATGCATCAATTGACGGCCTTACTATTCATACACATAGAATGTTTGGATTGCCTCCAAAAGAGGTCACTTATTATTCTAAATGGGACTTTGCAACTGAAGTGATCAATATAAATAGCGATGGCTTTTTCATTCTGGCAATTATGACCTCACTTCGTAGTTTTGTGTTTGGCTTCAAAGATTTGGAAAATGGATTAAACCCAGAATTTCCTTTTATTCCAAATGCTGGTAATTTTTCGTTTAGATGTCCCCATGTTCTGATTAAATTAAAACCAGAAAAAGATTCTGAAGAATGTTCACTCTTTACAATAGACTTGGATTCTATTTTATTGTCATTTAACGACTTAGCCAACGATAGATACTCAGAAAGGCTTTCTGCATCTATACCACTGATAATATTTAAAATTGTTGCCAAATCTGCGGGTGAATCAAAATTGTTAGGATTTCTTGAAACATCACTTGTCGTAGATAATATTATGCAAAAGGAAAATTCTTCTGACTTTAAGAAGTTACAACAAGGACATATCGCAAGCAATGACGCACCATATCACCGTTGTCCATTTGTGATAGATGAACATGAAAGGGATGATACCTATACGGATGCTTATGGATGTATTATGACCTCATTGACTTTAGTTGATGCGTCTTATCCCTTAAATAAAGCATCCCTTGATGAGATGGAGGATGATGATTATTCTATTTATGCACAAACCTTTGATGATAGAAAGGGTAGTAATGGTAGTGGAAGTTTCTCACTGACATTAGATGATGATAATAGCACCACTTTCAGCAAAATGGCTCCATTATCTTCTTATAATACTCAAGAATATTCACCAGGCTATGATGCTGATCCCAGATTTAAAATAGATAACTTGATATTCGATGTGGGTGAAATAATGGCGTTTTTCACGCCACAATCCTTATTTTATATTTTTAGACTTGCAAGGTCTTTCAAGGATTATAACTTGACAAAATTGATTGACGACTTACACGTAGATGTGGTGCTGAGGTTGAAGCTTTTAATTACATCCCCATCATTTGTTGATAATATTAGGTTTGTAACTCAAGAAATTAACTTGAAGTTTGGAGACTTTGATGTATCCCATCCTCTGGAAGTATTTGGCACTTCTCCGAAGGTGCCTATTATAAACTTGAATATTACAGAACCGTCGCTAGCGTTTTCACATTCGATTAGTAGGGATTCTAATGGCCGGACTATGACAAAAGATTCCGAGTTTATTACAGCTCTTCATTTGAAGGAGGCCCTTTTTTCTGTCTCAAGACCTTCAGAATTTACTTCACCGTTAAGCTTGGGTATTAAAAATATAGAATTTTGGCAGACGATTGATAGTGGTGACAATTTGGTATGCTCATTTGATGTTGAAAACACTGATTTATTAGTCGATGAACCACAATTTGAATGGCTTTTTGATTATTTTATTTCAATAGTTGACAGCATCACACCTACGTTACTAGAATTTAAAAAGTTATCGGATGCTAACAATAAAAGTGTTTCTGAATTGGTGTACAAAATTTCAACAGCTGGAAGAGATTTTCATATTGATCATGACCCAGGGGTTTTGACTAAACCAGCGTCTGTATTGAGATCCCAAAAAGATCATATTAGATTTTTTGATAGTTGGAAGGTGATGACACGTTTACGCCATGTTTTTGACCACTTACCAGAACAATGGTTTAACAGTCAAAATCAATTATTCAAGAACTTTGATTGGGAGGCCCCTGACAATGCTTACGATGAAGTTTTGGATATTTTCTCTCGATGGAGGAGTTGGGAAGTTGATGATATCCAAAGAAGTTATTTTTTTAACTTCATATTTTCTAAAAGACAAGCAGATAAAATAGAGAATCATCATAACACTGAGTTTAAGATACACTTGAACGATATTAATATTACATTGATGAGCCCTGAAGGTGATGCGGACTTCATAGATTTCCATGATTTGACAACTACATATTCACATTCGTTAGAAAAGCTCAAAGATTTAACGAATATGAATTTGGGTATTATTGAGTCGATGTTACGTTGCAGTATTTTATTTAATCTAGAATCCTACAAAAGTAAGATTTCACCGTTGACGTTGGCGTTGTACTCACCTTTGCTAGAGAGGATTTCTCTGATGTCACATAAACGGTCATGTGAGAGTGATGTTTCAAAGAGTGAATCTGTTCTCGGATCTAATAACATTAACTTTGAGTTCGTTTCGAATGTAACTGAATTTCTGCAAAGCGTATCATTTCCCTACACTTCTACTGAAATTGGCTTAAGCCTGGTTTCAAGCTCTGGTCAAGTTCTAGCCCTTGAAGAAATATCAGATTTAACACCCGTTAGCTTTTCGACCATTGCGGACTCTTTTAACTTTGTTCTATCGGTAAAGGAGAATAAACTTGTCTCAATAGAGTTTGAAAATTTTGGTTTAGAAGCAGCAAACTTTGGCACGTTAAAAAATGGGATTAAAATTATTGATACATCTATTGGTAAATGTAATTTCAACGTTCTAGATCAAAATGATACCTTCTGTGAGTCTTTGAAATGCATACTTGAGAATGATACAGAGTTTTTCAGAGAAGCTTTTTTGATGCATGATGATTTAAAAGAATCCAATAATTCTTCCGATAATGCTCCCAATGAAGATAGATGTTTATTCGAAATGATAGGAAGCGTTTCACTAGAATTTCATGTCAATGAATTTCATTGGCTTATTGATGTATTGAATCCGTTGAAATTACGGGGGATTGTATACGACAATCACTTCTCATGGCACTTTGCGGAAAAAGTGTCGATTTTAGAATCTTTCATACAGAAAATAACGCTTGATTCCAGTCTTAACAAGACATCTATTATGGAATCTGAAAATTCCCAAATACTGAATTCTATTAAATTCAGTAAGATAGATAAAAAGTATGCAATATTTACTTCAACAAGCTTGGGGTATACCAAGTTTTTTGTACCTAAAATTACGAAATCTATAGAAGCTGTGGTGGAAAACGTCGGCCTCGTGGAAAGCAAAATCAAGCGTCTAAGTGTAATATTTAATAAAGAAGAGAGTGAAATGTCTGAAAAAAAGAGTAAAAATCTTGAGATAGGTTTTGAAAAGTTTGTCTTCAGATCAAAATTTACTAACGATTATATTGGAGTATCCACTTTTGTAGATACATCCAAGATATCTCTTGAATTGGAAAATTTCTCGCTAGGAATTTATAACTTTGAAAATATTATTCAAAATGGAAATAATATAGGCTCAGTTGTTCCTTTATACGGTAATTTGTTCATACCCACTACAAGAGTTTCTATTGTTGACAGATTAGTTCCCGTTGGATTATCCAACATGTTGGATGTAAATCTTTCCGTTAAGGTTTACAATGACAACGAAATTTCTAAAGAAATGCTGTCTCTACAAGTCGAATCTCAGTATTGCAGAATTTGTTTAAGTCCTCAGGTAATCGTTAGATTAGTAAGTATTGCTGATAAACTAACTGCAGCTGCTTTGAAAATCTCCACAATAAGCAGGAATGAAACAGGCAAGAAAGATTTAAGTACCCCCAGAAAGGCTAATTCAGACAATTCTTTATTTCTGTTTTCAGCTATACATGTTTTGAGTTATAATTTTTGCATTGGCTGGCTTTTTGGAGAATCACACAAAGATTACCCTGGGATTATTTTGGGAGCGGAACGATTTTTTGCGGTTGTGGAAGAGAATCTAGGTAAATTCACATTGATAGATGCCTATCTTTCGGTTGCAAATGGGTTTCGCTCTTCCAACTTTTATAGCACTGCATCAGAAAAAGAAAATTTGAATCGTGCTTCCTTACCTAACATGCAAGTAATATATACCATCGATGGTGTTGAAGATTCAAGGAATATGCGCATAATAATGAATGGAGACGAATTAGATGTCAAATTTCTTTCAGATTCAATAGTAATATTGGAACATACGGTAACATCTGTATCTAAGGTACAAAAATTTCTCAGCCAGAGGGTAAAACCTATAGTCCCCGAGACTGAATCAAAGAGCACAACTGATTCAAATCGCGATTATATGCAAACATTTAAATCTGCATTTGCATCCATAGAATTTATTGCTACATTTGCCGGATCGAATGTTTTGCTTTATCGCTTAAGAGACAATGAGGATCTGAGTCCACCATCATTGTTTCTTCATTCCCCTGCTGTCAAAATAGCTACGATGTATAGACATCAAAAGAATGCAAATAAGAAACATGTCATCAAAAGTGAAATTCTCACCTCATCTTCGGATAATACTTTATATTCTTCATGCATGCCTGTTATAATGGATATTGCCCAAGGTATTAAGAAAATGATGCGTAAGACAAATTTGGATAATTCAAATGTGGCGAAGAAAGCTACCCATGAGTCAACTAAAGATTTCGATCTTGGCGATCTGTTGAATGATATTGATATTCATGTAGGTGTTAGAATCGAAAGACAAAAACTAGCATTAAGTTGTGAACCAACTGCAAAGGTTGCGACGATAGTTGGAATAGATGGCATATACATGCAAATAAACACAGGCCCTAATGAAGTACCTTCAATAACTGCGGCAGTTCAATTTGATTCTATTTCAGCATCCCTTCAACATATATATTCTAGAGAGGTTAGTGGCTCCATTGGATTGGCGCGAATTTTGTTAACAAGTTCCGTGAAAATGGAGAAGGTTTTAAACATATTATGCTCCGGTTCATTCACAGACGTCGAAGCATATATTAACGTCAAACAGTTCCAAGACTTAAATTTATTTAAGGATATTTGGTTCCCGAAACCCAAATCAGAATCTTACTCAGATATTGGTTCTAATAGAGAAGGTATGCTCCAGAAAACATCTGAGTTAGCCGCAAATAAGAATATATCTTCTCGCTTCAAAGAAGTTTCGACAACTTATGCGCTTCCTTGGTTTTTAACCTTTATGATATTCAATGTTTCCTTAAGAATGGATTTTGGTCAATCATTAGGTAATTTTATGCTAAAATCTGATAGAATATGGGTTGTTTCTAAGAAATCGACAGACTGGGCACAGGATTTAAAGTTAGGTGTGAATTCTATTATTTTGTCAGCAGAAGGAAGATTAAGTGGTGGTTTAAATATTAATAGTATATTTTTGCACACTGCAATTACTTGGAAAAATAATTACGAAACAACATTGGACGTTCCTTTAATATTGGTTTCTGGAGGTATTGAAAGCTTACAACTTAAATTATCATTCGATTATCATGTTTTTGCGATTGCAAACATACAAGGGTACTCTATTGATATTTTCAATAAAAAGAACGAACTAAATATATCCAAGGACCACTTATTTGTTACTACTAAATTCGACAACGCAGAATTATATATAACCTCGTTGGCAGCTTCAAATGTGTTGGATATATATAATACAATAATTCGAATGATACAAGAGAACAGAACGTCATATAAAGAAACCTTACGGGATTCTTCAAGAGGAAAGAATATCGGAAATTCTGGTATACAGAGAACTGCAAGTAATGAAATCTTGGAGACAGTAAAGAAATTGGAAACCAAGATAGAGGTAATAGCAGGTAATTTACTTATTCATGTTTACCCATCTTCTTTCGGTGATTCAAAAGTTCTCGTTATAACATTGGATAAATCTATCGCCAACTTTCAACAAAATGAATACAGCAAAGGTATATCTAATCAATTAGATATCCAGTTTAACGATTTAAATGTTTCTTTGTCTATGTCAAGTATAATACTGGAAGATTTCATCAGTCAGTGCAATGTCAATGAGTTTGTAGGGCACGCTCATAAGGCGGCAGGGGGTACAATATTTGTATTCCCATCATTCAAGATTTCCATGCGAACCTTTCAAAAATATCAATCTAATATTATTGAGTATTTATATCAATCATCATTCGGAAAATCAGTTGACATTAGATGGAATTTAGGCTCAATTATTTTTATTCGTGAAATGTATTCAATTCATAAGAATGCCTTTGCATCACGTACAGAGTATAAGAAGGGCAGTAGCCAAATAAATTCTAAAACTAATATTGGATTCAAAGAGGATATATTTACTCCAAAGGATAGTAAGCCACCATCTTCGTCGAAATCGTTTGGAGACGAAGATCCAACTGACGAAATCGACCAAGCGATTAATGATACTTTAAATAAAGTTTCAAGCGATTCAAAATTTAGCTACTCACCACTAGCACCGCCTATTATAGAAGCACCTCAACTAAAAGAATTAGGGAATGCAACACCACCATTGGAATGGTTTGGATTACATAGGAACAAATTTCCTAACGCTACACATCAATTGGGTATTGTTAGCTTACAGAAATTAATACATGAAGTGGAATTACAATATTCCAAGATTTTGGGCAAGGCATGATTGATTATTAAATACCACAGTGACTAAAAATGCCTTACCTTTTGCATACTTAAAATAGTTTACATATGTGACTTTTTTCTAAGATTTTATATTAAAATGCATATTTACAAGTTATAAATAAACTTATTTACATCGAATAGTCAATGATGTGAAAGTTATTGTGATATTAATGAGTCCAGCATCATTTAATGAGATAAGTACCATCTTCCTTTCGCTTTTCTTCTTGATAGAATCTTTCTTCCATTTTTAGTTCTCAATCTTGCCAAAAATCCAAATGTTCTCTTTCTTTTTAATGTCGATGGTTGATATGTATTACCTCTAGACTTGAATCTCCTTTGAACAAATCCAATCATAAGTTGAAATGCAGAATTTACTTGACTTTTATCCGAAATTAAGCTTATACTATTGATATCCACATTATTGACTGTATTACCATTCATGCTCCTTAAGGCTGATAATGGTGTATTAGGTTTCGTCAAACATGAAAAATGACGGGAAGATTGTTGAAGTACACTAGAAGTACTTCTTCTAATACCAGCAGATAACGACCACATTTGGTTTGTTGCAATGTATGTTAGTTAAGGTGTATTCTGAATTCGGTCAAGATAATTTTTCAGTTTTTGGTTGAAGCGGTCTAGTAATATATTTACGCGTGAAAAATAGATCAGTAGTAAAAAGGATCACTAACTAAAGATCATCACCAAAAAAAAATTATTTGCGGCTTCTTGAGATGTTATCTTTTCATATACTACAATAGCACAGGATTAATAAAGCATATAAGTATGTCAGCGTATCGTCCTAGAAGAAATATTCCATCAGCAGTTAATACTCCAACGGCTGTTCGAGTTGAAGCGTCGCTGGCAATAGATAAATCCGAAGCGGAAACTATATTGAGCGACTTCATTTCAGTCAGTGAAGCCATAGCTGGATCATTACCAAGCTCTTTAGACTCAAGCAAAATTACTTTTTCGAATACCGGATTGTCCAGCAGTACCGGAAGCAGTGCGATCTTGAGTCAATTAAAAAGAGTGCAAAGAGACTTGAGAGGCTTACCACCGTTACTATCAGAGGTTGTAGCATCAACACCAGGAACAATTGCACCAGCAGAAACCATAAACAAGAAAATCAAGTTCGACGATGAAGATGCTGATGCATCAGTTGAGCCTAAAAGCAAGAAGATCAAATTCGACGATTCAGAAGTCGATGCTTCTGCAGATGCAGAAATGGCAGAGCCTGTGACGACGGACGACAATGAGGAACAAAAGCACGACGATGAAGAAGAAGACGAAGAGGAAGAAGAGAAACTGCAAAAAGAGCCCAAAAAGTCTAAGAAAGAAAAGCACGACAAGAAAGAGAAGAAAGAGAAGAAACATAAGAAGGAAAAGAAAGAGAAAAAAGATAAGAAAAAGGAATCCAAAGACTAGGTATTCCTAGCGCTCTAATGCATCACAAGACATAATGTCTTTCATATTGCTAGAAATATAGACTATTATAGTAGTTTCCATCATGTACAATAGTAAACGAATATTAATTAAAGACCCCCCATTTTGTGTAATGTAGTGCATAGTAGCTGATGTTTTTGTTTACTCGATGATTTAGAGCGTGTCAGGTTGGTTAATGATTTAACTATTATTTATCACAACAGACCGTATATTTCAAGCACCTTTGACTATTAGACAGTCAGAGGATATCTTCAAGATGGGTTTGAAAAGAAAGAGACAACTTAAAAGAAGATTGGTCGATAGTGATGATGATGAAGATACGTTTATAAATAACAGTGATTTTGTTCCAGATCAACCTAGCAATGAAGATATCGATGAAGATAAGCTCTCTAGCGAGATTTCTAAAGAGAAGAGTATTGAAAATGAAAGCTCTATTCATAATGGAAGCGTTTCTAAGCACGAGGATGACCTTGTGCACGATCAATTTGTTGATGCCGATTCAAAAATAGCGATTGGCGCCATGAAAGATCAGGACGTCAAGTCAATAAATGGAGGTAATGGGACATTGGGCCAGGAAAACAACGTAATATTGAATCAGGTGAATCTTTTACCCCCACCGCCGACTGTTAAGGAAGTACAGGAAGAAGCGGCGAATGGCAGTGGATTGAGCTATTCGCAACAACAGGCGACAATTCAACTTCAGTCACCAAGTAAGAGGAAGGAAAATTCATCTCAAACATCAACTAAACCTAATGAGCCTAGGTTAGTAATAAATAAATTGGTATTGACAAATTTTAAGTCATATGCTGGCGTTCAAGTGATCGGTCCGTTTAACGCATCGTTTTCAGCTGTCGTTGGGCCGAACGGAAGTGGTAAGTCAAATGTGATTGATTCTATGTTATTTGTTTTTGGCTTCAGAGCACTGAAAATGAGACAAGGGAAGTTATCAGAATTGATTCATAATTCTGCTGGTGGAAATAAGTTGGATTATTGCCAAGTAGACATTCATTTCAATCACGTCTTAGATAGTCCTGAAGATAACGCTAAGTCTGAAGCGATAGAAAACTCAGAGTTGATTATAAGTCGTAAAGCTTTTAAGAATAACTCTTCCCAATACTTCCTTAATGGTAAAACAAGCAATTACTCTGAAGTTACAAGTTTTTTACGGGACAAAGGCATTGATTTAGATCATAAGAGATTTTTGATTTTGCAAGGTGAAGTTGAATCTATTGCTCAAATGAAAGCCAAGGCTGAACGTGAGAATGATGACGGATTGTTAGAATATTTGGAAGATATAATAGGTACTACGAAATACAAGCAGTTGATAGAAGAAAACTTGACTAAGGTGCATGAATTGAACGACGTTTGTTTGGAAAAAGAAAATAGACTAGATTTGGTTGAAAAGGATAAAGAACTGCTAGAAGATAAAAAGGTAGAAGCTTTAAGATTTTTGGAAATGGAAAAGAAACTTATCAGTAAGAAGTCTATTCAATATCAAGCAAGCATCATTGAGAATAAAAAGGTTTTAGATGAAAATCTGGATACTGTTAATGATTTAGTAGCGAAGCTAGAAGAAGAGAAAAATTCTAATAAGGAGCTAGGGCAAGGAATCAAGGAATCTACTAAACAACATGACGACATGGTTAAGTATATTTCCAAATTGAACGATCAAATAAATTCTATTACGAAAAAGCAAAAACAAATTAATAAGGCTAATGTTGCAATTGACGAAAAGATAAAGAATTTAAGTAACAAATCGAAGAAGATTTTGAAATCGAAGGAGACACTGGAAAAGACAGAGGCAACGTGCGAACAAAAGTTGGAGTCAAATAGTAAAGCATTAATTCAATCTAAGAATGAATTGGATGACTTGACAAATGAACTTGAGGTGGAAAAGAATAAATTAGATGAAATTAGACTGAAATTAACTGATAAAACATCTGACTTCACGAAACAAATAGAGTCTTTGCAGACTAGATTAGAGCCGTGGAATGACAAACTAAAAGAAAAAGAAAGTGCAATACAATTGATGAATTCGTCTATTGAAATGTTGCAAAGCCAGAAACAAAGTATTTCCAAACAATTAGATGACTCCAAAGAAAAGCTCATCCAAATTAAGACTGAAGGAAAGCAAAAAGAATCTGAACTCCATGAAGCTGAAACAAAGCTATCTCATATTATTAACCAAATTGGGATGGGCGAGGAACAATGCAAACATGAAAAGAAACAGTTAGAATTGAGGAAATCTCAAGTGGCTACTTATAGGCAAAGAACGCAAGATTCGATGAATTCGCTTTCCAATTATCAAAATAAAAACAAGGTTTTATCAAGCCTAATGAGACTAGTCAAGTCAGGACGAATAGAAGGATTCTACGGCAGATTGGGTGACTTAGGTGTTATTGATGATCGATATGATATCGCTATATCTACCGCATGTCCCGCGTTGGATTCGATGGTAGTTGAAACAGTCGAAACAGCTCAGACATGCATTGATTATTTACGTAAAAACAAGCTTGGATATGCAAATTTTATCTGCTTGAATAAATTGAGAAAATTTAACTTAGCACCAATCCAAACACCAGGGAATCCTGCAACTGTTAAAAGATTGTTCGATTTAGTAACTCCTCAGGACTCCAAGTTCTTACCAGCCTTCTATAGTAAGGTCTTTAACACATTAGTAGCGTCTGATTTACAAGAGGCTAAGAAAGTAGCATATGGCGCCAAGCGCTTTAAAGTCGTAACATTAGATGGTAAGGTGGTTGACACGTCCGGTACGATGTCTGGTGGTGGTGCTTATTTTGCCAAGGGTGCAATGAGATTATCGTCTTCTGCACCTAGTTCTGATGCGATGGATATAAGTCCTGATGATGTAGAGCAAATGAAGGAAGATTTGGCGACAATGGAGAATAAATTTGAACTTGATAGTAGGGAGTTCCAAGAAAAAATGCAAAATTTACGTAAATTGAAAGATATGAGACCAGACATTGAATTTAGTATTTCAAGGTTAAAGTTGGATATTGATGCCTTAACATCAGAGAAGAAGGAAGTCCTGAAAGTTTGTAAGACTCTTATTGCTGAAAGTGAAAATGACAATAACAGCAAGCAGTTTGATAAACAAATTGAAGAAAAGCAAAGAGAAATGCTGACGTTACTAGAAGGCAAACATGAATTGAAATCTAACATGATCGATTTAGAGTCTCAAATTAAAGCATTAGAAGAGAAGATAATGAATGCTGGTGGTGTGGAATTAAGATTACAGAATTCAAAGGTTGATTCCATCAAACAGAAAATTGAAATCATTAATGAAAGGACATCGAATGGAATGGCTATAAGGAAGTTAGAAAATGATATTAAGAGACACAGTAAGATCATTGAAGAATCAAAGAAAGAATTAGAAGAAACGGAGAAGGAATTGGCTGAAATTCAATCCCAACAGCAGGGTTCTGTTCTCGAAGCTCTTACGACCGAGATTAAAGAAATAGAGAGTGAGAAAGAAGAGAAAGAAGAGAGCTTGGAAAATATTAAACTTGAATTGGAAGAAAGAGCTCAGCAAATGAATGCCTTTAAGTCCACGGAAATAGAAATCGAGAACAAGATTGAGAAACATAATTCAATAATAAGAAAAGCACAACAACATATAAATAAAGATGAGGAGAGTTTACAAGGATTGATAATTCGTGACGTAACCCCATATATTGATTGGCTTGACGAAAGTGAACAAGCTAAGTATAATGGTGCAATAATAGAAGAAGTTAACGAAGATTCATTACTGACTCTTAACATGAATGAGGTCGAAGACGAAATCGAAGAACTAGAGAAATATATGAGTACTGTTAAAGTTGATATTGAGGTTTTGAAGGAGTATGGTTCGAAAAAATCGGAGTTTGAATCCCGTAGGAGCGATTTAAATACTGCAGTTGAAGAAAGAGATGAAATTAAAAGTTATTGTGAGGACTTAAAACGTAAACGATTGGATGAATTCATGGAAGGATTTAATACTATATCTATGACACTAAAAGAAATGTACCAAATGATAACTATGGGTGGCAATGCAGAATTGGAATTAGTGGATAGTTTGGACCCATTTTCAGAAGGTATCTTATTTAGTGTTATGCCCCCGAAAAAGTCATGGAAGAATATTTCGAATCTATCGGGTGGGGAAAAGACCTTGAGCTCATTAGCGTTGGTTTTCGCATTACATAGATACAAACCAACTCCATTATATGTCATGGATGAAATTGATGCTGCATTAGATTTTAGAAATGTTTCAATTGTTGCTAATTATATCAAAGAAAGGACCAAAAATGCACAATTCGTAGTTATTTCATTACGTAACAATATGTTCGAGTTGGCACAACAGTTAGTTGGAATTTATAAAGTTAACAATATGACTAGAAGCATTTCGTTGCAGAATAAAGATTTTTTGGGCAATGTAAAATAAGATAGCTTACTTAACTAATATATATTACTTAAGCGTATAAATAAATAGATATTTTAATACTTGTACAATAATCTATATGTGTGCTACCTTTTCTCTATTAATTCTCCACACCGGCTCAATTGCAGTTGCAAAGCTTTCGTCGGTTTTCCTCCTTAGAATAAAAACTTTGTCAAACCAATCAATTAGATCAACTAAACATGTAGTTTCATTCATTTCTTTTAAATATTTCCTAGGAATAACCTTATCTAACATTTCTGATAGATGATGCTGAGTAATCCTAAATGGTAACCCATAACTTGTTGCCAAGTCCCAAAATATTTCAACTGCCGACCATGGTGTATTTTCATAGCCACTAAATATACCTGGATTTGCTAAAATACCACGAACAGCCATAACTCCATCTACACCAGTGTACTCTGCTATTTCATATGCATCCTTTAATGAAAAACAATCACCATTAGCAACCACCGGGACCGCTACACTTTCCTTAATGACCTTAATTGCATCAAAATTTGCTGGTTGTGATGATCTGGTGTTTTTGGTTCTACCATGAACAGTTATAAAGTCCACTCCATTTTTTTCTATCAATTTCACAAACTTGATGGTCTCATTTATATCAGGGTGTATCCTAATTTTAGTTTCAATAACAACTGAATCTTTATATTTATCTTTTACCGCCTTAACCATCTGAGAAACTAATTCAGGTTCTGACATTAATGCTGCCCCAATACCTTCTCTTACCTGTTCCTTTATAGGACAACCACAGTTTAAACCTATGCCATCAACGTATGGGTGAATCATATCTACAAATTTTAGTAAATCTTTCACATTGTTGCAGCCAACTTGAACAATCACTGATCTGTCTCCCGCATTAGTGGTAAAGTCTGATAATCTTGCAATATCATTTCTAACAAATTCTCTCGCTAATATCATCGGAGTATACACTATATCTGTATTGAAATTCCGTACTAACTCTCTGAAAGGCAATTTGGAATATCTAACCATAGGGCCTGCAATGAATGCCGGCCTGTTATTATCACTGCGAGCAGACTTTAAGATTCTTAGAGGATTATGTTGTGGGTTTCTAGACGGTAATGTGCTTGTATTTGGTGAAATATCATTATCTTGTAGTGTTAAATTTGATGTTTGGTTTAGTATTTCAATCATAGTGATAACTGTATAATGCTGAAATTTAAATAAAAAAAGTTAGTTTAGTACTATGTTCTGCTTGAATAATAGATATATGCAAGTATAAGTATATATACAGCTGTAATGTAGCGATATGTGCCAATGAAAAGTAACGGTAAGAGATATTCACAGTACTATTTCATATGTAGAAAAAAAAAAAAATTTCATGCTGTGCGTATTAATGCTACAATGTACAAATATAATTATTTCGATGGGTTAATATTAATATACATAATTTTAAATAACGATTATAATACAGTGATAAATTGAAAATGTTGAGAGTATGCCAAAAAAGGTAAAATTGAACTTAAATGAAGAGAACTTATTCTTCTTCAGAACTTTCAGAACTTACATCATCGTCATCTGATGATTCTTGATCATTACCTATGTTCATGATTCCATTATTAGAAGAAGGTCTGTCAGCATCTTCAAACAATTGTAATTGACTTCTCAATTGTTCTAATTGATCCAAACCAGCACCAGACGATAATTTCTTCTTTTTCTTATTCATCAAGGATGAAGAAGCCTTTTTACCGAACAAAAAGTTGAACAATTTTAATACGGTTCTATCTTCTAATTGATCCATATCTAATTCCACTTCTTCTTCATTACTCAAATCGACATCATCTTTAATGATTTTAACTAGCGATTGCAATTTCTCATCAGTCAAGTTTGGAACCATTTCACTAACTTGCTTCTTCATTTCGTAAGTAACAGTAGGCTGGTTTGGATGCTCGACAGATGAATTCTTACGAGACTTCGACTTCTTTGATCTCTTACGCTTCCTCTTGGCGTCTCTTTGCTCTCTTAACTTGTCGAGATGTTGTTTTTTCAATTCATCCAATTCTTGCTTCATTCTGATTAATTGATTCTCCAAAAACTGAATGGCGGGAACACTTGAAAGCATAGATTCATTAATTTCAGGTTCATCATCGTCTTCATCAGACGAATCATCTAAATCAGAGTTAGCAGGGGTTGGTTGAGGGACAGGACGGTTAACCCATTTTTTATCAAAAATGGATTCCAATCTATGTCCCATCATATTGACATCAGTACCTTCAGGATTGAAAGCGTAACAATTCTTGAAGACTAGACGAACATCTCTTTCGAATTCGTCACCATTTTCGTACTGGTTATTTGCCAATTTAGTTTGAATCGTTCCTAAGTCCATTGGTTCTTTCACAACTTCCGCGTAATTTGGAATATTTAAAGCTACTGTATCAACAGGCGCTAAAAATGGGAAGTTGTAATTATAATGTTTCTTAGATACCAATTCTTTGACGGTTTGATTGCAGAATCTTAATTCAGCAGCGTATTTCTTCTTTCTTGGTCTGACATCGTAAGGTAATTCCTTAGATTTCGGTGGATGAATGGTTCTTTTTGGTCTGTGTGCTGCAACAGAATTCTTCTTATCGCCCGAATCCGCAACTACTGCTCTTCTTCTAGAGTTTGCTGGAACCGTGGCGCCATTGTTTGGCAACACCTTAGGAGGCATGTTCAACATATGCTTTTCGAAATGCGCCTGAATGTTCTTCGCCATCTTGGAAATACCACTTTGCTCACCATTGAACTTGCAACAGTTAGCCACCATTAAATTAAAGTCTTCAACAATGCGGCTTGGCTCTTCGTACGCATTAGCGTTAATCTTTCTTTCGATGGTGGACAAATCCATAGGCCTTGGAATGTAATTATAGTAGAAGGGTATGTTTAATTTGACTATGTCCACTGGATGCACGAATGGGCCAGCATCTCTCAAACGCTTGACCGCCTTAATAACGTTGTTAGCAAACTTTGCCTGATGCTTAGGCATGGGGTTCGCCGGCAAATTATTCATATCAGGTTCTGGCGCTGGTTTAGGAGCAGGATCTGTAAACACAGGAAGTCCCTTCTGTTGCTGTTGCTGTTGTTCTGGCTGTTCGGACTGCTCACCATGCTCAGCTTGCTCGCCCTCGTCAAATTTCTCACTTTGATCACCCTGTTCTTCTTGGTGTCCCGTCTCGTCCAACTTGGGCCTCTTCTCAGCAGGCTCCTGTTCCGACTCCTCGTCCATTCTGTGTTTTTCTGGACTAGGCGACGGATTGGGTGGCGATAACGGCTTCTCCGGTTCCACATTCTTCTTCTGCTGTTCGAGCTGGCTCGCGCCTTTATCTCCTTGGAAGAAATTGTCCGATGAAGGTGTCTGAACCGGTGTGTTAGTCTCCGGAACTAATTGCGGCTGTTCTGTACCTTCTGACATGGACATATACTATTCTTTTGTCTTGCCGATATTGAATGCTTCTAGATCAAATATACTTGCTGGCGGACTGATGCTAGTATTTATTAACGAAATTCACGTGAATGAGTTACCCGATCCTATAGCGTCCTGTAACTAACCAAAAGTATTTTACAGGTAGTAGTGTATATTAGTTATAAGGAACACAAAATACACAAAATGGTCTTTTAGGGTCAAAAAAACTTGTAATGTATATAAAAAGTTTCGCGGGGATGGATTTTTGAGGTCGTGTACCAATCAAAAACTAGGGCTTTTTGTTTTTTTTCTGTCCAATTAAAATTTTAATGGCCGCACTTGAAATTCGAACGGGATTCTATCTTTATTTATACTTACAAGAGATTTTCGGCGCAAAAGAAAAATTTTGCAATTAGTCAACCCGCACGACCTTGTTTTTTGTTACAATTGTTACTACAAGTTTGCCACCGTCGTCTGACTACATTATCAACCACGACGAGTAGCAGTATTGATAAGCACATGTAGATAGTAGATGGCGACTTGCTGACTGCATCAGAAGAGATCCTCGTAGACACTGGGTTTACTTAGACGCCATGAACAGGAAACTCCTATAAACAGTGGCGGTGGCTTCGGAAGAGATTAATAGTTTACGTGTTAACTACTGTAACGTTTGTAAGCTGTAGGTGATACTGCTGAGAATTTTGCAAGCAATGGACGAGCTGAACATGCGGGTAACCGGGCCTTATTGAGAGCTGGCTTGAACCGAAATTGCGTGACATGAATTACCCGTAAAGTCCCGATAGGTTGAGGGAGAGCAAGGAACTCTAAAAAAAGGAGACAAAGCAAGCGCAACGAATGAGAAGCATGAGATTGGCATGATATTACCCGGAGTACACCCCAAAACTACAGCGGCATGGCGTACATAGCTTACGCCCGGGATAAGGTTTGGGAGACGCGTAGGTGCCTACCAGTCGGCAGATTTACGATGGAAGATGTTGCTGGCTCTTGTCATAGAAGGGGTGCCAAAGTACATTATTGTCGCAGTAGAGTTTTTAGCAGCTCGGGAGTAGATCTTGTAGCTGATACTCTGTGGAAATGGTATGATGATAGGTGTGTGGCGTAGTACGTTGGGATAAGTTGGTTGTTTGGAAGAAAGAATTTTGAGGGGTTATCATTTGAATGTGGGAAGTGTTTGTGTTGACAATCGTTTGAGAGAGATTAATGTGTAGATTCGCGAGTGTAAGGTTTGAAACTGGCAATCATGACTCGAAATGGGTAATATTTTGCTGGATGCTGGCTAGTGGTATATGTGGATGACGCCTCAGGGGTGACCATGCAAAGGGTCCATTGAGTCGGTTCTTATCTGCTACAATAGTTCAGAATGCAAGTGACGTATCCATCACGCGCACTACGGGTTACCAGAATCATATATACAAGGTGTACTATTATCTATACACGACTATAAATCACAAATGGATAGAGAGCAAATCGTTAGCTGAAAATCCCTTATTGCACGTTGGACATCTTCTTAATCTGGCTGCTAAACGTTCTTGGGTGCATCCCAGACAGAAGACGTGTCCACACACCGTTATGGCGGTGTCCTTCCAGTTTTTGGAACAAACAGAGCATTTTGCAATTGAACGAAGTGCTTCTAGCTGTCTTTCATCCTCCTGCAATATTGACGAAGTATTATTGGTTTTGTATTTCTTCAACAAGCTTTCGGTCGACTTTAGTTTATGCTCAAGTTTTCCCATCATTAAATTCTTTTCATTTAGTTCCTGTGTGAAGCTTGTGTTTTCCTGGACCTTATCACTATATTTATCCTTCATGCTTGACAATTCTTTTTCTAAGCTAGCTTTTCTAACATCGATCGCCCTTAATGATTCCTGCAATTTGGAGTTTTCTTGAAGAGCTGATTGTCTAATTATCTTAAAGTCATTATTCGATTTGGTCAAGATCTCTATTTTATCCAAATAGCTCTTTTCTAAGTCATTTAGTTTGCTAACTAATTCCTGAGATTTATTTATCTGCGTTTTTAATATTTTATTTTCGGAACTTAACGAGTCTTTTAATCTCATAGATGCAAAATATTTCTGGTCGGCTTTTGTTTTTTCTATGGTCAACTTTTTAACCAAATTTTCTTGATCAGTAACACTCATCAACTTAGATAGTGAGTTTTCTCTCGTTTCTTGAAATGCTTGCTCTATTTCTTTGATTTCGCTATTTAACATGTTAACCCGTTGAATCAATTCATCCTTCGATAATTCGTTTATCTTAGTATTATCACCAGTCTCATGCCTTTCACCTTCCAAGGCATTAATTCTTTCATTCAAGACCTTATTCAACTTATTTAATTCATCATTAGTCGTTTGGTTTTCAAGATCTGCTTTCAAGATTGTTTGTTTAGATAATAACTCATCTCTGGCAGTTCGAATTCTAACTAAATCGTTTTCGCTTTTCTGTAATTGTTGTTTCAAGGTTTCATTTTCCTCCTTCAATTCCTTGTCAAGTAAGTGTTTCACATTGGTCTGCTTATTTTCTAACTCATTTAACTTATTTACAGTTGTATCATTAATTTTTTGCAAATTGTTTACGCTTTCGTTCAATTGTTTGTTATGTGCTGCCAATTCTTGATACATAGCGGAATTAATCAAGTCATTTTCATTCAAGTTCTCTAGTTTATCAGATAACTGTAAATTCTCCTTTACTACTTTATCATAGTTTGTATTGATCTGATTCATCAGTTCTTTTAATAACCTATTATCGCTTTTCAACTCTTCTATTTCTAAACTTATCCTTTCAAATTCTTCATTGTCTACTAAATTCTCATTTTTCACCGTTGTGTCGTTATTTGCCTCAGATTTTACTGTCTCGGTAGCTTCTTCTTTCACATCCGATCCGTTGGTTAGGCTTTCGTCAATCCTCTGAAGAGTCTTCGAATTTTTTCTATCATTATCTTTTACCAAGGTTAACAACTGCGTTTGTAGGTCTTCCACCTTGCTTTCGAATTGGGATTTCAATTTGCTTAATGTATTATTTTCTGATTTTAGTGTTGCCACCTCTGCATTTAAAACTTCTACCCTCTCTAACACGTCACTTTTATCAATGTTTGAGAGTTTAGAATTTTCAATTATAGGACTTAATATAGTCAATAACTGTGCTCGTCTCTTTTCCAATAATGCATCTAGATCCCCTATTGGCACATTAGTCAATTTAATCAATAATGTTTCGTTCAACTCAACATTCAGTTCAGTTTTTACACCAAATAGATTAATAATCAGTTCGTACCATGAATCCAATACATTAATTTTTCGTTCATTAGATTCATAATTCAGCTTAATATCATTCAAATCTCTCGTTAAGAGTGTACATTTCTGTTTATAACTTCTCATTTGTCTCCAAATAGCTTCCTTCTTGAAGTACACAACATCCTTCTGTGTTAAAGGTCCATCTTCGCTCAACACATCTAATGGCTTGTGTTTCTTAATTTCAGAATTATCACTATCTTCATGGAGTCTCTTTTTATCATTGTCGTGGTCCATATCGCAGACAACGTCAAATTAATCTCAAGAACTATATATGGAGCAATCTATCGGCCCTAAACCTTCCCTTAGTAGCACTAGAAATTACTTAGTTACAGATGCTTAAAGTTGGTAGGAACTGCAGTATTGATGGAATTGACAAATACATACAAGATATGCGACGACTATTTTTTTGTCCAGCCATTTTTGATAATCAACACACGACCTTTAATTCCATTACCATAGTATAGAGAGCCAGTTCATATTTGCTGTATAATACATGTACCCAAAGAAGCTGTCTGTGTCTCACGTATCCTTGAGCTTCAAATCAGAATACTCGAAGGGGTTTTGTAGTTGCTGAAAAATAGGAACACCACGCACATATATAAGACATTGAATGTCATTGAGTGGACATGTTAATATTAACTTAGCAGTAATGTTCAGGATTTATCAACCATAGTCTTCTTAACGTGTGATACTCTTGTAATGAAGGAATGTATTCACAATTTAATAAATATTGCTATTCGTAGAAAAAGATAATTTGTTAATTCTCAAAATGAGAGAACTGATTCAGAAACTACGAAATTTGCAAAATCCCTGATTCTTTAAATTTATTACAAAATAGCCTCTAAGATGAAGTTTCTTGTCTCAATCGTGTTCCTTGTAAGTATTTTTCTACAATTTGAAAAAGGGCTAGGCTACAAGGAGTATTTATTCAAGAATTGTGAAACTTCTGGGTTCTGTCATAGAAATAGACACTTTGCTGATAGTATTAAAGAAAATCCTAAATATGAGTCAAAATATGCAATAGATCCACAGTCTATACATTCTGAGTCTGAGGATTTCATAGTAAGTGGGAATATTTTAAAGGAGGTTGCAGGAATTGGCGAGGACATTGTATTACCATTCGAATTATCTTTGTTGGATAAGAACAATATAAGAATCAAGGTAGATGAAGAGCAAAGAAAGAATATTAAGTTGAGAAATAAGCTTGTTAATGTCAACAGATATAACGAAACCCCCAATTGGTCGTTTCGGTCGCTGAATTTATCGTATAAAAGTAAATCTGGCACTAAGTATAGCCAACATAAAAATAAGTTGGTGATTGACTACGGGACTAAATTGCAATACAGAGCAGAGGTTTTATATAAACCATTTAAGGTGGTTATTTATCGTGGAAAAGAAGTCCAATTCATACTTAATGACAGAAATTTCTTGAACTATGAACACTGGAGACCTGAATCATCAAACGCAGCACATTTGTCAAACGAAGAAACAGACTTCAACATGTTCCATGACGATTTCCATGATGCTAGGAACGATAGAATACCATTAGGTCCAGAATCTATTGGATTGGATTTCACTTTGAAAGGTTTCAAGCATGTTTATGGGATTCCAGAGCATGCAGATGATTTCAATTTGAAGGATACAACCGACTCAGATTTGCCTTATAGACTATTTAATGTTGATATATTCGAATACGAGACAAATTCGAAGATGCCAATGTATGGCTCAATTCCATTTTTAATGGGACTGAAGCCTGGGGTATCTATAGGATTATTTTGGATTAATAGTGCTGATACCTACGTGGACATAGACAAAAGTTCATCTGATAAGGATACAAAAACTCATTGGATTTCAGAAAACGGTATACTAGATGTAATGATTATGATTGCAGAAAGCCCATGGGAAATAAATGAAAGTTATGGTGCCATTACTGGTTACGTTCAGTTGCCACAGTTATTTGCATTAGGTTATCACCAATGTAGATGGAATTATAACGACGAAAAAGATGTACTCGAGATTAATTCATTATTCGATAAGCATCAGATACCGTATGATGTTATTTGGTTGGATGTTGAATATGCGGATGCAAAGAAGTATTTTACGTGGCAATCTGAAAAGTTTCCTGACCCAGAAAGAATGCTAGCAGAGTTAGATCACACTGGTAGAAATTTGGTTATTATTATAGACCCACATTTAAAGACGGACTATCACATAAGTGACCACGTTGAAAAGGAGGGAATTAGCATTAACGACCCAAGTAACAACACATTTCATGGTCAATGCTGGCCAGGTGAATCCGTTTGGATTGATACAATGAATCCGAATTCGCAACCATTTTGGGATAAACAACATGAATATTCTGCAGAGAATGAATTTATGGGGAAATTATCTACAAATATACACATTTGGAATGATATGAACGAACCATCAGTTTTCGATGGTATCGAAACCACATCACCAAGAGACAATATTCATTATGGTAACTGGGAACATAGGTCGGTTCATAATGTATTTGGCTTAACATTCCACGAAGCAACGTACAATTCTATGATTAAGAGGTTATCTACAACTGATAGACAAAGACCTTTTATATTAACTAGATCATACTTTGCAGGTTCTCAGAGAACAGCAGCAATGTGGTCGGGCGATAATATGTCTAAATGGGAATATTTAAAAGTTTCTATTCCAATGCTTCTAACTTCTGGGGTTGCGGGTATGCCATTCGGAGGTGCTGATGTTGGTGGATTTTTCGGGGATCCTGCTAAAGATTTGTTAACAAGATGGTATCAGACAGGTATCTGGTACCCGTTCTTTAGAGCGCATGCTCATATTGACTCTAGGAGAAGAGAACCGTGGGTTGCAGGTGATCCGTACACCTCAATAATGCGAGATGCCATTAGATTACGTTATTCATTATTACCGATTTTCTACACAAGTTTTTATGAATCAAGTATTAGTGGTTACCCAGTATTGAAGCCTTTATTTTACGAAACGCCAGATAATTTAGAAAGTTATGATATCGAAGACCAATTTTTCTTGGGTGACTCAGGTTTATTAATTAAACCAATTACAGTGGAAGACGCAAACAATGTTGACATTTACTTACCAGATGATGAAATTTACTATGATTATACGAGTGGTAATATTTCGAATACAGTTCGAAAGTTTACAGGACCTGGCTTCATTTCTAAATCCATCGGGTTATCTGATATACCAATTTTATTGAAAGGTGGCTCCATTATTGCCAAGAAAGATAGATATCGGAGATCATCCAAATTGATGGCCCGTGATCCATACACTTTAACTGTTGCATTAGACAATTCAGGTAAAGCTAGTGGAAAATTGTATATTGATGATGGAGAGACTTTTAATTATGAACGAGGTGAATATGCGAATGTTTATTTTAGAGCAACAAGTAACTCAATCAAGGGGGAAATTAGAGGCCAGGAAGGATTCGTCGAAAGCTTAGATGACATCTTCATTGAAAAGATTGTTGTATTGAGTGTTAAGGAATTAAGTTCAATCAGAATTCAGCAAAGTGGTTCTCAATGGGAGAGTAATTGCAGATGTATAGATGGTAACTTGATCATTGAAAACCCAAAATTAAAGTTGAATTCTGAATGGACCATAGAAATTAATGATACTAAATTTACTGAATCAAATATTAAAACTCCATCTAAAAGTTCAAACAAAAGTTCCAAGTTAGACACAAATTCAACTTCTTCTTTATCTTCAACGACTATTATTTTCACCGCTATAATAGCTTTAGTCATCGGCATCATTTTCTATAAATTGAGAAGTGGCGCCCGTGCTTAAGAGATCTTTCAAAAAGTATTCTCTTATTTTGGTAGACATTTTACTTAATTTCGCCCAATTAATAAAATTATTACAGCTTAGGCATTTTCCTTGTAAAGGCGTAAGATAATTAACAGTATCTCCAGGTTTTTCTTCTGAATCTGTTTTATTTGAAAGTTCGTCATCCTTTTCCAAAACATGTAATCCGAAGCACGATAGGTGATAGAGTTTCTGACAATTTTCATGATAACAAATAGCAAGTAAAGGCATATTCCCTTCACGCAAATACACATCGACATCAAGCTTACTCCTGAAAGATACGTCACTTTTGGCCTGATAGTCAATAGCTTCATTACAAATAAAACACGGTTGGTTATCGAATAATAGGATTTTCTTAGACGATTCAAAATATATACGCTCAGACTCCTTTTGACGAGACAAACTAAATTCCGAGCTTTCAACACCGTGATCCCTCAGAAAGTAGTCCTCGAACCTTGTAACATTCACTTGGACACTGTCTGTCACATTTACACCAAACTTATTCATACACCAAGCCGAATGAACCTCCGGATCAAACAAAAGAACCTTCAACCCCATTCTACTGAAGAACAGCGACCCCAACAATAACCGTATATTTCCTAGTTTATGGTGTAGTGTATTTCCACTATTTCTCTTCTGTGTGATTCTAACTTCCTGTTTTATATGTCTAGTTTGATAAGGATGCTGCAACGCATGTTCAAACTGCAATGCAACATTTTTGGATGGAAAATTATATACTAGACAAATCATTTCCCAAGGTCTAAACCCAGTCTTTTTTGTTCTATAAGCTCCCCCATTTTTCAACTCTCCATTATGTTGTCGTAACCTTCTCTGTGGATTTGGGGTTGATCCAATGTAAAATGACTTTGGCTTTGGAACAGATCTCAATAGATAGACCCCATAAAAATCCGGATGAACATGTATAGCACACTTCGTCTTCCGCTTAGTATCATATTCTTCATTATCATCCATTAAGCCTGCGACTACCGAACTCAATTAGCGATTTACCTTCTCATTCTACTATTTTTGAAGTGTATTTTCCGCAATGTAATGACTATGTTTAATTGGTACGATAATCCATATGCGTTGAATGAGTTTGTGTAACAAATGTGATTTTAGTGTGAAGTATCTAATTGATAGATTAATTAACCAATATTAGTACTAGACGATTACTGATATTTAAATCAGAGATTCAAGAGGGAGTTATTATTCTGATATAGTCAGTATAGGTTTTAATTTAGTAAAGCTAGTTTCATAATTTTAAGTGTATTATAACGAAGGAATCAACTGAATAATACCGAGCGAATAAAGGCCAGGTTGTATAAATATTATCAGACGAAGCAACATTATTTCATACTACGAGATTTTATCCTATTCAATAACACGAAATCATAATGGCTAATCGTCGCATACCCAAGAGTGAAGATTCACTTAGCAATTTACCCTCAACTGCAAGTAGTAACCAAAGTGGGTCGAATGACTTTGTTAAGAAATTATTTCAGATGCTACAGGAAGATACGTACAAGGATGTTGTCAAATGGACGTCGAGCGGAGATTCATTTGTTGTGATAAATACCACTGAATTTACTAAGGAAATATTACCCAGACATTTCAAACACAGCAATTTTGCTAGTTTCGTGAGGCAGTTGAACAAATATGACTTCCATAAGGTGAAAATACCCAACGAAGAAAAGCAAAGTTATGAATATGGGGAAGATGCGTGGGAGTTTAAACATCCTGATTTCAGAATCAATGATCGCGAGTCTTTGGAGAACATCAAACGTAAGAGTTCGAAGAAATCATCGCAGAATTATAATCCCAACGTGGCTAATAGTGGGTCGAGTGTGGATTCGTTTGGCTACCAGAATTTAAAAGATGAGATGGATAACCTTAGACTGGAAAACAAATCCTTGCAACAAGATATTAATGTTTTGCAAACCAAGTATAAAACTTTAGTTGAAAACATTGTTTCATTGAAGAGTTTCGATGAGAAATACTACAGATCAATGAGTGTATTAATCAATTGCCTTGTTCAAGCAGGAATCAAGATGCCGCCATTGGACTTTCCCAATCCAAATGTATTGCATTCTCAGAAGCCCAATGTTGCTGCTCGTTCCCATTCACACACACATTCAAATTCGAGTTCGTTGCCTCAACTATCTCCACCTCTTTTAAGTCCAAATGGAGGCTCTGGGCAACAAGGTGGGATTGGTGCACCATTAGGCGGTGGATTGCCGACTCAAAGATTTGACCACAATACAATATCACAGGCTCATACGTTGCAGCACCAAACACCGTTACAAACGATGCACACCCAATCCAACAATCAACAATCAACTAAGCAGTCACCCACTACTAATGACAATCTTAACTCTAAACCTCAGTCTCCTCATTTAATGGGAGACTCTACTAGTGGGTCTCCATTAGTCGGCAATCTGGGTTTAGATGCAGCTAGCACAACTGCCCCAGTGAATTCTCGAACATCTTCTATATCAACAAATCGTGTACCGCAACCGGCCAATGGTGCAGTTGCATCAACAGATCAACCACAAGTAACAACAACCAATTTGACTAATCCAAAGTTTCACGTACTATTGGTCGAAGATGATAATGTTTGTATTCAGCTATGTCGTAAATTTTTGGTCAAATATGGATGCCAAGTGACAATTGCCACTGATGGGTTGAATGCTATTTCCACAGTAGAACATACAAAGTATGATCTAGTTCTTATGGATATTGTTATGCCAAATTTGGACGGTGCTACTGCCACGAGTGTTATTAGATCATTTGATACAAAAACTCCAATAATCGCAATGACTGGTAATATTGAAGATAATGATTTAGTGACATATTTGCAGAATGGTATGTCTGATATTTTGGCCAAGCCATTTACTAAGGATGACTTGTATTCGATATTGAGCAAACATTTGTTAACGAGTACAGATACCGCAAGTGGCACTACTGATGAACCCAGTGAAACAATGAGCAGCTTACAAGGCCCTGCTCAGCAGACGTTGGTATTGCCACAAGAAGTTCAACAACAAGATAACAATGGAGAGCCTATGCCAGAGCCACTCGGTAAAAAACCACGACTAATATAGGTAACTACTGGGGAGCAATCGGACTACATGAGTATTTAAGTAGCTTATCAAATCACTAATTGAGAGAAGAAAATAATTTAAATAACCAAAAAGCTAATTGATACTACTTAAATTAATAGAAAAATATGTTTCCTTAGCGAAATATATGTCGTAGTAGAATAATATTTTGATTTGTATTAATATATAATTTATTTTATTCTTGATTTTTTACGAATGTAGCCTTCCGTATAATATGATGGAATGCAATATCTGAAAACGAACTACCCCAGACGCCCTGAGCATTTTCTATCCTTGTGAGTTCAGCATTTTTGAAATAACAATTATCATAGTTGTATTCGATTTCAGGTTCTTTAAAGACCGGCTTTTTATGTCTGTTTCTCTTTTTCTTCACCGTAACTGATATGAAATCATCACTCTCTTTTGGTGCAATTTTGGTATTTTCAAGCACCTTTATTAATAATGAAATCGTTCTATATGTATCGTGTATCTTCTTTTTTGTTAATCTGTCAGTGTGTGATATTATATCGTTAGCCAATAAAAGCGAAGGCCTTGAGTCGTTAAGTACTTGCTCTGTGAGTTCCAAAGATGCATGAGGAAGGAAATATAACGTCTTTAGACCAACAAACGTATCCTTCTCTGATATTTTAAAATTCGTTACAATCGTTAGAAATTGATTGTCAAGTTCATTGAAAACTGGGTCGTATAACGAAACATTTGACGGATTGACATTAAAATGGCGACATATCTGCGTCAAAAAGGCAAATTGATATAATGCAGCATTGCTATCTGATGGAGAACCTAATGCTAAACATCTTATGTGTGTTATTGAGTGGTCTTCTAGTAGCTTAATAGTTTCTTTGAAGAGGCTTGACTCTGTCATAATATTCTCATATTTGGAAAGTTTCAATTTTAATCGTTCCGCCTGGCTTCGATCTAAGTGCCCAGTCAGATCCCCAACCACTGACTTGTTCTCGCCCTGTCTAAACCCTCTAGCTACCATCTAGTTAACATTTCATGGAACCCAGATTATGTCCCAAGTGCTTTATTGCAAAATTTACCTGGAGATGAGAGCTATATGCAGTATATATATACTATCTCCACTGAACAAATGCCTGGAAGTCTACATATATCAAATATTTGCAATTCTACTTTCCCGATAAGCTCGGCTACTATATACTCAACATTTGGCTTTTTATTGTAATTATAGGAGGACTTATTAAAGAATTCACCACCTAAAAACAGCTTTTGTGACTTATCCTGGAAATTTTTCAGTCAGGGTGAGAAAAAAAAAAATTCATCGAGATCATCTTAGGTTAGAGATTATTCTTTGATAGAATCCTTAAGGTTATTAACGCTATAAAGCTATAAAAAGGATATTCCACGTATCCCCGATACAAATATTGACAGGAATCACTGTTATCAATCAATTGTTTGTTTAATTTGTAAAGTTGACTTCGTTAGCAAAGCTAATTGCACCACAGCTCATTGGCACGCCAGTAGAAGTTTTATCAACGCTAGAAAACCCAGAAGCAATGCGTAAGTGTAAGGTTTTCGTGGGGTCATCACACCCTGAATTAGGTAAACTAGTTTGTGATCGGTTAGGGGTGGAACCAGCTCCATGTACATTGAAAAAATTTTCCAATGGGGAGACTTCGGTTCAAATTGGAGTGTCAATTAGAGACGAAGATGTTTACATTATTCAGTCGGGATCGCCGCAAATTAACGATCACATAATGGAATTGTTGATTCTCATTTCGGCTTGTCGTGGAGGTTCTGCGTCGAAGATTACGGCGGTGATTCCCCAGTTCCCATACTCAAAACAATCTAAGATGAAAAAGCACAGAGGTGCCATCACAGCTAGGATGTTGGCCAACTTATTGA